ACAGTAACATACCCACAGAAATTCCTCCCCACACATCTCATCAACCTTTTTTCCTGCTGTTTGTGGAGACCAAAACAAAGCTGAAGGGAATAAGGACACATTTCTTGAGTAGCCTCATTAATGCTGTTCTTGCTTCAGGTCTTCCGGATGAGTAAACAGACAAATATCAGCTAACGTGTGTGTCATCAATGCTGTGTTTGGATTTCTTATGTTGCTAAGAGAGCAGTTAATGCAGGTTTAAGCCATCCTGATCTGTTTCGTCACCCAGGGGTGGTGCAATTTGAATGTTTATCGACCATAAACGCATCAGCTCCGTGTTTCACTCACGTTTCTCATCCTGTTCAGGTTTGTCTTGTTTTCTGTTGTATGCTGCTATTTAACAGTTAATCCCTCTCGGGTTCAATTCTATCCATTCTATCTCTTTGCATCACAGTGCATTTTTTTCTCTTGTGTCTTTACTTTCTTGAGACATGTCTCAGCTTCCAATTCAGTCCACAGAGTTTTGTTAAATTGTACTTCTAAATGACTTGTCAAGGTTAGCAGAGATGTCTGTTAGAGTGTATTAATGAGGCCGCACCTTTAGGGAGAGTTAATAAAAAGAAAATCAGCGTCGCTCTTACCCCAGGACATTGTCCAGCGGTTGTTATGTTAATCACTTAGGCCTAATTAATATCATGCATATCATTAGCAAAATGGAGATTTAAATGCCAACATGCTTTAATTACCGTGGTAGAAGTAATCTACATATCTGCAGTCTGAGGTAACCGCCTGCCAGCGCTAATTCACTTCAATCCGTCTCATCTGTGCTGAAAATTGAGAAAAGTTTCCAGAAATAGTGGAGAAAACCAACATATTGGAGCAAATACAGCAGCTTCGTAGTGCAATCCCATGACATCACCTCACACAGAGCTGATCGGTCTGTGAGTTTTTCATAGATTTTATGCACATTTATGGGTGTTTGCTGCAACTCTCCGACAGGATGTTTAGCAGTATGGAGATGATCCGCTCTGCGTGTGCATGCGTGTGTGCGTGTGTCCCAGGGGGGATTTCCTGATATAATCTCCAGTCCTTTCATTCCTTATAAACGTCCCTCCGTGTGCCACCCACACATCCCTCGCCTTAAGGGCACACAACTAACACCCCCCCTCTTCTGTTTGACTTTAAATGAGTGGAAACATGACAACCGTGTTGTAGAACAACAAGAGATTCACCTTGAACCTGAGATGGATCAAACACACACAGAGTACCTGTCAAAGGCTGTCACAGCTGATGTGAATATTATAATTGTTTATATGTGCTTTTTTGAATAATGTGGGACTCTTAGTGTGTGTGTTTATATTCCACTATTCTGTCCCTCCTGCTCTGCACTAACCCTGCTCCCCCTCATTTGCCTCGCCTGCCCCCCAGATAGTTACTTTTTCCATCATAGTATAATGACGTGGATTAGGTTGAGCTTCTTCTGTCGTTCATTATTTTGAGATTTGAGATCAACCAACCAAAAAACACATTGCACTTATTAGTGAGAAGCTTTCAATTACACACAATTCTACTTGCACAAAGATGATCTCTACCAACTTTGAACAACTCCTTAATTAATCCGCAACTTGTGCCCATAATTAATTGATATACCGCCCCTCCCCCCTCCCCTGCCACAGTCTCAAACAGTGCCCCCCCGCTGGGGAAGATAATTGTCAGGTTGGAAGGTTCGCTGTGAATGGTAATGATTTCAACTTTTTCTTTCTCACTCGTTCCTGTTCACTACATAATTTATTGCACTGTATCACAGTATCACACTGTATAATGTACAATACATGCAATCTGTTGGCAGTTATGGACTCACTCGTGATCTACAGTACATTTTAAAAAGTAACCAGGAATATTCACTTTTTCAGGATGTAAATGGGAACATTGTTTCATATTCTTACACTATGTTGCAAATTAAATTGTTTTGTGTAAATATAGTTTTACTATGACATCACCTCCCTGGTGCCCATAAACATGATAAAGGAGCCTCTGCAGAAAAACATGTATATACATCCATTACACAGTTAGATGGATATGTACAATTACTGTGTGTATATTACAAGTACCATCTTCTTCATTTAATTCTTTTCCATCTTTTTCCTCCCCTCGTCCTGGTTACTTTACTCTCACATACCTGTGTTCAGCCTGTCGGCTCATCACAGAGGCCATTCTGAGATACGCACCCTTGTCCTCAATCAGCTGAAGAAGATTGTTCTCCTCGGGCTAAAGAACGACGGGCCGGACTCAATATATTTCCCTTTGTTCAAGTGTCTCCCCAGAGTGCTGGAGGAGGAACAGAAAAAGTGTCCACCTCACCCAAAGGATGCCGCGTCCACTCGCACTTCCCCAGGTCGGCTCGCGTTCATTCCAAAGTCATCCAATAAATCGCAAACGTGTGTGTGTGTGTGTGTGTGAGACATCTTTTCCCTGAAGGTCATCACTAACGTTTCAATTGATTCTGAAAAAAAAAAATCTCTCTCTCTCTGTACAGCTAAATAATTGAGCGGCCTCTCATTATCGACTCCACCCCCGTGAAGAGCAGACACCTTAAAACTTCACGAAGGCAAGTGGGTGTCCTCACAGTCCACCGCCTCTGAATCTGGCATTATTCTAATTAATGAGATGAGTTCATTAGTGCTCTCGGGGTTAATGTGTTGTCCTACAGCAGATTAGTGAGGGGAATTAGGTGTTGCCGGAGCGTCCTAATTTGATCGCAGTGGGTGTCGCATGCTCGAATAGATGGAATAATGAAAGTAGTCACTCTTCACAGCGGCAACTTCATTACTGAAGTTCTGCCCAAAAAAGGCCCGACATTCACCTGGATTCAATTATGTGTATCAATAAAACAAGTGACAGCTTTTTTTCGGGGGGGGGGTTAATGGGACGTTCTGATATTATTGATAATATCAGAACGTCATGAGGAAGGAGAGGACCTCATTAACCACTTTTCATCCAGGAGCTTGAAGTTAAGAGGGTGAGCAGCTTCAAATACCTCGGTGTCCACTTCAGTGAGGACCTCACCTGGACACTCGACACAACACAGCTGGTCAAGAAGGCTCAACGGCGGCTGTACTTCCTGAGGAGGCTGAGGAAGTTTGGGATGTCTCCCAAGATCCTCAGCAACTTCTACAGCTGCATCATGGAGAGCATATTGACCAGCTGCATCACCGTGTGGTACGGCAGCACATCCACCATGGACCGCAAACGCCTGCAGAGGGTGGTGAGGACAGCGGAAAAGATCATAAAGACCCCGCTGCCCTCTCTGCAGAGCATCTACCACCGCAGGGTTCACAGGAGAGCTGCCTCCATTCTCAAAGATCCCACCCACCCCCAACATGGTCTGTTCAAGCTTCTACCCTCAGGCAGGAGGTACAGAAGTGCCAAATGCAGGACCACCAGACTGAAAAACTCTTTTTCCCCCACTGCCGTTAGAGCCATCAACCGCTGAGAGGACTCTATAAACTAACTCACAACTGGTCTGCACTTTAGCTTACTTACTGTTACTGTACTGTTAATTTATATTGCACTCATTTAATTTAATTTAAGTTTTTTATTTTACAACCTGCTCAGTTTTGCATTTTTCCTCCTCAACTGATTTCTGCCTTATCCTTACCTCATGTTTATTTTCTATTTCATGTACATTTATGTAAATATTGTATTTTTATTTTTATTTTAAAACTGGTCGGCTTTCCGGAAAGGCAAGCACAAGAATTTCATTACACAGGGCGTGTGTAAATGACAATAAAAATCTTTGAATCTTGAATGATGGGGATTAGTGGCACCAGCTGCCACCCAGAGGACTGAGGTGGTACTGCAGCTGAGGATGAGGAAGACGTGAAGGCTCCTCAACACTGAAGGACAGCTGCAAACGTGCTACGGTCCAGTGGACATCAGTAGAGCAATATGGCTTCAACTACATTTTTGTCGGCAGCGGTTTCTGCATACAACATTGTGTTTACTCTCAATTGTTTTGTGGTCGGCTGCCTTCGCTCTCGGTGGCGTCAAGAGAGAAGTTTGAGTGTAACCTGGTGGCTGGATGCCGCCAAAACCCTAAACCGCCTTGAAGTCCAGCATGTCCACTTTTGATACATTTTCTTTTCTTTAATACATGTGAGATCTAAGTGTGGCTGGGTTGCGTGGGCTTGGACTCTGCACTGTGGTATTCCTCAAATCCCAAAGTCAACAAGAGCGTTAAAATAAGCCGCTTTACAAATCCACAATCTTGTTCTGCGTGTCTAATTGTGTCCAACGCGTTTAGGCGGCTGGCATTTGATAAATTGACAATTCCAGCAGTCATTCTTTTGTTTTGTATGATTTCTGCATTTAGCCTCCTTGAGTGTATGACTGCGCAAATCCACAAATCATTCCCTCTGCTTGTTTTTCCCCGTGTTTGTCTCGCATTAATCCCCCGGCCTTGAAGCTGTTTTCAGCCTTTTCTGAGTTAAGCCTCTAAAATTAAGCTAATCTGCTGGGCTCGTCATCCCACCCACTCGCCTTGTCCTTCGAGCCCCACACTCGTCTGGTGTTTTCTAAGAGGAAAACGCTTCGGTAAGTGGCAACGACGTCAAAAAGCGGGCACACCCAGCGTCTCTGTGATTACCATGCAGAGGGTGTTGTCTTAGAGATAGGGAGAAGAGGAGGAGGCGATTATGAGGCTAATTCCCTTATAACTTTTTCCCTCATTAATCTCTGTGGAAGGGATACGAGGTTCTTTAAATGCTAATGTCTAATAAAGATGTCGGCAGTGACATTTTACAGTTGCGCCGCGGATGTGAACAAAGTTGACCGCGTTTGTTGTGGAAGAACTTTTCTATCTGTTAACTCGCCTCACATGTTCATTTTTTTTTTTAGAATTCTCAATTGGGATTAGACATAAAAGACGTTATAATGCCACGCGGCATACCGGCGACCCTTTGGCCAATCACAAAGTCAAACATTAACGTAGCCCCTCCCCCCCGTGTCCTTACAAACAACTCTTTCCAGAGGAATCAAAACTTTTATTCAAGCACAAGTTGATTCGGTTTGATTTTGAGCACAATCAGCCGTATTTACAAGAAATGATCGAAGGTCGACGTGGCAACAAGACGAATCGCTAACGGAGAAACGCGTCCTCGACTTTCGCAGCACGTATCGAAGGACAAAAAAAATCAAAACATGCATTTCTTTAAAAGCACCCAAAATAAAAACAAATGGCAAATAAGTTACTGTGGCCTCATCTAATAATTCACTTCCACAACAAAATTCCTCCTCACAATCATTTTATAAAGAACTGGTATGAAGAACTAAGCTAGGGCATGAAATGTACTCCCCTCACTGCTCTGTGGACAAGTCATCACGTGAATGTCCCTTCGGAAGGGATTTGGTCGTCATTATGTTGAGGCCTCTATATTGACCGGGGCCCGGTTTGTCGGCGGCACCCTCGGTGGAGTTACACGGGAACACGTCTAAAGGTTTGCATAGTATCGATCTCTGTTGTTATAATCTCTGTAGGCGAACCCGGCGTCCTTCTTGCCGTGCGGGATCCGTCCGAAGGGCGCGTGGTCGTTGAAACACGAGACGAAGACCTCGTCCACTATTTTCTCCGCCTTCTCTCGGCTGACTTTCCTCACCGCCAGGATGGAGCGAAGCGCCCGGCCTCTGACGCACTCCTGACCCCGAGGGAAAAGCACAATCTCAGTGTTGGATTGCAGACACACAAGGACCCTAAGGAGAAGCCATTGAAAGTCGCTCGGAAGACGGTACCTGATGATGCTGCTTCCAGCCGAAGTTGGATCGGTCAAATTCGTTCCAAAAGGAGCAGTCACCACTGAGGTTAGCTGCCCGGATCTGAGACAATAAACACAAGAATATTAACCAACACACATGTTAGGCAGGGTGAGGATTGCTCTTTCATGAAATAATGTGCACCGTATCTTTTCACTAACAACCACACAGTCCCAAGACACAGTTAGGGGATACAATTAGATGTGGATGAGTGAGATTTATCAGGACCTCTCCCTTTACGAATACAAAAAACCCAAAACCTCCATCTCCATTTGATCTTAAAGGATCTTATGGTTATTTTCTGGGGAGTCTAAATACAGTCAATCTTCTGCTAAGGACGTTCCCCGAGGAACGCACTACTTTCTCTTGTTTGATGACCTGTAAAAACTACAGTGCTTTAGGAATTTATTCGTACATATATTTTGGGCAATCTGCTTATGAAAAATGAGAAAACGTAGCTGATTAAAACATGCACTTGTGTCTGCAAACAGATAAAGCTGAATCACACAGCCGCCTGCGTTTACCGTGCACATAAAAGCAGCCGACGCCGAACTCACCTCGGAACAAGCCACGTGCCTCAATTCGTTGAACCAGTCCACGTTGGCCCGACAGTGGTCGAAGGCGTGGATGAGCTCGTGCGTGACCACTCGGGTCATGTGGGACTGCTTGCGGATGTTGTTCTGACACAAAACTATCTGCAAATAAATTCCAAATATTATTATTATTTCATTCATTTTTCAACGCTTTTGTCAACACCTCAAAAGAAGTCCTTCTTACTTGAGAAGAAACGGCGTCAAATCCTCCACTGACTGTTCCGTCACAATCTTCACAGGAGAAATGTCTATCTTTGAACACTTGGCTGCGTTAAGAGGGGAAAGTGAAGGCGTCTTAATCGGTTTGGTTTTTGTGTAACAACAATGCACAGTTTTAAAGATGCCGAGATTCAGTCGATATTAATTATATAAGGTTTTTGAGCATGTATGTTGAGCAGCTCTAAATAAAATACTAAAGAGGACTCATTTAATTTAAGATAGATCATTATCATTTATTCATTATTGGCATCGGCATTATTTATATTAAAATACTAAATTATTACTATTGCTATCATTCCGTATATCATAAAAGCATCAGTAGCATTTGAAAAAGGATCATCGGTTAAACCATAAGTCCCATGCTTTTTGCAGGGCTGTGAGCGTAACAGTGGAAGGTAAAAACAATGGATATTTGACTTTTAGATGACACGTACCAGCCTGAAGTCTTCATGGCACTGAGAAGGAGTTTGGCATACGGACCTAAAGACAAGCACAGAAAACACGTGACGTAACGGTGTCCGAACCCGGGATGAATCCATCAGGCGTCCACTGACTGAAAAAAAACACGCCGTTTCTCTCCCAGCGTGTCCACAACGAGAACATTGAGCGGACCACAAGCCCTTAATGTTAAAGTTATACAAGATCTCGCTGCCGAGATGACGTTTCCTGTTTGGATGCTAATAAACACTCACTAGTTTCCATTGCGAACTGCAACATGACCTGACACTTGTGGTTGAAAGTGAACAAGCTCTCTTTGATCGACTTCGCCTTGTACTTTGCAGAGTTTCTCTCCGGGAATAGATCGTATCCATAGTCCTCCTCTTGTTTAGGCTGTTCCATTGTTGTGAAATGTTGTCGTCAATCTGGAAATGTTAGCATCAGTTTAGCTACCGCTAGCTGGCTATCTAGCAGGAGAGGTCATTACTGTTTTGTTGATCACGTGCTTTCAAAGGGTCAAAGATAATTAATGGCAATAATATGCATTCGTATTCGATTGTTCTTATACAAAAATGTCAGGAAATATCACCCCCTTTCGTGTAATATACAAACACATTGAATTACGTCGTCCCCCGAAGCAGTTTAGTTAGAAATATATTGAAGTATAAATCATCTATTCAGAGCCTGTAGGTAAGTCGTTAACTCCTAGCGCAATGACTGGACCAAATCCAAACGCTAGCCAACCAAACAGTAGACATTCATGGGTGGGTACATCATTCCTGACAGAAGGCTGTACAATACATATTAATAATAGTGTGATAAATACCACGGTTAGTTGTTTGCGGACTTTTTTTAAACAGGCAACTGGGTAAAATGTTTTTAATGCGTCATTGTTTGTGTGGTTGTAACATAGACGATCTTTGGTTACACCCTATCGCGGTCTCAGCAGCGCAAAGGCTGCTGGGAGGCGGCTGTCATGGCTCCGGACGTAAACAGAAAGCTACGCATAACGACACATGTTGTTGTAGTATTAAGCCAAAGTAACTACAGCTACATTTAAACTGTAATTATAAGTCGTGAAAACAGGTGTCAGGTAAAGTATAATGTTCAAGTAGCTACAGTCTCTTGCAATTTCTATATATCATCTAATTATTTGGGTGGGGGGGTTGTTAGCTAGCTACTAGCAACGCAAAAGCATGTAACGTAAGCGTGATGGTCGTGTTTTCCTCTTCGAAATTACAGCATTTCCCCAAAACAAATCTCTATTTTACAGGGAAAAACATGTCCGGGGTAAACAAAGCCATTGAGTTACAGCTTCACCTGCGGCAAAATGCGGAGGATCTGCACAGCTTCATGGCGGGGATGGAAAGCTGGGAGACGGACATGAAAAAGAAGGACGAGGAGCTAAGGACGGGGGGACTTCAAGGGGAACAGGTTTGTCTCTATTGCATACCCCCCCCTCTCTCCAGGCGCAGAGGTTGTTGTGGTCTGATCTTCACGTAGCGCGTTGCACCTTTGTCGTAGAAGGCGCTCCCCCCTGTGCGCAACCAAGACTACAAAACGAAGAAGAGGGAAAGGAAGAAGAAGAGGAAAGAGCACTCCGGCCAAGGCGACGCGATTTCAAAGGACCCCGAGAAAGGCTCAAAGATAAAGGCGTACGACTACAGATCGTGGGACAAGTTTGACGTGGTTAGCTAATAAGCCATTCTTATAAAATACACCCAACAACACGGCCGATGAGGTCATGGAGCGGTTGACTCAAAGAGTGTTGCTTCTCCGCTCGCAGGACAAAGTTCTGTCGGAGATGGACAAGGAGGAGAGTCCAGCAGAGTCAAACGAGTCGGACTCCGAGGAAGCGACAGGTGGTCGAGAGAAAGCGCTGTCCGAGAGAGAAAAGGTAAACATGGCGTGACACGTACTGCAATAAAACAACAAACCCGAGATAAGAAGAAGCTCCTCTAAAGCAGAGCGCACTTCTATTTTTCAGGGTAACGCGTTTTTCAAAGATGGGAAGTACGACGATGCCGTTGAGTGTTACACCAGAGGGATGAGCGCTGATCCTTACAACCCTGTGCTTCCCACGAACCGAGCCACCGCCTTCTTCCGACTCAAAAAGTAGTACAGCACCAAGTTCAACAAATAACTACATGCAATGACATTAAGGAGGACGCGTGTTTATACAAACTGGTTGTATTATTGAGGACTCGTTCTATTTGCAGGTACGCTGTGGCAGAGTCCGACTGCAACTTGGCGATAGCTCTGGACGGCAACTACTTCAAAGCGTACGCGAGGAGAGGAGCAGCGCGGGTTGCACTGAAGAAATATGAATCTGCATTAGAAGGTTGGCAAACCGTACAATGGGTTCCATCGTCGGTGTGACTGGAGCGCAAGATAACAACACAGGTCTGCTTCTCAATAGATTATGAGACGGTTCTCAAGCTCGACCCCGGGAACGCGGAAGCACAGGATGAAGCGCAAAAAATCAAAGAGGTGAGTGGCAACGCTGTGGGGAGAATTAAACCTTCATTCCAGAGTACTTCTCCTTTTTCATTCCCTTTCTTCATCTTGCTCGCAGACTCTCGGTCATCAGGCACCAGCCGTGCAGAGTGGAGTCCAGCGGGCCCAGGAGGCCCCCACAGCGGACCCCGAGCGGCAGAGGCTGATGGAGGAGCAGCAGAGACGGCAAGAGGCGGCTATGCAAAAAGACCGAGTGAGTTTTTTTTTATTTCTAGCTCGGGATTTAGAAACTTGCCTAGTGGCAACATTTTAAGAGCAAATCAAAGTGAGGGGTACTTTCAGAACGGTTTGATTCAAGCTGTGTTCATTTGGGAATAACTTTACTTTCCAACGCGCCTTTCAGGGAAACGCCTATTTCAAAGAGGGGAAGTATGAAGCGGCTGTGGAGTGCTACGGCAGAGGCATTGAGGCGGACAGCATGAACGTCCTTCTGCCCGCCAACAGAGCCATGGCCTTCCTCAAGCTGGAGAAGTGAGCCCTGGAGTTCTTTCTCTCCATTTCCGCCACACTATACTTTTGCTTTATTAGAGTGACAAGACATCTGTTTTTCTTTCTCTGTGTGCTGCAGGTACAAGGACGCAGAGGAGGACTGCACCAAAGCCATTTCTCTGGACAGCACCTACTCCAAGGCCTTCGCCCGCCGCGCCACCGCTAGAGTGGCTTTAGGGAAACAGGAGGAGGCCAAACAAGGTGCTGAATAGAAGCACACTGATCTCCAAAGGCAAACTGCTAGAAACTGCATTCGGTCCTGCAAATTGCTTTAAAATAATAGAAACAGGGAAGGTTGTTCTCTGTTGTTGACTGTTTAGTTGCATATAAACATGTTGTGTGTGTGTGTGTTGCAGATTTTCAAGAGGTGCTGAAACTGGAACCAGGGAACAAACAGGCCCTGAATGAGCTCCAGAAAATGCAGATTGTATGTTTCTAGATCCTCTTAGAGACCGAAGTGTATTCCTCTTCCATGTTCCAAGTCCCTCGTGTTTGAACTCCAGCCTTTCTGCTTATGGCTGCTCTTCTGTCTGATTTCGTTGAGGTCCGATCTTTAACAGACTAAACTTCTGCTCTCCTGATGTCGGTCTCTTGTCAGAACGTGACGTCCAGCAGCCTTCTCCAGACACCAGGCGCCACACAAAGGAGAACCGTTCAGCCAGTGGACAAACCAACACATTTGCGGTCAACAGTGAGTTTTTCCCTCAGTGCAAAACATTTTGTGCTAGAGATAGAGAGTGGACATCCGTCTGGTGTAAAAGCATTGATTTTAACTGACTGCATTCCAGTGGAAAAGTTTTAACGTTGAAGCTAAATAATATCATTATAATAATTTCATTTTTGGAAAGGATTCCTTTAATAAATAAATAAATTACTTGATGTTCAATAGTAGTTTATTCCCCATGTGTCCCACATGCTTCAGCATTATTTTACCAGCCATGTTCACGTCGTAGTGTCTCCATCTGGATCATTCGGCAGTTGACTGATTCTGAACACGCGCTGCTCTTCAGAAACCTCTGAGGAGGATTGACATCGAGGAGGTGAGCGGCGCGCCGACGGCGTCGCAGGTGGACTCGGCCTCCGTCCAAGAGGCAATGAGGGAGGACGAGTCGTCTCCACTGTCGACTTCGCCCACCGCCAAGATGATCAAGATCGAGGAGATGACCGAAGTGCCCTCGCACACACCTCCCAAGTTAGTGGTGCCGCCTCTCTCCCCCGGCGTGCTATTTCACGTTGTCTGTAAAGCACCAAATGTTGCAGTAGTCTGTGGCATGTGGTGTCGAATAGTCCCGCCATTGTAAACAGGTGTTTCATCCCCTGTTCCCCAGAGCCCCTGTGAGCGGGCAGACCAAACAGCCGGCGCAGCGGGGGGTCGTTCCGCCTCCTCCTCCTGAACCGCCAGCCAGCACCTCCTCAGCAGTAGCAGACCTGCCTCCTCCACCCACCAACAGCTTCCAGCTGGAGGCCGACCTGCGCAAGATCGGAAACCAGCCCGAAGGGATTTACAGATACCTTAGGGTGAGCTGTTTGTTTTGAATGAAATAAATCATTTGCTGGTGACAAAATCATATTTGTGTGTTCAGACAGTCTCATTTTATGCTGTCATCTCTGGTATTGACCTGGGTGGATGTTTATTCATAGATCTTTTAATTTCTTTGATGCATTTTTGCCATTCCCATCTCCACAGATGTAATCTCATATCCTATCGTCTTGAATTTGAAGGGAAAACTGTATTTAATAACTTTAAATGGGACTTAAAAAGTCCAATATCTGTGACGAATTTCACAAGCGAATCACACAAGATCAACCTGCATCATTTACTTTCAACTAGAGTTAAGATGTCACCCTGGTGTTTGTTCTCATCTCGCAGCAAATCAAACCCGAGGCGTTCGCAAGTATCTTCCACAACTCGCTGGAGCCGGACATTCTCCATCAGCTCCTGAGGACACTGCATGGTTTCTACACCAAGTGAGTTCTAGAAGAAGCGTCTTTTTCCGTCCTGCTGTTGTGGCCGTGCACTAACACACCAGTCCTGTGCAGGAACGACGAGCCGGCCGCCACGCTGGCGATCCTCAGCAGCCTGGCGGGTGTGAGGCGCTTCGACATAGCCGTCATGTTCCTGTCGCCACCGGAGAAGAAAGGTGGAACCTCCTCGACGCGCCGCTGCGGTTGACCCGTTCTTTTAACCCACAAATTCTGTGATTTTTGATAATGCGCTTTATTACTTTTCTCTCCTCCGTCCGCCTCCAGTGCTTAAAGAAGTGTTTGACTTCCTCCACCGGTCGGAGCTCGAGGGATCATCTGTTGCGGCCTTACAGAAGAAGTACGGTGTGTGACGCTCTGAGCTCCGTGGACTGCATATTAAACTAAAGTACTACGTGAGCCGAAGGAACAATGTAGTTATGTTGTACTACTGAATAAACTTACGTTCAATGCACTTTGATTCAGTTGGACTGCTGTGTTATGGCCCACATAACTCTCACTCTCTTCTTTACACTGATATGATCTAAAGTCCGTAACGTGTTGACTGTAGTTCTGACCGGGGTGTATTAGAGTTAAAGTCTCCCGTGTAGAGTTGCCGTGTCGATGTTTAACCCACATAATTCACACCATTTCCATAAATGACCGTGGAGAACACCCATTTGCAAGTACACATTTTAAGTCTGTTTTCAGAAACTCAGTGAGAATTAAAAGTGTACATTATAGTGTGTGTGTGTGTGTGTGTGTGTGTGTGTGTGTGTGTGTGTGTGTGTGTGTGTGTGTGTGTGTGTGTGTGTGAGAGAGAGAGCTATCAATTACTCCAGCATTTAAAATCAGAATTGCATAATCTCTCCGATGTGTCACACGGATGATGAATTGACGCCAGGTAATCAGAAAAGGAACAGAAGTTCATTGTTTATTGAGCACAATACTGCACTGCACTGTTTGGCAAGACCTACATATTGTGAAGGAAAATAAGATAAGCTGTGTAATTGAAATCCCTAGAAGTTGTTAGTCAAGCACACAACATCCATCCTCATAGCTGTCTAATCCAGTCCGGGGTCACCAAGGGGTTGGAACCTGTCAGAGAGACGCCCTACTCAGCCCGCCAGTCCATCACAGTCCCATCAAACAATGCCTGAGTAAATACACCTGTATGCCCACGGTAAGCCGTATTCATAAGAACATTACTGCCGAGCATGAAGCAGATCAGAAAAAATGTGCACTTGAAGAATGAGTGCGGTTCTTCTCGTGTTTCAACATCCGCACCAGTGAGGATCTACAGGGAAGAGACGATAGATCAGAGTCAGGCAGCCGCTTTAAAACGTTGTCGTAACGCCTCTCAAACCCCCCAACGGCAGCCTACCTGAGACACTGAGCGTCTCGTTAGCCGTGGCCGTCTGCCCGGTGAAGGTGTTCTCAGCCTGGCAGCTGATGGACTCGCTGGACACGTGGCGGTTCACGGTGATGTCGATCACGCTGCCCGTCATCGTCCCCCCGTACAAGGTCCACGTGAAGGTGCAGGAAGGAGAGCACTCGGCTGAGCAAGTGAAGCTCGCCGTGACCCCGATTTCAAGAGCCGCTGGTCCGCCGATGACCACGTTCGTCGGCCCGTCTGTCGGAGCCACAAAAACAAAAAGCTACTCTAGCAGGTATCGAGAGGCAGAAGAAGTCCCATGGATGTTATGAAGTCATTTCTCACTCCAACCCTTGGCATTTGCTCACCGGGCACCTCCACCGTGGTCATGGCCGATCCGTTTTGCCCCGTCACCGGGTTGGATGCAATGCAGGAGAGGGCTGCCGCGTACGGAGGTATCACAGGTGTGAAGGATATGGAGGCGTTGGTAGACAGAGTCGTTCCTTGGTAAAACCAGGTGATGAGGCACGCGGGGAAGCATTGGCTCGAACACTGCAGTTCTGTTGTGGATCCGGGCTGAACCAGCATCACCTCACCCACCGGCAGTTCGTTTGCTTTCTCAATGAGCACCTCGTTCGGCCCGTCTGGGTGGTCATGAGAGAACTTGGTCAACACATTCAGTCGACGGCACCAATTGTCAGAAGGAAATATTTTATCACATCTTCGTAGGCTACGAGGCCCACAGAAATCAGTAGCTTTAGCTTAGCATGAAGAAAACTCGCCATGCCTGTAATCTGTACAATCTGATTAAACCCTGGCGTCCTGTGCCAGAATAATTCTTCCGCTTCTAAAACAGCCGGGAATGAGTCCGCAGGTGCATTGGGTTCCCTGACCTCGGTATACTCACAGTTCACTTCCATCAGGTAGCCCACGGACAGATTGGGGACTCCCCCCTCAACCACCACCACCAGCGTGTTGTCGTGGATGGTGCGGTTCTCCCCCTCCACCACCAGACACTGGTATAAGCCGTCATCCTCGCGCACGAGAAAACTGAACGTGATTGTGGTGTTGTCAGGGGAGAATTGCACCCTTTCGGACGCTAGCATTTGATTCTTATTCTTGAGCCATGTGATGGAGTCGGGTTCCTGAGGCCCCTCGCACAGCAGAGCGAAGGGCCGGCCTGCAACCGGCGGGGCTTGGGAGGAGGCCCGCACCGAGAACGGGTCTGCGCAGAGAGAACATTAAAACATCAAGAGTCGGCAAAAGCGGTGAACATAACTATGGCTGCTACTACGGGTTTGATCCAGAGAAGCCCTTTCCCAGAGTACGGCAGAACCGTGACACATTGCACAAACCACTGAAATAAATCTGTTGGAGCAAAGTTGTGGACTCACCAGTGACGGTGAGGTTAACAGTGGCGGTGATGGTGGTGTTGGATAATGTGTTCTTGGCCTCACAGGTGAGAGGCTCAATCTTAGAGTAGTCACTAATAGTGAGATCCAGCTGATCGCCCTCAAAAATCTTCCCCATGAACCTCCAGGTGAAATCACAGGACGGCGCGCACACGGCGGAGCACCTGTACGTGTACTCGCTTCCTATCGCCACTGCGCTGTCTCCGGCGATGTTAATGTTAGATAAACCTACAAATGGAGACAGAGAGAAAAAATAAAACTTGAATGTCTTCCTAATTTCCCCATTCTTTAACTTCAATTTGATCTTTCAACGATACCCTTGATGTTACTTAACAACGCAACACGTGTTTGGGCCTCATTCATTGCAAGTGATTTTCACGTACTCGCCAATTGCAGCTGCAGGTTATTCTCAATGTAGAGATGTGAGAGGGTCTCCTGGGCCTTACACTCCACACTGACATCTGAGAGGGAAGCGTTAGCGGACAGATCGACGGATATTGTGCTGCCTTGTGCGACGAGGAGCGTCTGCTCATCCGCGCTAACAATCCACGAGAAGTTGCAGGAGGGGTGGCAGTCGGCCGAGCAGGTGAAGTTGGATTCCACTCCTGCAGTCAGGAACGCCGGACCTCTGACATGTATGTTTGTTGGTCCGTCTGAAAAAGGGTTGGAAACTAGTTGAAGGCATTCCTCTTAAAACAACACAAGTATGAACTCGGATTCTTTCTTTTTCCTCCTTACCAATGACGTGCAGCGTCTTCTGGGCGGCGACTGATGTCTCCGTAGTGGGGTTGAGTGCCGTGCAGGTCAGGTTCTGTGTCTGCTCTGGTTCCTCCAGCTGCAAGATCAGCTTCGGGCCCGGGGAGGTCTCCTCGCCCCAGCTCCAGGTGAACTGACATGCGGGGTAGCAGCTGGCTGAGCACTCAAACTCGTACGTCATTCCCAGAGTCATTGTGTCGACCCCGGTGATCACGACGGAGGACGGCCCGTCTGCGGTTGGAGGCAGGACATTTTGTTATTATTACTAGTTGCGACCACATTCTGAACAGCAAAAAATATGTTTGTCTGATCGGCCTTTCATGATGGATAGGAGCGCCAGCTACTGTGGGAGGTCAATAGATGCGCTTGACGTAGGACGTACTGGATGCATTTGGGTAGCGAGAAACCAGATGTCAAAGGTCATCAACAGATCACCAATACGACAGGTACACTTCTCGAGCGCTACCCGGCCGCGACGCCCGTGGTGTACTCACAGTTGACTTGCATCTCGTAGACAGAGGACTGGATGATGGGCTCCCCCTCTGCCACCACGCATTGGTATGAACCGTCGTCCGCCTGCAGCAGGGGGCCGAAGGTCATCGTGACGTTGTCAGGGCTGAAATGCACCGTCTGGGAGGCTGACACTGGCTGTTTGTTCTTCAGCCACGTAATGGAGGCTGGGTTCTGAGAGCCAACACACTGCAGCGAGAAAGACTTGCCGGCAATTGGCAGGGCCTCAGAGGTGGCACGCACCGAAATTGGGTCTGCGCGGGGAAAATGAACACGACGTGACCCACCTGATATCGTTTTTTTTAGCATTCAAAATCAAAAGTGGGAGCCAAGCCGCAGACTCACCGATGACCGTCAGCTCCACCGTGGTGTTGATGCTGGCACCAGATATTGAGTTTGTGGCCACACATGTCAGATGCTCAATTTTTGAATATTCGCTAAAAGTGATGTCTTGGTGACTGACAAACTTTCTCCTTTCCCCCTTATGCAAGATGGGTATTTCGGTCTGGTCACCCTGGAAGGTCTTCCCCATGTAGTCCCACGTAAAGCTGCAGGATGGGTAGCAAGCCACATTGCACGTGAATGCGTATGTCTTTCCCATCGTCACTGTACCGGGACTCTCGATGCTGATGCCAGAGACACCTAAAGAAGTACACATGGAGTTTGAATGCATTCAGCTCATTTCACAAAGTTACATCAGAACATTCATTCAAAGGTACGGTCTACTAGTTCTTACATATCTTGTGACTTTCTTGTGACCTTCCTGCCGACTAGTTTTATTTTATAAAATGAAATGTATTCATATGTATAGCTTTACATCTCAAGTGTGATCTACGGCTGATCAGTATTATCAAATGGATCGAACGGCAGTTATAACAGAAATGTAATCCACTGTAATCAGAGACAACCAGAAAATAATTACAAAAATAAACCACAATGTAATACAGTAAGCCGATTACAGCAATATAAATAGAGTCAAACAATTGGACTGACTTCCATTATGTTTTGCCAAACTATTATCGGTAAGCACAGACATTCCTTCACCACACGATACTACCAGTGGGGTCGATCCCTTTGGTTCTTTTCACTTACTTGCCACCGGCCGCGTCAGAGTCGTAGAGATGAACAGATGTGAGACGGTGTCTTGAGCCACACACATCAGAGTTTCAGCGATGACGGTGCTCTGATATGGAGCGAAAGAAATGCTCTCGCCTTCGTGACTACTGAGCTGCTGCCCTTCCCAGGAAACAGTCCACGTGTAGCTGCAGGACGGGTAACAGCTGGCCGAGCAGCTAAAGGTGGAGGCAACTCCGTCAGTGAGATAGGTGGGACCGCTGATCTGTATGTTCGACGGGCCAGCTGGAAATATAGATTCAGTTGAAGTGAGTGACTCTGAGGTGACGCGTGAATTTTACTTCACTTTGGTCGTCACTCGTACCCGTCACTTGCAGCGTCTTTTGGACCGACGCTGACCCCCCCGTTGCTGTGTTGACCACCGTGCAGGTCAGGGTCTCCGTGGGCATCGTGTGCAGGAGCTGCAGGCTCAGCACGGGCCCCTGAGTGGTCACATTACCCCGGGTCCAGCTGTACTTGCAGCCCGGGAAGCAGCTGGCTGTGCACTCAAAATAATACGGGATTCCCACCGTAACCACGTTGACCCCGTCGATCTCCACTGAGGACGGCCCGTCTGCGATAGGAAACATTATTGTGATTCAAAAAGGGAAAATAGGCTTGTGTAGTTGAGATTACTGCATTAGTACTGCAGTCAGAAAACAGCAAATTTAATTTAAAGCATTTTTTTATCTGATGATGTATGAGGATCTTACATGAGGTTTCCCCTACGGATCCACCAGCTCCTGTTTCACTGGTAGAAAACCCTTGGTTATGAGAGAAGATAATATATTAACATCCATCCTGTTCTCCTGGTATCCGTTTTAGTTACGGAAGTCTGAACGAATGAGCATTAAACTGAGAATTGATGCGAGCAGGGCGGCCTCTCCTACCTGCCAAACAGGCGAGCAGCAGCAACGACGGCAAAGCGGCGGAGTGATGATCCATGCTGCTGCAGACAGTCCAACAACAACAACAACCAACTATCCGCACTAATAGAACCATCCAAACTCTTATAGCGCAATATGTCGAAAGGCCTTGCCCCCTGTTATCACCCGGTAATTACAAAACATAGACGACAAATGACGTAATGTTACCGGGAACGGAGGGCAGAATGTAGGTTATCGGCCGGCTCTATTCTCTGCAGAGGGCGTGCATGCAAGCAGCCAACGTGTCGTGAGTTCTATTCTTTAGCGGTTTCTTTTGTACCTGCGGGCCATGTGGCTCTGTCCCCTTTTCATATCTGCCTGTGGTCACAGATGTAAAGACTCAAAGTCAATCAATCACAGCGTGTTGATAGAATACGACTCCAGCTGCCTGCTGGATCTGATATGCTTTTATTGATGTCTTTGGGGTTTATTTATATGCACGTACACGACAGTAATAGCTTCATTGACTTCAATTTTCAAACCCGTTAAGAGACAATACTTTAATCGTTCCTCCCAAACTGCCTCTTAGACATCAGAGACAACTATAACAAAAGTAGGATTGTATTTATACTTAAATTACTGCCAGAGTCCCTTGAACTTCTCACGTACCAACGTCACCAAGAGGCGTGAACCAAACCGAAGAAATGAAATCTCAGATTATTTACAGGACATCTTTGTTTTATCAAAGCAGTAATGAACACAGGGCACACTGAAGCACTCCTTACCGAGTGTTTGTCCGTTGACCGAAACAAACCCTGGGTGTGTCTTTATACAGTCACTTCTGTTTGCCCACCAGAGATTAAAGCAGAGCGGGTGCCATTTAGAATACATTTGGACACAGATGAATTCCCTCGTAAATTAAATACATCTCATTTGGTTGAAAATGTTTTTGTTAAATGCCAATGTTTCTCACACACCTCAGTAGTATCACATCAGCATCCGGCCTGCAGACGGAGCCTGCAAGTCTGAATCAAGACCATCTAATCATTTTGACACCCCCGCAAGTTTAAAGCCTTTAAACACACACAGGGTTTTGTCCATTGTAAGGCTATTATTGCAACTAATGACAGCTTTATCGTTGTTATTAATTCATGAAGGTCATTTCCAGCAAAGCTCCACCCACCAGTCCAAGCGGAAGTCCTGCCTGAAAACTCCAAATCCATGATAAGAGATTGGGTTTGGGATTAATTAACAAGAGATGTTGAAAGATGGAAACCAGTGTTAGACTGGGTGCACCCCTCTGGACTAGACTTTACCCTGCCAATTTAAAAAACACTTGTTCTGACACTGACTTGACCTGATAAAACAGACTGGTGCTACGCGAATGTGATGTGATATGCTGTGGTTGTTGCTATTTCTCGTTTTTCTGTTTTGTCTTTTTTCTTGTCCACGCGTGTGTTTTTCTATTTTTTTTTTCATGTCTCATCTTCTGTTCCATTGTATTCTTAAAGTTCTACAGTGCTGTCTTGGTAAGTTGTAAACTAAAAATGAATCTCTAAAAGAAGTGGCACATACATCCTCGCTGGGGTTACAGACCCCACCAGAATTCTCCTATTCCTCTTTTTCCTTTCAGCATATGTACTTAATTGTTGTGTGTTTTTGAATGATGTGTGTAAGAGTCCAACCTCTTCTTCTCTGCGTGCCGTAGAACTCTCCCTGTGTACTATTGGTTTATCGGTTGCAGGGGGAGCGAGCCCCCACAGAGAGGACTTGTTAGCTTGCATGTGTGTTGCTGGAGCAAAACAGAAACGTGTGAAGATGAAATGCTATTAGTTATATTTGACAGATGAAGGAAAGTAGCGTTAGCTTCATGACGCGGTTGGCTATTGTCATCTAATAGCATTCCCTCACTTCGGTTGTTCGGCTCTCTGCCTCACTAATGAGTAATCAAATGTGATGGCACAGTAATTAGATAAGCTGATAAAGAAAATGAATCAGCCATGTTAATTGTATAAGGCATCCAGCTATTTTGTTGTTTGTTGTTGTTATTGGGTGATATGCAAGTATATTATAACGAAACGGATATGGGGAAGTAATGTGAAATTGTGCATGTGTGGTTGCTAAAGAAAATATCTTAGTCTTCCAGGCTTAAAGGCATCAATATTTATTATTTTTTATCAATGTGGAAGAATCTTACAGAGTCAACACAGTCATTACATGTCCCCACTTGGATGTGGAAGTGTTTTTTACACGCCTCTCGCTGGAAAGTTCAAATGAGCTTCGGCCTCCTTTCAGCCTGCCACACCAACAGAGAAGAATGCAGTGTGAAACACCTAGACCAATAATTCATCACAAAGCCACTGAAAGGAGGAAAGATCTGACAGAGGAAGACAAAGACTGGAAGAGAAATAATTACTTTGATTACGTTGGGGACAATACATCTGCAAACGCTATTGCAGCTTAAATAACATTTAAAAAGCACCCAAAACAACACTTTGCTAGGATCATGATCCCCCCCCCCTCGACACAACGCCTGTCACTGTGGCAAAAGAGCAGAAATGATGAAGGCCAGCAGCAGCAGAGTGGAGGCCTCTCCAGGGCGGGTGGACGGGTTCCGGGCTGCCCCTGAGCACAAGAAAACAACGTTTGAGTATCCGTGTGAAGCATCGAGCGGATGCACGACGATGCCCGTTAAAACCTACGCGCTATCTGCACTGTCTTTGACGCCACGGCGGTTCTCCTCGAAGCGGTGTTCTGAGCCTCGCACTTGAGAGTGACCGACTTCAGCGGGTGATCCACCATTATCTCCATCACGCCGCCCCTCACGGTCTGATTGCCCATTGACGAGGCGTAGCGGCAAGCGGGCACGCATTCAGCAGAGCACACGTACGTGTACTTTTCTGCAAGTTCTATCACGTCGGGGCCGATAATCTCAACCTTTGCTGGACCAGCTGGAAGAAAGCAGAAGTCAGGATATTCAATTGTAACACAGTCTCTGTTTATTAATGAAATACTTTTACTGGAAAAGGTGTCTTTTGCCCCACTTGCAGTGAGACCCGTTCGCTTACATATCACAGCTATGCTACGAACAGCGCCGACAAAAAGCTTGGACACGCTGTTGGTGGCTTTGCAGATGAGAACTCTGGAGCTGTCCATCTCCTGAGGAGTGATAGAAATGACATTCCCCTGACCACTCATCCACGGGCCTTTATCCGTCTTCCAGGCATAGGCGCAAGATGGCCGACAGTAAGCGTGGCAGCTGTAGGTGTGGCTCACAGATGGATCCATCAGGTCGGGGCCTGAGATGGAAACGTTGGCAGGGCCGGCTAAGTGAGGAAGACAAATACATGAGTCATTAGAGAGCAGCGGTGGACCAATTACGCATACGGCAACCGTAACAACATTTCCATTCATAAATAAAGAAATCAGCCCTACTTTACCTAACACTTGCAGTCGCTTTGTTGCCGTGGCATTCACACCTTTGCCCGCTGTGACTGTACACGTCACTGTCAGCGCCTCCGCCCAGCTGGTAACCGTGAAGGCTAACACGTTGCCCTGACCGGCGGCGCTCTGTCCATCCAAAGACATAGAATAGGTACAAGCTCGGCAGTCGCTGTAACACTCAACGCTGCTCGGCACTCCCACAGTCACGTATTCTGGACCGACAATTGAACAGGCAACTTTCTCTGCATCTGAAAAGGACAATCTCAATTAGGCTATTCACTTCTCACTTCTTTGCAGTCACCATATATTATATGGGGGGGGGGGGTTATCTGGAGGTTAAAATTGATAAAGATAGCGTGTTAGATAAAGGTTAATTTTTTTAATATGAAATCACTCACTCTCTTTGTCGTCATATAGTTCGGGTTTCTCTCCATCTGTAGACAATACTGGCTGAAGGCCTGCAAGGGCGATGAAAACATGTTCACTGTTAACTCAAACACTAGAGTATCATTGCTCTGGAAATGTTACTTTGATTGAGCGTGGCTCCTCTCTGTTGACTTTCGGGCAAATGCAAACACACAGTCACAAAAGATCTGTGGAAAAAATAATTAGCTACTCGGCAGGTCAACAGGTTCATTCTGATAACAGCGGCCATCTTAGAAATTCTTCATGATACATTTTGTCGATTTGTACAAAGAAAGTTGAAGTGGAATAAGGTCCAAACAAATGAATATAGCTTGTTGGCATAACACATTTTTACTGTTTCAAACAAAATGTTAAAGTTAAAGGAATAAAATTCTGTCTAATAAACTCAAGCATCTTGCTGCTACACTTGAACATGTCTGAGCAGGAGGGTAGTTAGCTATGGTTAGCCAAACATCACTGACATAAATCAGTCTTTGATAGTTTGCTAACTTTACAAATCTTCTATTTTAGTGCTGGAATTAAGCTACCATTTAAGGTGTTAAAGTACATTTTACATGTAAAAAACACTATTAAAAAGTATAACATATTTTGAGCAAATTACACTCAAGTTAGCTAAGATAATAGCCCCGCTTATACCAAAATTATATGTTATATGTGTGTGTAGCATTTCACTATTGTAGCTGGTTGAGGTGGAGATCATTGTGATCATTGTGTTGTTTAGTTTTATCGACCATTTTAAAAAGCTTATATATTTCTTTATCTTTTAAATGATTAACTGTAGTCATCAGTCAGTCATCTTCAAAGCTACTTTTCCTTCATAGTCAAAGGACAAAGGTTCACCCTGGACAAGGTTCACCCTGGACACACCTACGGGCACGTTAGACCCACGTACTCCCCAGAGCACGTCTCCGGACTGTGGGAGGGAGCCGGAGAACCCGGAGAAACCCACGCAGACACGGGGAGAACATGCAGACTCCACACAGTGCCGACCACCACACCAGCATCCAGTAGAAACTATCATAATCACTTCTGAAGGCAGGAGCAGTCCCACAAAGTAAGGTGAAATGGAAAACTTAACTAAAGTACCGTAAGCGTTTAGTTCACGATCCATTATATTTACAGTTGGTATTATACACAAAGTAAAGAACCCAGTAAAAAAAACGTTTTCCCAACAGCCATTAAGATGTGACCATGTTATCACAACTATAAACCAGTTCTTCCACTGGTAGTTTTCAAATAAAGAAAACCCTTGTATTACCTGACAGCAAAAGAAGCAACAGAATTCTTCTGAGATTTGAGCGTCCTATATATGTGACGGTATTATCCATTGTGCCGCAAGAACCTCAAGCGTACAGCCACCAGGAAATAGAAGGCTAGCACTGCACAGTCAGTCAGTCAACATCAGCAGGCAAACAGCTCTTATAGGAGAGCCAAGGGGAAACATATCTGCCTTCTTAGTCACTCTAATGACAAATATATTGCTCTCTTAATAGAATAAATTGGCAGATCAAACCTTGTACAGGGTGGCATTTAGCCGATGTTCTTCATCAACAAACAACCAATTTAGATGTATCCAGTGTGAGAGGCAGTTTCAGTGTTTGTTGGAAAACACATGAGTACGATTATAATATCTTAACTCAGCTACGTATTATTACATTACATTACATTACAGGTCATTTAGCAGACGCTTTTATCCAAAGCGACTTACATTACACTTTAAACCCATGGCTTTTACACATTTTTGCCCGGGGAGCAATTAGGGGTTAGGTGTCTTGCTCAGGGACACTTCGACATGGAACATGGGGCAGCCTAGAACATGGGGCAGCCTAGAATCGAACCACCAACCTTGTGCTTCCCAGCACACCTTCTCTAACCCCTGCGCCACGACGACCCTATTAAACAACTAGAAACGGGAAAAACAGTCCGTTTCATTGGCCCTGTTCTCTTTGACCGTTTAGAACATGAAGAGAAATTGTTGGTTTGACCTGCAGTGGTTAATATGTGTGTAACATTATTCCCTTTTACATTCCAAGCATTTACGTTGATACTGAACAACGGGCCTCGCCCTTTGTTCCCGAAATACGTCTATTATCAAAATGCAAACAGGGCCCAAAACCCCCCCTGCCACATAATAGATAGAGCAGACAGGTTGTGATTTCGGACATGCGGTTTATGGTTAATGGATAAATAATCTGACACAAAAACACACAGCTGACCCTCTTAACAACTAAGCATATCAGATTTATTGACATTTTAACAAACTAATCATATTCGTACTCCTACACAAACACAGTCAAAGTCAACAAGAAAATTATTATTTTAGGGTGCAAGTGTGCGTTTGTGCACGTGTGTGCTCTTAAAGTGACGTCTCTCTGGAGTCTCTGGGCGGCCTGAAGGTCAGTATCTCTGTGAACGTGTGACCTGCAAAAACACAAAAGAGACTATTTCACTTCTGCCTACTTGCATATCCAAGTTCAATCCTTATGGAACTCTTTTTTTCCCCACTTTTATTTCTCATGTTGTATACAAAGTAAAACGGCCACATCTGTGTAACAGTGCATGTTTAAAAAGAAGAAGAACTGCGGGGACCTCATGTGGCGAGCTACTGTAACAACACTGAATATGACCTGAAACCCAAAACAACATGCTTAGGAGGCTGAAGTGCTCCGTACAGATAAAGGGACCCGACGCCTCTCTCTTACGTTTCCACTGATCCAGCGGCAGGTCCGTGTTGTCCATCGTCTGATCGTAGGGCTGCGCCTCGGTCTCCTCCTCGGTATCTCTGAACTCGGCGAAGAAAGGCAGGTCGAGCGCCTCCGAGGCGTTCGCCCTCTGCTCCGGGTCCAGCAGCAGCATCTTTTCCAGGACGCACACCGCTGCGTGGCACACATGCATCTGCCGGTCAGCAAAACTGGGTTTAGTGCCGCCAAAAGCTGGCGAGCAGAGAACCGTTACGTACCATTTGAGCTAGCTTTGGAGAAAACAGACTGCAAGTCCTTTTTTGGCACTTTTGGCAGACTTCTGATGTAGTTTTTGGCCTGTCGAGAGAGAGGAGGTAAAGAGTTGGTGTACTGAAGGACTTTCATAAGTCAGAAGTTAGGTATGGACCAGACATTGTGTTCTGGTACTTCTTGTCTTTAAATTGATCATTTCATGGCAACCAAAAGCAGACTATCGGAAACAATTGCAACCCAAGCCTTACATCTTGGCTCTGTAGCTTAACAACAAAGTCAGCAGCTGGTGTTCCTGTGATCTTCATGATTTCTCGCAGCTGATCCAGGTCTGGCAGTAGAAGTGGTCAAGAATCCTCTATTGCATGGATTTTTACATTTCAAATACGTGCTCTCTTTTCGGGCTTTAGCCTGAACACGTACAGACACGGCGAGAGCAGTTAACTAAATGATTTAGAGACGGGGACAAAACCAGGCTGCCAAGGATACGATCACTTCCTTTGAACAGCGGCCTCCCCAGCAGCATCTCGGCCATGATGCAGCCTGCCGACCAAATATCCACTGCAGCGAGAGAGAGAGAGAGAGAGACAGCGACGTCAGCTTCCGCTTGGTGAAACAAGGGCTCTTTATCTTTTCCTCCACTTCCGTTGCCACGTGATGTGACGACGAGGGCTTACCAGTTTGTGTGTAGCGCATCCAGTTGAGGATAACCTCGGGCGCCCGGTACCAGCGCGTCACGACGTAGCCGGTCATTTCGGCATCGGCCTGCCTAGCCAGGCCAAAATCCAGAATCTGAAGCAGCAGAACAGAGCATAGCTGTTGCATTGAAGTGTGCAGACTTTCCCATTAAAAACCGCTCGCAGTCAAGTTAGGGTACCTTTAGCTCACAGTCCGGGTTGATGGCTAAATTTCCAGGTTTAAGGTCCTGGAGAAGAAGATCAAGAGAATAGTTGTACATTGTACATTGAGTGATCGTCACACTGCTTCTGGCAAATGATAGGTTAGATGTTAACACTTGGAGCCTTTCAGGTAACAAAGTATGTGAGGAAATGAATACATAAATATTTTACGATAAAATCATCAATATAAAAAGAGTCCGTCCTACATTTGGAAAGACGTGGCAATAAGCTGACGGAGATAGAGGTTAATTGTGTGGGAATTTAGGATGAATGGGATAGAGTGTGAAAAAAAGCAAGAGCCCCCCTCCCAAAGCTCACAGTCTGAAAGGTCAAAGTTTACGCACCCTGTGGATGATCCCTGCAGAATGGATATACTGAGGAGAAAGGACACACAGACAGCTTCAGCAACTTCATCACAAAGCGTGTTTACACATATTTGCAGCGACTTGCTGGTGAGGGCAATGAGGAGCGTGCATGCAGTGGTTTTCACCTTGAGTCCTCGGAGCATCTGATAGACGAGGAACTGCACCCTGTCCTCCGATAATCTCTCCAGCTTCATCAGCTTGCCGAGGTCGGTGCCCATGAACGGCATGACCAGGTAACTGCAGGGACGAGAGAGAGAGAGAGTCAGGTTCCTCCAAAAGAACAAAGGCAAACCACTTATTTTATAGTCAGCAGCACTCGCACACTCACAAGTCACGCAGGCGGTCCAGTGCGATCTCAGCGGTGAAAACATCCAGCAGCCCAATGACCTGGTCGGGACGAATTTCAAGCAAAATCAAAGCGCGGTTTTCAAGCCGCATTAACCTGCTTCATGCTGCATTCATGTCCCCCTTGTTTATAAAAACAAAAAAACTACACAGGATGCTTTGAGTGTCTTTCGTCTTTCTTTGCTTACGTTTTCGTGCTTCATGTGTTTGAGGAGTCGCAACTCCCTGTACGCCCTTTTTGCAAAAAGCTTGGACTGGAAGGGCCGATGGAGTTTCTTGATAGCCACCTGCGCCCCCAACCGCCGGTCCCACGCTGAACTGAATCGGACAGGTAGACAGGTACGTCACATACTTTGCACGCACAGGTGCAGGTTCAGCTTCACCTCGGCGAACTCAACTGCGATGTGCACAATTCCATCACCTGAGATTCTGGTGTATTAATCACACCTTTGCCTTTTCTTGCTGTGACCACAAGCAATGTCGGCTGTGTGTTGGCGACTGAAAACGACGCAGTGGTGCGTTTTAAAAGCGCCTCGCTCGGGCTCTTTGACTCCTTCAAACAATGAGACTGGGGGGGTTGGTTCTCTTTGTTGACCCTCATCCATACCACACAATGCACACAGAGGCCCTGCAGAGCCAGCTGTGTGGTGATACTGGCCCCAAACGTCCCACACCAGCAGTGGCACGAAATTACACAAGTAAAAGTCTTGGTGTTAAAAAAAAGTACTTAGATAAAATGAGGAACTGGGACTTTTTTTTTCTTTCATTCGACGTGCTTTGTTTGTTTGTTGGCTCCGTTTTGTGATACTTTAAATACCACTGGACCAAATTGCTGTAGAACACTAAATCCATCGCATAGTTGCACACGTCGTAAAACCCTACAGCCGAGCCGACGTCTCACTCACCACACGGTCCCGTAGGCTCCTGTTCCGACCTGCTTCAGGTCCCGGTACCTCTCCGGAACCTCCCACCCGGTTCGGTTTACCTCCTGTCGGTAGTACCCCGTCCTGGAGCGCACAGCCATCCCGCAGCGACTGAGGTCAGGATGCGGTTCCGTTCATGCGAACGAACTCGGTCTTTTGTTTAATCTTATTTCCAAAGGGGGGGGGGGGGGAGAGACGCACGCGCGGTCCGTCCCGCGGAGAAGGGTTCGGTGCGAGACAAATTCCTCCGGGAAACCTCCGACACAAACGGACACACAGACAGATATTGTTAGTCATGGCTCCTGGTCGCCTGGGTGCTATGTGGGTGGGTCTACAATGTGTGGGGGGGCCGCACTGGAAACATCTGCCCCCCACTGAGGTTCACCCCATAATACATCCACGCACAGTTGGCACGCGAGCCTGGAACGCAATCATAGATAATGACCATCAAACACCGCGTGTCCGCGACGCTCAATATTCTGTTCAATTTCATTTATTTAGATTTATTCGAATTGCATATCTGTTCATATGTTTTTGTGTGTGGGGGGGGCATAAAACCCAAGGACAACAGCGGGACACCCGGCAGACTCACCGACATTCGTTAGCGCACCCACTAGGGGACAAGGGACACACGTGGGTTAAATACAGCGGGAAGGTGCAGCCGATTGGACACATGAGGAAACAATCAGGGACACGGCAGACAATCACAGGAGGAAAAAAACAAAAACATTAACCCAGGGACACAAGAGGCACGAAAATACAAAATAAAACAGGAACCCTCAGCGTGACACCATTAGTATAATATATTATGTATTCCATTTTGCTATACTATACTATATTACACCACCCTCATTGGACTGATCTCCGGTGGGGATGAGTCCGCCTACAGGTGGGAGTCTGACCATCTGGTGTCGTGGTGCAGCCAGAACAACCTGGAGCTCAACGCTCTAAAGACAGTGGAGATGGTTGAAGATTTCCGGGGAACAGAGCCCCACCTTCCCCCATCACCCTGTGCGACTCCCCCGTCACTATTGTGGATTCCTTCCGTTTCCTGGGCTCCATCATCACCCAGGACCTCAAGTGGGAGCTGAACATCAGCTCCATCACCAAGAAGGCTCAGCAGAGGTTGTTCTTCCTGGGGCAGCTGAAGAAATTCAACCTGCCAAAGAGGATGATGGTCCACGGGCGACTGTGGGTGAGTGGGGAGCACGGTCGTCCTCCAATCAGAGGGTTGTGGGTTCGATCCCAGGCCCGGCTAACCCGCATGTCGTTGTGTCCTTGGGCAAGACACTTAACCCAACATTGTTCCTGTAGCTGCGACTACAGTGTGTGAATGTTAGTTACTGATGGCAGGTGTCACTGTGTATGGTTCTCCTGTCATCAGTGTATGAATGGGTGTGAATGGGTGAATGATGTTGTGTAGTGTTAAAGCACTTTGAGTGGTCAGAAGACTAGAAAAGCGCTATACAAGTACAGGCCATTTACCATTTACCACTTTTACACGGCCATCATCGAGTCCATCCTCTGCTCCTCCATCACCGTCTGCTACGCTGCAGCCACAGCCAAGGACAAGGGCAGGCTGCAGCGTGTCATCCGCTCTGCAGAGAGGGTGATCGGCTGCAATCTGCCGTCCCTCCAGGACTTGTTCGCTACTAAGACCCTGAAGCGAGCTAAAAATATCGTAGCCGACCCCTCTCACCCCGGACAAAACCTGTTTGTGCCCCTAGTGTGGTGTGACCTCCCGCCACACCAACAGTTTCTTCCCGTCGACAGTCGGGCTCATCAACAGAGCCTTTTTAAACAACAACAACACAAATATTTTTAGTTTTCCATTTTATTTCATAGATGTTTGATGGTTGTGCAGTGAAATGCAGCCATGTTCATCCTCACCAGACTGGAACAGCTATGAAACTTGCTTTGAGCAACAGAAAAGGACCTTTTGAAAACTGTTGCTATAAAGGTGGAAACGACCAATTCACACTACAGATTGTTCTTAATTGGAACAATTTAAACAATATTTGGGTACAAGGGTGTCACATAACCTTTGTCCATAGAGAATGTGGAAGACAAAATGTAGAAGACAAAAAATATCATAACAAACAAGAGTTAACAGAACTGTTTATTCCGTTGTGTACTTGCCAAAGCATGTTACCCGTTGATGATGAATTAAAAAAAATCGGTTGAAAAGTGACTTTTGAAATGAAGCTTAGTGATTTGAAACTCATGGCTGCCGGTGAATCACATGCCACCATGTATTCAGATGACACACCTAACTCGTAACTTACACAGGCTGCAGGTATACAGGTATACATTCCATTTGCAGTTTGCTATTCAAATCAACCCCATATATAACATCCACATAAGCATACAACACTTTAACATTCAGAGCTCTAACACGCTGACATGACAGGAAGGTTTTATTCACTTTGACTGTAAACATTTTGCTTTCAGTTCAATCAACGATTTGCACAAAAAGCTACATGTAGCACTCCAGTATGAACCATTACAGGAAAAAAGAGGGGATTTTTTTGTTCTTCAAAAATATATTTTGGTTGTTTCTTTTAGGCAGAAATAATCTCACTGGTTTGCTGCGATTTGAGTGCGATGAGCCATAGAACAAAAAGTTAAACTTGCGCAAAGGAACACATAAAACTTGGTATAGGTTTTCTTTTTATTCCATTTTTCATCTTATATCTGCAGTGAAGTAAAACCTAATCTGGGCTTGATCGTAAACCATGTGTTATGTGTCAAAGTATTTCAGCTACCATAGATTACAATCACAGAAGATTTGCAGCTCTTTAACCTAAAGGTCTGCTTGTCCTCAGATGATCAGATTCTATAAAACCTATATCTGCTTGGCAGATGTATTTCTTCATTTGTTTTCATTCTGTTCTACATTTCATAACAACAGCTTTGTCCTCTTGTTTTCTCTTAACATTTTCACTGACATTCCGTCTGCCGCAAGAGCAGTGACACAATGTCAGTGGGGAAGCGAGCCATTCGTTGTGATAATCTGGATAGGCATTGAGCGCATGCTGCTCCTACAAACGTTACCGCAGTTCACTGTTACTGAAATACCCACAAGTGAGGTAAATAACATCCCCGGTGCTTTTATACTATGGTCTATAATGAATGTGCACACTCATCAAAACAAAGATGAGGAAACACAGAGACTTCATGGGAGTGTTAGACCAGTCATTACTTGCATGGAGCTGGGAAATGTATTATTATCCATCATGGTTTACAACAGCTGACAAAATGCCTGTAAAACTTTACCATCGTAAACACAAACCGGGGCTGCATAAGACGCGACAGAGAACTATAGGAACCTGATGGGCCGCTGCCAAAGCCAACAGGTGACCAGATATCAGTCACTGTAAACACAGACTTGCATCACAGTCATGCTGCTCCAGCATGTATTAATTACCGTAGTAATTAATAGCACAGTTGGTGTTTACTACTCTAGTAGAGGATGACTGAGGAAGAACTGTTGTTTTTCATTGCTATATCTTTTTTTTTTCTTTTCGTGCTTTAATTATGAAGATAAAACAGATTGAAATTTGGTCACATTTCCTGGTAATGTCTCTCTGACCCACAGGCTGCGTTTAAAGCAGTGTGGCATTTGCAACAAGCAGTCTTAATAGTAATGCAATACAATACCGGTAATATTTTCAAATAATAAAATGGTCAAAAATCATGCAGTAGTATGATGGTTAAATGCTAAGCTGCTCCTGTGACAAACGACATTCGTCATTCACGAGGGACCAGATGTCATTGCTTTGGAAATCCTAGTGTGCGTTGGTTTTATTTTTTCTTTGATTCCTTTCTACCGGTCTGTAAACACAGTTCAGTTCCCCGAAGTTGCCTGCACGCATGAATCACCATAACCTCTGCAATCCCTGACGTTCAATGGTTCCTTGTTTTAATCGTGCCGAGCGGAAACATAAAAGGAAGCAACTTCTGAACTGGAAAGTTCCGTCTATGTAAAATGCTCGCGGGAGGTTACGATGTGCAAGAGGGAATGCAGAGTTCTCTTCCTCCTCCCGGTCATTGAGCGCTTGGTCCTTTTGGAGGGGAAGGGTTGAGGCGCACCTGAAAGAGGCTCACTGCTCCGCCTGAAGGCTATCGGTCTTGTTGCCGGATGTTTTGACGCAGTTCACCTCTTCAAATACCAACTCTAAGCACACACACACACACACACACAAACACACACACACACACACACACACACACAAGAGAGAAATAAAGCCAAACAAATCATGTCATGAGTTCGGTTTACGTGTTTAAACTGGTTGTCAGGGATATTTTAAGAACCGGGACACTTTCATACTGTATATAAACCGAGAGACTTCTGTCGCCGGCTTTGATTCGGTGCATTTATAATCGGGCTCGTTCAGCTTGGTAGACAAAGAAACTCAAAATTAGAATGCAAACCATGCAGTAAATATCCACCGTGACTCATATATCAGCTCTGAGACATTCCACTACTCGTAAAACTCCCTGCTGAAATGGAACGGAATCGTATTCGTAATGTCAGAAATGGCATCTTTAAATAACTCCGATATTACATGTAGTGGGTGTAGAGAAGAACAGCAATGCAAGCTCAAAATCCGGAAAAGCTCGAAGCTCACTTTGGATCCGTCGTGGCAATATATACATCCTCCTTCTCTGCAAGTCAAAAACTGCCCTTCTAAAAGTGACTATTAGAGAAAAACAGCGAGTGCATTTGTGTCTGAAAGAAGAGAGAAGCGAGATGGTCACTCTTAAGCTGGAAACAGGGCAACACATTCTGACTGCTCATCGTAAAACACTTGGTCAGTGCCCCCAAGCTTCAAACTGTGTCTGTTCGAACAATGCACTTCCTCTAACATCAGCCACCGGGTGTCCAATCTCCCTTTTTACACCACCAAGGTACCTCTGAGTGTTTAACAGTACGGCGTTTTAATTAGAGTTGGTTGAAGACCGGCGCGTCGGATGTTCAGGGGGAACAGAGCGTCGGTCTTGGAGTTGGGACTGAGACCGGGTTGATTGAGGACAACAGTGGCAGTAAGTGGGTGATTATACTGTTTTAACTCATATATCACCTTTCCATTCTTCTAGAGTTCGGTCTTTGCTCTCCAGCGTCTGGTCGTAAGGCGGGGCCACGGGCTCGTCGTCTGGGTCGTGGTACTGGGAGAAGTAAGGGTGGGACAGAGCCTCGTTGGCGGAGATCCTCCCATCGCAGTCTAGAACCAGCATGCGCTTCAGTAGATGGACAGCTATCGGAGACAGAAACAGACAGAAGGGTTGGAGACAAAGCTTCACATCCGAAGGGCCGTAACCGAATTACTCATTTGCGATATGCGTGGAACAACAACTTGAGCCCATTTGAAGCCTTTCAATTGAATTTAAGAAACTGAATATGCAATCTGCAGCGCATCGCTCACCCAGTGGGTTCGCTCCTCTGAAGATCTTCTCCAGGTCCTGCTGGGGCATGAAGGGCAGAGACTGGATGTACTTCTGTGCCTGCAACAGGAGATCAACATTCAACTCCTGTGACATCGGGATGATTTGTTTGTGTATCAATCATCCCAACACCCACACATATCGACTACTCAGTCAACAACCCTGTCTACGGAGTGACTAATAAATCAGACCAGGTCGTCAATGTTTGACGTCAGATGTCTTTTTCCAAACCACTCCTCTATCCATCATTTCCTGTCTCACATGTTCAGAGCAGATCTTCTTCAGCAGGTCGGGTGTCGGAGTGCCAACCACCTCCATGATTCTCTTCAGCTGGTCAATATCTTAGTGCAGAAGGCGTTAAGGTCTGTTAGAACATCATTCGTTGTAGTAAGCTTGTCCCGAAGGAAAACGCAGAACCTCTACTTGCTGAGCTCTACTGAGAGTAGTTTTATAGTCAGCGTCCCACAGAGATCAGTAAATCGAATGTGTTAGAGCTCCGCTTTTGCGACATAAAACAAACTAGATGACTCAGTCTTTTGTGATCGCTCCCATTCGATCCCCACTTCCCTCTGTTGACACACCTCCCCTTCAGAAAGGCCCGCAATTGTGATGCAAATCCACAAGAGGTCCGCATCCACAGGGCCCACTACAAAGAAGTAAAGGAAGGTTGGTCCTAAGAGGGGGAAACAAGCAGTGGATGGAAGTGGCTCTTTCAACATGCTAGTAAAGGATACAGTCAGTGCCAGGAAAAAGGACTTTTCCTTTCAGCAGCTCTCCCATAATGCATCCCACGGACCAAATATCAACTGTAACAGAAACACCAGAGGTTTAATCCTTTAGTTAAGTTTGCGTTTGAAGAAAAAAAAAACAAGCCAATTAAATATACAAACTATAGTTTGGTGGCGTGTTACCGTTCTGATTGTAGTGCATCCAATTCAGCATGATCTCCGGCGCTCGATACCAGCGAGTCGCCACATACCCCGTCATCTCGTCATCCGTCTGCCTGGCCAATCCAAAGTCAAGGATCTGCAGGACAGGAAGACAATTCTTTGATTGATGGGAGGTCATTGGCTGGGGTGAAGGAAATGTAGGTTTAAACTGGAGCTCACTCTTACCCTCAGCTCACAGTCCTCATTTACTGCCACATTACTTGGTTTGAGGTCCTGGGAAAGATATTAGAGCAGACAAAGGCCGGACAGAAACATGATTATAGGATGAATAACAATATGAAAAGTAGCGTAAAGCACCGAGCTTCCATTTTGAAGGGCTTCTGGGCAGTTTTAACCACATTTGCAGACTCATTCAGATTCAAACACCAAACTAAAATAATTACATCCAACAACAATGTACTACCCAGTTGTTGATTATAAATGTCTTAAAAAAGCATTATTGTATACTTAAATCAACGGTTCAACCCATTCTCAACCATGCTGTGCTGCCAAATATTGCTGCCAAAATGGTCAAACTTTAAATCCTCTGAATTCTGAACTGTATAAATGTGAATGAAAATATCCTAGAATATGTCCAATAAATGTGCAGTCTACGAGGCTGCTGTGTAAACTCAAGCGAAAGATTTGTCCAACCTCTGAGCTGCGTTAGGGAGGATACAAGGAGAAGGCTGTATTTTTAGTTCTATTTCAAACTAGGCAAGTGCTGTTATGTTTTTCAAACTTGATGCTCAAAAAGGACAAGAAGGGAAAAGAGAGGTCGCTCACTCTGTGAATCAATCCTGCCGAATGGATGTACTGTTTGACAGGCGGAGGGGTGGAGCAGGAGGATGGGGGAGGAGAAAGAGCACATAAAGTGAGACAGGGGTCAACAGTGCAGTTCACCATATTATCCCGATGTAAAGGGAGACTGCTTTTGTCTGTCCCATGGTAACCGTGAAGCCCTGCTGGCTGCCGGATCCGTTCAGTGAGAACAAGCAAGCTTTGGACGGAACCCACAAAGAATAACATGATGTCAAACTAAATAGAAATATGGCAAGAGTTGCTGCAACATAAGACTCAGGTGTCCGAATTCAGGCTTCGAAAATTTGAAAAAAATTGAAATTACAATTTGATATAGAGACTCTTGTCACATATAAACATTGTTGCAACCGAGAGCATGTGAAAACGTAGTGTGCGTTACTGTGTTCAATTCAATTCAATTCAAAGAAAATCTATATTTGAACATCATACAACCAAAAGTGTGAAATAAAATACAGTTTGAGAGAGGCGTGCGTCTTCTGTCGGCAGTGGTTGGGATTCCCTGGTTCACTATGTGCATTGCAACGCATGGCATACAACCGGTGTGTCATGATGCTGTAAATTACCTTGAGGCCGCGTAGAAGCTGGTAAATTAAGAACTGCACATGCTCGTCTGACAACCTCTGAAATTTAACAATGTTGTTGAGGTCCGCGCCCATCAGGTTGGTCACCAGGTACCTGGAAAATAAGGGGATAGTGCATGAGCGACTGGGAGCGATGCTGCCATGGCAACTGTAAGACATCGCTGCCTCCACCACCCGCCCTCCAACGGCAGAATCCATGCGTTTACAGTTCTTTGAAGTCCTCCAACGCTGCGGCAGGCGTGAAGACGTCCAGCAGTCCTATTACCTGCGGACACAGAGCGGAGCTGATCAATAACGCAGCGGAAACACGCAGAGGGCCGCGGTCTTCCCGTCTATTTCAATGAGGTCGCACTAACGTTCTCGTGTTTCATGTGCCTGAGTAGCCTGAGTTCCCGGTACGAGCGGCGGCTGTGGATGAGGGACTGAAAAGGCCTGGACAGCTTCTTCACCGCGACCTTCTGCCGCAAGACGACATCGTACGCCGAGCTGCAGAGAGAGAACACAATACAAGGAAATCAAGCGATCATTTCTGGTTTCATGAGGGAATATGCGAACATTTCTTGTCTTCTTCTTTAGTTTTAGTTACTTTTGGAAAGGACACAGCTGGTTTGCCCGCTTTCTAAGCTAAGACCTGCACATTGTCTCGAAGCAAAAAATCAACACTTTCATACTCTGCTAGTAGCAGAAACTAAACAAATAACATATAATGTGTTTATTTGTGAGCTTTAGAAAGGATTAAGCTCCTTTTGGATATTACCAGGCCCCATAACGACACCAAATAAACACACCAAACCTTTATTCCCTTTCATTCCCAAAATACTAAACTTATCTTCACACCTACTACCAGCTGGTGATCCTCAGGCTATATATCAGTGATAATTGATCGAGGGAAAGAGACATACGGACTGCAGATAGAGAGTGAGATAGTGAAAGGTTGGAAAGGATGTTGTGGAACATCAGAGATGCGGATGTCAGACAATGCAAAAGTGCTGTGGTTTTATTGCGTCGGGCCTTTTGAAATGCAAATGTCTTTCCACACATCGAACGCTGAGCCCTGCTGCTTCTGATGCCCCCGCCTTTGTGGTGCCGATGTCTTTTCAACACTCTCAGTAGCAATTATGATGCAGGCAACAGAGAAACCGGATGGAAACATGGAGGAGAATTGTGAAATGCTGCGCAGGGCTGAAGAAACAGAGAGAGAAGTGAAACACTGACTGGGAGAAGTGGACATTTCAAGTGGAGACAAAAGACATTTTGTCCTGAACATTTGCACTGAATTGAACCATAGTTACAAACTATATTATTTGGAAGATACGATTACATACATACATACATAACGTCTGGGAAAGTCCCCTCCTGTTTTCACTTTAAGTTTGTCAGAATATGTGAGCGGCCACAGAAATTAGTCAGTAATAAGGTGTAAACATGATCTCCTTGAACTTTTTTTAATTCCCTGGCTACCTTGCTTGAAAGCTTTTTGAAGCGTGCTAGTTGCTGTGGATTAAGTGACATTGCAAATCAAAGGCAATATATTGGGGTTTATTTGTGTGGAAAAGAAGGCCTGCAAACCACAACACGCTCACCTCAAACCTCACCTTTGTCGTCCTGCACTGCACTCTATTCTATTGTGACTCTTCAGCTGTGTGTATCTCTCTTTGCCTGATGCTCAGTGGCAGCGCTACAAGAAAGAAGCCAATGAATAACCTAACCTTCAATTTCTTTTATTTCCAAAAAACCTGCAAAAGTCTGTTCACAGCAGGAACAGGATGTGGTCTCTGTCAAACAGCCACCTAATGATGCACGGCTCCTGTCTTTTCTCCTCCCCCCCAGTATGTAACTGACCGGTAAACATTGAAGCATCCTTTCATGGTGACCTATAATGCTCACATGCACAGGTGGTGTGCATCCATGTGTCTTGCGATCCCCTGCTGCCAGTCCGGATGTCCCTGTAAGGCCTAAGACAGGACGGCAGCCAGTCTCCTCCCGTCTCTGACACGAAGCAGGCCCCCTGTGCCTCACACATACCTCCCTCCCTGCCGCCTTCCCTCCATGGCTCTGACTGCAGTGCTGCCAGCGCACACGCATCGATTTCTCTCATCTTCCTTTGTCTTTGTTTTTTTGGGGGTTTTTTTACCACCGAGCTTTTAACACACTGACAGCTTCAGAAAGAAAGGGGGGGGGGGGGGGCGCCTAATATCCAATGACAGAGCATTTAAGTACATTGTATATCCTGTTTTGATACACATGTTCTGGTCTTATCAGTTAATGTGATTAATTCGGATTAAATCAAGATAAAAATAGTTTTTTTTATTTTTATGGGGGTATTAACAGTGAGGAAATTATGATTTATTCCTTAGATAAATGTGCACAGGGTTTATTTCTTGCATCCAATTTTACGCATTAGCATTGATCCAGGAGCAAATACAAGATACATTTAATTTCGGCATGCTGAATATTAACACACTGAGATGTTGGAACAAGGCTACCGCTTAAAAAAACGCTAAATCACACTAAACTTCTTTATCCTGAATAGACACAGACGGATTTCATTGATCTTTCCGCAATAAAGCCAATCAATCCACACTGATTGCCAATCAATCAGTGTTTTCCAAAATGTGAAACAATGTCTTTAAACTCAAGCCCCGATCTAGTTATTTGTGACAAACAAAACAAAATAAAGCGGTGATGTTTTCTTCAGAGCTTCCCAAATGAGTTGTGGCTTACTGAACAGACGTTATTCATGGTGACATGAGATCAAAACAGCTTTGGTCTCGTCCGGTCCAAAGTTGGCCCACTTTTTGTCTCCAGAAGCAGAAAAAAGAATTATTGAGATAGTATTATGATTCGACAGCGGAAAGCTGAGTAGACATTGAGCCTGGATTAGTCTGAGGACATCACAGCTCCAAACATTTTTTGTCTCAAGTCATAAGGCACTGCGTGTTGAATTATTTAACAGGCTTTGTACTTCTGACTCCTCTCTTTCTATTTTGTGTCTGAAAACCTTCCACCTCGTATGCTCCCTTATTCCTGCTGCGCTGTCGTCTTTCTAAACTCTACCTCTGGTTCCCAGGTCCTCCGGGCGAGGGGGGGGGGTGGAAATTCTTCATCTTAGCTTTAATGTGTTGTACGAGCTTGTCGGGTCCATGACCTCCGGCCTGCGCTCCAGAGAGTGTTAAAACGGGAGATAAGTGATGAGAGCCTTTTTCTTTTTACCGTGCATCTCGAGTGGTGGACTGAGGGACGATCCTCACCCCCCCATAACGACACGCGCATGCATACGTCGTGTGCTGGATCCCCATCCCCCAGCCGCTGGAGATGAGATCCTGACAATGGCTGGAGATCGACATTAACAATGCAGGGCAATGGTGTTGTTTGTGTGTGTGTGTGCGTGTGTGTGTGTGTGTGGAGGAATGCCCTTTGTGTGTGGGTACAATTTAAGAAATAGTTTCAGTAAGATCTATAGCACTTTAAGGTCTTGTGATGATTCCAAAGCAACAGCAGACTCATGGAATACACATCACGTCCTGTGTAGGTGGAAAGATGTGTGTGTAAAAAAACATTCTCTTTCATATTGTGAACAGTGTAGAAACAGTTCTATTAATTATCTTATTATAAAATCAGAGACGTCAGTAGCAAATGCGAATTCCACGATGCTTTGCGGCAACATGATTCCATATTTTGTCATCAAATATACAGCTTTGTGTTTTGTTGAATGGCTGCATTGATAACACTGCACACATATTCGGACGAGAGTCCTAAATGGGAATCAAACCTCAACCTTTGCCGTTGATTTCATCCAAAATGCCCACGTCCAAATAATCTTCCCGAGAGTGAATGACGCAACTGAAAGGAAAGTGTGTTTTTTTGCAATATTGGCGCGATGTTTACACACAAAACACTCTGGGGTAGCCTGACTCGTAGAGCGAAGCCTCAGTGGATAAGAACACTCAGTAAGTGTCTTATTTGAAATCTGACTTGACAGGAAGTCAGCTTTGGGGATAAAAGCTGCTTTCTCTCATAGTGTGAAAGAGGCTCGACTGGCCATATTGAGTCAAAACTGAATGTAATGCGCAGGTGACGGCATAAAGCTTTTAACCAGTTTTCACTTTCCTTAGTGGTAGAGCATTTCATCCTCGGAGGATTCTCCATTTTAAAACTACAGAGCATCATAGAAATTATTTTGTTGTCTCAATCAGTTCTCCAGTAGAGATTCTCAGACCACTTCCAGTACGTCTAACTGCCAACATCCAAACCTCTTATTCATGTTGCCAAAACGTGGGTATCAGCCAGGCAGTCCGTACTCTCCACATGTCCTTATAGGTAACTGCCTGCCAGCTATTACAGCTTAATTAATATTGACTGTCGGGGAGGTTATCACCATGACACATCGCCATGGCAACGTGATCCCACCAGCTGAGACGAAATTGACCCGCAATTCGAGCCATTGCATGTTGCAACAGTGGAAATATCTGCATGTATTATGCTGAGAGAAGATACAGAATGTGTGAGACACATGTAAAGTGATTATGATGCATGCATGATGCCGCTTCTGTGAGGCTTCAAGGTGTCTGGCATCGCGGTTTGCACCTGGGCCCAGGTTTTCCCTTTCCAGATGTGGCATGCATCTTTACAGTCCCAGGACAGCAGCCACTGCATATTAAGAGGTGTGTGTGTGTGTGTGTGTGTTGATATATAGCTGACAGCAGTAGGAAACACATGAAAAAAATCATAATAATTAGCATATTGAAACAAAGATCTATTAAAAATATTTTAAATGTAGCCTATCTACATCAGCGGAAAAGGAAAGAATAATAATAATAATCAGCCGATAATAACAATTAACAAACCCCCAAACTCCCGGCCCCACACGGCCAACTCATACGCATCGCTGTGCTGTCATGTTGTGGCTGAGCAGCCGCGCCCTGCGTACACACGCACACACACACACACACGCACACACTCACCACACAGAGCCGTAAGCTCCGGAGCCCACCGGCGTCAGGTTCTGGTACCGCTCCGGAACCTCCCACACAGTCTTGTTCAGCTCCTGCCGGTAGAATCCCGGCCTGGCGGACATTTCTCCGGCCGCGGAGAGGAGGAGAGTGAAGGCGAGCAGGAAGAAGGAGAATGGAAATGAAAGGGAGGGCGGGAGGGGGGAGAGGGTTGATAGGGGGTAACGGTAGATGGGACCGGAGGCTCGGGCCGCCGTCTGCTGCCTGAGCGAGCTTCTGTCGATCACACCGCCTACCCCCCCCCCCCCTCTCCCTCTCTCTCCCCTCCTCCCTCTCTCTCTCTCTCTCTCTCTCTCTCTCTCTCCCCTCACTCTCTCTTACCTCCCTGTTTCGTATAGTGTCATTATACTATTAAATAACAATAGTCTTACAGTACAATACGTAACATCAATAATAATAAATAAACAGAAAACAGAAAGGTAAAAAAGGATGATCATGAAGTAAATCCATGACAGCCACCTGCTGGTTAAGATCTGCTATTACAAGACGTGCAAGTGTGTGCCTCAGGTTGTAACTTGTTTTATGGTGATTAAATGTCGAATTGACCTGTTGCACTAGCAACCTGGCCTAAGATGGCCTTTTAATTGCAGGTTTCATATCTTAAAGAAGCAGAATACTTTTAACACATAAAGGAAAGTAAATTAAAGGAAAATACTCGTACCAAGGGGTAAGTACCACACACAGTCACGTGACCAGATAGACCCCTAGTGGTGCTCAAGCACCTGCCCTTTTGCCCTGGGTTATAAAAGTGCCCCTTCTGCTGGAGCACAATTGTTTCTTCATTCATCAATATTTAAGAATAACAATGACTCTCTCAGTCATCAATTCCCCCCAAGTGTGTTTTGATATCCGACGGGGCATTTATTTGAGTTCTTGTGAGAATTTCACCCCGAACTGTGCTCACAAGCCCCGCCCTTCCCTCCTCCTCCTCCCTCCTCCCCTGCTTAGAGGTATGTTTATTAGTTGTAAATTATTATTGTAATGCTTCTTATGTTTCAACAGAAAACAGTACAAAAATGGCTGTGTGTTGTCAGCTTTTGATTATCATGCACAACGTGGTTTATCTAATTTACAAAATTTGCAGCACGGTTCTATCTGATGGTGGTGGTCCCTGCAGTGGTCCTGCCGCACCTGGCTTGCTACTCACAATTATTTGAATCATTTCTGTTATAGGAATTGAATGTATTGTACATATTTGACATTGTTCATTCTGTACACATGACATCCATTGTAGTCTGTCAATCCCGGGAAAGGGATCCCTCCTCTGAGGGTTTCGAGACAGAGGATGTCGCATGTGCACAGACTGTAAAGCACTCGGAGGCAAATTTGTAATTTGCGATTTTGGGCTATACTAAATAAAATTAATTGAATTGAATGCCAAGAAAATGTAGGTACCAGGTACCCTGTTATTGTGCATTCAATAATATACAGGTTCATATATTCATTAACATTTTTATTTTTAACATGTGCAAGGTACAGGGTGGCCGTGGCACTTTCTAAACATACATCTTGCATACAACACTGAGCTAACAATTAATAACAACTCATTAAAATAATTCATATTTATGTTTTTTTATTTTAACATACAAAGGGACAGTGAATCCTCAAGCATCTGTGGATGGCACACATACGCTCACATTAGTCACATTGTCTGACCCTGATCGCGACCCCGCTGCAGTACCTCCACGGACCCCCTGGGTGTCGCGGACCCCCTGTTGAGGACCTATGCTGTAGAGTTTGGCATCAAATCATTCTCGGATGTTCGCTCAAATTGATTGGATAGCCCTAAAGTGTCCACCGGCTCCCATTGTGCTCTTAACTTATCCATTGACTAGTCGTTTGTCCCTAAACTCTAGTCATAAACTGCCATTGATCGTATTATTTGTTCTCAATCAGTTTAACGTGATCGTGATCTGAACAAAGCCTCATCGGTTTGACTGACTTGGAGCCACCTGATTGGCCAGACGCTCCGCTGATTTAATTGAGAGGCGGGGCTCGTCAAACAGCTGTAGCGATGTGCGATGACGTGACTGCTCCGCCCCACCCCCACCCCCACAGTTGCGCGTGTTTGAAAGGAACAGCGGGCCTCAGGTGGGCGTGAGGCGTCTTTGTCACAATGTTCGACGTGAAGAAGAGGAATAGTTTGACCCTGAACGGCGGCGCGGAGACGGAGGACCGCGGCAGAGGGCCGCTCAGAGGGACGTTCAGAGGCGCTGCGGGGGACTGCCCCGTTTCACACGCAGGTGAGTGCACCTTACATTAAGGAGGGAGGGGCGCCTTCTTTTAAAAACTTAAAATATTCGTTCCAATAAAGGTAACGACACAAAAGCCGAATACAGCTGAAGGAGGACGCGTTGGCTCTATAGTGCGGTCTATGTCCTGTCAGCAGACCAGTCAGTTCCACATTTTGAGCCACGGTCCAAATTGTTATTGTCACCATAGATGGGCTGGTTAGTTTCAGTGGAGTTAAATAAATGTGCATGTGATAACATATTTTCAAAATGAAATCAGTATATTTCCCCAATACATCAGGAAGGTGTCTGGTTGAAGCAGCCAGATGAAGCAGACAATGAAGGCTCACACCGCCGTGTGAAGAGGTCTTACATTGGCGTGCTATTCTAGTTCAGGTCCCTTGTGAAGTGCACTTTGTGTGTAGTGTATGATTTGTTAGTTTGTGTTGTTGTCCGTTGGCCTCTTACTTTATTGGATTACTGCAGTGAAATCTCTGTCACCTGATTCAGCCTGGACTTTGCCTGCTGGTTTGAAATCAGCATTTATGTCACATGCACACACACACACACACACACACACACACGCACACACAAAGCCACTTAGTTCCCCCTTTCTGTTTTTAAATTAGAAAAGTATGTTTGAGCCATGATGCTGGATTCATCAGAGCCATCCAGCTCTTTGACATTTTAATGCAAATGATTCTTTGGATTAGTTTGAGGCCTGGTTATTAACAACATATTTTAAAGATGAAAATAACTGACTTTTTATAGAATTTAATGCACTTCAGATAGGTGAAAACATCAAATGAATAGGTCCATATTTAGGATTTTGTTTATCAGCAAGACCAATTAGAAGATTTGCACCTTTTTTTTCTGTTGAATATCAACCTTAGTTTAGTAAATATACTAGACACGGAACTATAGTTCGAACTATTCTTGTAGAAATTAGAAAACTTCGGCAATGAACCCGTTTTTTATCAAAAAAAATAAATGAACAAACCCTAATGTTTTAGGAGTTTTCAATATTTTCACAAGCAGTCTCCTGTGACCTTCGACGTGCTTCTTCCACCTGGACATCGGTGCGTTCAAATAACTTTGAGATTCATTCGCTGGGGGGGCTGGAGTCGACCTCCACTAACGTGGGGCGAGGGACGGGGTACACGATGGATTGGTCGCCATCCAATCGCAGGGCTATCGTACTACGGCTTTGGGTTAGTAGAAGAGTGAGAAAGCAGAAGTCTTCAGAAAGTCTGCTTCTCGCCATGTGATCTGTCCCACTTCAGTGGAGCCAGCAGTGAACAGCTCTGTTAGACACGTTTTGGATTATCTTGCATCGTGTGGACGAGCAGTGCAGGTAAGAAAACAAATAGTTCTACAACTTAATAGTAAAAATAGTAAGTTGTGAACTTCACTTCATTTGATCTGACTTGTGAAGTCAGATCAAAGACAGAACCAAACTAAATGTAATCCTCGTTCCACAATCAAACCGCTTAATTTTTTATAAACATAATAAAAACAAGACCATACAGACGGATAACAATGGAGGAATATAAGGGCATAATACCGTATAGGAACAACGTGCAGTACTACGAAGCGCAAAGGAATAATGTTCGTAAGAGTGCTGAAGAAGCATTGAGCAATACAACCAAGAGATTGGCAACCGCAAAGCAAGAGGGAGGTCCTTTGTCCATGAATGATATTTGTTAGTAGCTGAAGGCTCAGGAGGAACAAGACTCATGAATCACTCAAAATGGCTTAAGAAATGTTGTATGTAGTTTCCAGACTCAGCAAAATGAGAATTTATTTTTAAAATTGAAGTAAAGATCCCACAGTGGGGAAACACTGATTTTGCAAAGCACTTAAACTGTACCACAAGAAATGCTGCCACCAAAATAATTCTCCTTTTTGTATCTGTCTTAACCGGACTTGTCGTGGTACTGCTCGACGTCCTTCTAGAATCCTAAATTGGCCAACGGTGCTGTGTTTCTCTCTGCAGCGCTTCCAAAACGAAAAAGAAGGAAAAGTGTGTGTGAAGTGTCCGTTTCCTGTGTAGAGGATTGTGTGGGCTCCCCCAGTCCAATCGGAGGAGGCTGGAACCATTTGGTGAATGGAGTGTCCCCGACACACATCAGCCCTGCCACGCACACTCCGGGGATTCCCCATGTGACGAGCTGTCCTCTTTTAGGATCTCCGAGTCCAGGCAAAAAAGGCGTTCAGAGCTGTAGCCCATCCAGGGAAGGAGGGCACAGTCCTGCTAAATTCTCCCTCAGGAACCGCAGCCCTCTCGGTGGATTACTGCGGACGCCCAGCCCTCTGAAGGGGAGCGCCAGGAGCTACAGCCCCGCCAAGAACTCCAAATCCTGGTCCGGACTGCACGGGATCTCAAACAGCAAGATGGAAAGACGAGAGAAGAGCGAGAAGGAATCTTTGAGCGTACCGGAGTTGGTTGTTTACTTTGATGACAGCAGGTTGGATTTTTGGTTTGGTTGATTTCTGCACCTTGATTACCTGAATAACTTCCCGTAGCATTAATTGCAGTATTTAGAATCTGATCACTTATGCATAATATACACAATTGTTACTCAGTTTGGAATTACAGATGCATCTTATTTCTGCAGGATTCCCACTAAAAAAGTTGAACGCCCTCCTTTGAAACCACTGCAATCCCCAAACTGCTCCAGGTCAGCCCTCAACATCATAGTACCAGTCGCCCGTAGACTCAGTCTGGCCAAAAGTGAAGTCCACCAATCAAGCAACAGCCACGAGCGTTCCCCGGGACAAGTGGATGAAATTGTGCAGGATGAAGTTCTCAAATCAGTAAATGGAGAAGAAATGAATGACAACATGGACGAAGGCAGGATAGCCGTACGACATGACTCCTGCAAGTGGGGTGAGGCTACTAGAACTGAAGAAGATAGCAAGATTCAGAAGGAGTCTAATGATGATGAGGTGGAAGAGGAGAGAGGAGAAATCCAGCCAAACGATGAAGAGAAAAAAAAGCAGAAACTGTACAACATCGCCAATGAACTCCTACAGACGGAGAGAGCCTACGTGGCTCGTCTCCACCTGCTCGACCAGGTCAGCGTGGCGTCTCATTTTGATACTCGTTTGATACTATATGCACCTTTTTAGGTTACCATCATTGGGGTAAGTTGTCGTTATTTACCCCCCCCTCCCCCTCAACAGGTGTTCTGCTCCCGCTTAAAGGAGGAGGCAGGTCGAGGCTCGTTTCCTCCCGACGTGATAAGAAATATCTTCTCCAACATTTCCTCCATCTACTCCTTCCACAGCCAGTTCCTGCTCCCTGACCTGGAGAGCTGCATCGGCCAGTGGTGGGTGTTCACTTTACAGACGCCGCAAGCTTGAGTTGCGTCCTGCTCATTATAATGGTTAACCTCCCATGGGAAACCAACATTTATTTTTTGTCCACTTTTACAAAAAGCATGTTTAGAAATGTCAACGTGTGAGCGTTTAAATGTTGTTGTGTCAGGGGTTTTCCAGATAATGCCTCAGCGGTAGTGGGGTGGTTCTACTTTTTAAGGCAAGAAGGTAGACTGTTTTTGCAACAGTGGAGATATCTCCATGTATTATGCTGAGCGAAGATACAGCAATCACCTGACCTTCGCTGACTATAGTGAGGCAACAAACAAGCAAGCAAGCGCAGCGTAGATTTCACGACTCGCTACCAAGACGTTATTTTCTTCCCCCCCCAAAATTGGGAAACGTGTTTTATACAAACAACACTTTACCCCATTTCTTGAATTAAAACGAAAAGAAATCATGTGTGGTGAACCTTCCCACTACCAACAAATCTAGGGGTGAGAGCCCATGCCTGGGTGGTGTCCTGCTTCAACACGCGCCCTTCCTGAGGATGTACGCCTACTACATCTTGAACTTTGACCAGGCCATGGAGCTGCTGAGGACCTGGAGTGAGCGCTCCTCTGTCTTCAGAGACATCATCCAGGACATCCAGGTAAAGCCCACTCGGTAGGTTCATTCCCAGTGCATCTGAGGCTACGGCGGTCTGAGCGGGATGCTTCATGCACGTACCGTCCTGTGATCAGAGTCAGGAGGTGTGTGGCAGCCTGACCCTGCAGCACCACATGCTGGAACCAGTCCAGCGGGTCCCCCGTTATGAGATGCTGCTCCGGGATTATCTGACGAGACTGCCCAGTGACAGCCCCGATTATGATCGTTCGCGCGGTACGTACGCTGTACGCTCATAAAGGTCCAGTCCGTCTCAGATGAGTCGTTGCGTCTGCAGAGAGCAGCATTGAGTCCTTCCTTTTTGTCGCCTCCCGCAGAATCGTTGCAGATCATTTCCATGGCAGCCACCCACTCAAACAGTGCCCTCCACAAAGCCGTACGTTGTAATCACACACATCGCTTACCACTGTGCTAAGTAAGACATAACCACAGTCAGACAATGCATTAAATTGTTAAAAGTGATGCAAACATTGTGATTTTGATCAGTCTAATTGATTGGTTATGTCATTTGGAAGGCCACAGCTGCATAGCTAGGATCCATATTGCTTTCATATGCTTACCGGGTATATATGCATTTACTGCACGTCATTGTAATGGTATTTTAAATGCACACTGAATTACTGATGTGTTTTGGTGTTTCACCCTGTAGGAGTGCCGGAAGCGGCTGCTGGAGATCTATGAGATGGTTGGAGAGGAGGAGGTGGTCAACCCGACTAACGAGTTCCTCAGGGAAGGTCGACTGCTCAAGCTTGCTGCCAGGAACACATCTGCCATGGAAAGGCACCTGTTCCTGGTTAGAAACAGACACACTATATCTCTGGTCATTTATATGTGATAGACAAAGGTCAATTGTGTCTATCAAATAGACTTCCTATCATAGTTTATCTTAATGCTTTCAAAGTTACCAGCAATGAGTGCCATTCATTGAGATGTAGTTTGGATCACTGTTCATGAAAGGAGCCTAGTAGATCCTGGTGTTTCCTTCCACAGTTCAACAACTTTCTGCTGTGCTGCACTCCCAAGTTCAGCCTGGTCGGACAGCGTTTCACCGTCCGCTGCAGGATCGGAGTGGACGGCATGCAGGTGCAGCAGACTACCAATGAAGACCACTTACACACCTTTCAGGTCTCTGGGAAGGAGAGGACCCTTGAACTGCAGGCCAGGTAGGTGTGTGTGTGTGTGTGGTATTTCAGTTGAGTGTCTTGTTTTTTTCTTTATTTTTTTTAAACTGGTATGCTTGTACATTAGTTGTTGGACCACAGCTTTAGAGGACTGTGCTGCATAGATGGGGTTGTATGATTAGTTGTTGTTGTTGATGACATGAGTCATGATATCTAAAATGTTTATTAGAGTGCATTTAATGTGGAAATTCATTGTTTTGTTTGTTTGTTCAAGCTCTGAACAAGACCGAGATGAGTGGATAAAGGTACTGGAGTATTTCCACGTGGTGTTTGGAGATTAAATTTGGCATGAATTAGGAAAGATGTCTAACAAGTTTTATTACAGGTAATTCAGGAAGCGATTGATGTGTTCCTGAAGAAACATGAAACCTTCAAACTGACTTGTAATGAACCAGATGTTGAAGAATCCGTAAGTTTAATCAAATGTTTGACTATTTGATTATAATGATGGTAATAATATATTCAGAAACTCACCCACCTGATACGTGTTTTACAGACGGAGGAACTCGGCCGACGTGCTCCTCGCTGGATCCGGGACAACGAGGTGACCGTGTGTATGAAGTGCGAGGAACCGTTCAACGCCATCACCAGGAGAAGACATCACTGCAGAGCCTGCGGCTGCGTGAGTGACGTCATGTGACCCTTTTATTATTTTATTTTTGTTTAAGGACACCTAGCAGTGACTGTTGCTTTGTTCCCCCAGGTGGTGTGCTGGAAGTGTTCCGACAACAAAGTGGCTTTAGCGTATGACTGCAACAAGCTGAACAAAGTTTGTAAATCCTGCTTCTCTATACTGATGGAGCAGAGGGTGGAGGGAAAGAAGAGAACGGTATTGGAGGTGAGTATCTTTTCAGGAGTGTCAAATTCCAAATAACACGGGTCAAAGTCTTCATGAGTAACATTTCTCGCTTGCGTTTTCTCCCAGTCGGAGGCAGCCCGCGTCTGCAGCGACGGCGCAGTGAGGGGCTTCCTGCGGTATGGTGACAACCCAAAGACATGGCACCAGATGTGGGCTGTTGTCCCCTGGTCAGAACCTGCGGTCCTTCATCTTTACACAGCTCCACAGGTGATGACGTTTAATGTGACTATTGCATTTATGTTGTTGTTTCTGTTTGAATGTCACTGGTATTTTTTGTGTTCCATTACTTTATCAGGCTGGATACAGAAACTCTAGGTGAGTAATTAATGGAAATTCATATGATCCACATTTGATTTGAGTTAGAGATTCAACCTCAGCTCATAAAATAAGTAAACTTTCAAGCTAAAATACTCAATGTCCTACAGCCTTTTTCCCTACAGCTGTTCGAGCATAGGATCATGTGTTCTATTATATTTGGTTTTTCATCTAGAGCCCTCCTGTTAAGAATTGAACTTTTCTTTGTTTTTCACCACATCGATCCATATTCTAATGTTTGACTGAGAATATGGTTTCTTGCAACAAAAAAATATCTCAAAGTCAACGTTGCAGCTAATTATTGACTTATATCAGAATGGGGTGGGGGTCCAAGAAATTAGGATACAGAAACTGACTACATTTTTTGGTTTATAGCCACCTAAAAATTGACTGCGGTCTCAACAGTCACTTATTCTCTTTGAGAAATAAGAGCACACTATTGTTTCAACTCATGGAATTAATGTTGACCAATACTGTATCCACCCCCCTGCTTTTCTGTCCCTTACCTCCAGGATTTAATGCCCATATCCAGTATACCACTACTGGGCTGCCGTGTGGAGGATTCCCCTCGAGAGCTCCAGGGCCAGCCGGGTTTCTGTTTAAGACAATCCAAAACATCCCACACTTTCTCCTGCGACGGCTTGGACCTCAAGCAAAGCTGGCTGACTGCCCTGAAAGTCGCTGTGATGGGAAGGCAGTGTGACGTCCCCTCCGATGGCTCCAGATGGAGCATTACTGGTTGTTTCAGTGATGGAGGAGAGTGTACTGGTGAGGAATTTCTCATCATTGGCGGCAATGAAAATAAGTCCTGAACGTTTGAGATCAGGCGCTACGGAAAGTACGTCATCAACAACAGCTGATCAAACTCCATTGACGTTAAAGACGGTAGCGTTAAAATAAACTATTAATGAAATGAATCAACTCAACAAGTTCACTTCAGGAATGTAACGGTTGTTGTTAACAATATTCAGACTGAAAACGGTGTTTCTCTTTACACGGCGATGCACTTTATTTCTGAAATGGTTTTACGGTAAAATAAATAAAGCAATGGTGTTTTTTTTTTTTTTTTACATGAGTCGGACTATCCCTTCAACTACTGAGATGGTTGTTCCAGCTTTGTACATGTAGTCTAAGGTGCTCTGTGGCGTGAAGTAATGCCCAAGGTTGTTTTCACACAGTGGACACATAATTGCATGACGGTTTCAGTGGTGCACAGCGGCTCTGTGGGATCATATTTGCCGTTTTTTTTTTTTTTATAAAACACATTCAACAGACCCCATTTCTTCACAGATGCAACAATTGAATATTTACATTCAAAATGAAAAACCTAAAAGAAACGTAATACATTTTAAAGTGTATGACCAAATAATAATCTTAAAACATAAAAAGACAGGAAAAAAAACATTGTATGTGTGCAGCAACCAAAACACCAGGTTAGCGTCTACGATATGTTTCAATGGGAAAGAAAAAGCAGTCTTATTTAAACATATAATTGACTTCATGAGTGCATGTATTTCTACGATGTCGCAATGGTAAGTCCTATAACCCTGACCTTGCTGTTGGATACAAATAGTTAAATAATACCCGATCTTTGGCGGTATGCAGGATCAAATCTCAGATGTCCCGTCAAAGGGAAAAATAAGCAGTGAATGTTTGCTAATATCAATGGAGCTTTGTAAACCCCTTTGCTAGTTATGTTTTTATGGAACATTTGTATGGTTCAATCTCACCAAATATGTTCGCATCAACAAGATTTTCTTTAGAAGGTTGATGTGAAAAGCATGATAACCCTAATGTGTCTTTCAATTAGGACCATTGGTTGCTAATACATTAGCCATTCAAATTTGAACAGTCAAAAATCTGATCAATGCTGATGTCACCTCTTTTCTAAAAAAGCGAAGGTTGTTTCTTTTATCACTTACGCACTACTTGATGTTACTTCACTATTGACGAAGGTGAAAAGCCTGTGCTGCCATAGAGCGCTTCAAAATGTATGCAGAGTGTAAATACTTCAGTGTTGTGCCTTTACCCATTCTCTATGCTCTGTGCTGCAGATGGTAGCTGTTAAATTACTTTATATGACCTCGTCTCTGAATTCAGAGAATCATCGGAAGGCCTGTCTTTGATCTGCAAACACAACAGGTCATTTGAGAAAAGCATTCAGGACTAAACGGTGCTCTTTGTGTCACGGTGGCACAGCAGCACCGGTGCAAAAAAAGACATTTCAATCAGCCAGTTCAACAACAATGCTTACAGACGTGGTTTGACCGGCTTGTACTGACTTTAGATTTCAAGGAGGCCCTGATTTTGGACAAAGAGGTGTTCAAATCCAGCACTTGATATAAGGAAAGCAACATTGGCAGAGAAGCGGACCCCATATCACACACTAAACACACTATGTAAAGGGGGGATTATTTACAGAACGGCTACCTGTTATTTTCACTTTTATACATCAGCACTTGGTACAAGCGTTCACTGAAAATCCCGGGCTTCACCCTGGAAGAGGTCCCTCTGAGCACAGTCCAGGCCACTCGTTAATCATCCAGACCTCCTGCCATCCGTGGCATTCAAACACGGCTCAGTGCTGAACTACTGCCGCTGTATCCGATCCACAGAATCCTGTTTTAATCAGCCACGGGTAGGTAATCCATCCCTAAGCCTCCGCGGCAACGTATCAAGCAGATTTGACCACATTACTCTTGGTGATGATACATCAGCGGGGGCCGTGAGGGGACACAACCACGGTGAACATAAGAAGAACAGGGGTATACACAACAACAAAAAAACGATACCAGAGAAATTCCAAACAGTGCTCCTGACTCCAGGAAGCCAGTAGTGCAGCACTCAGCGTCAGCTTGAGGCAAATGAACCCCCCCTTTTTAAAACCAGCGGTCGGTAAGGCCGACTGTCCGCGGCCGCTCAACTGCAGCACAGCTGCTCTGACACCAGCAGGGTGTCGTAGCCGTAGATCTCCAGCAGGTGGAGCAGGAATAGCCTGTCTCCATGGGGATCCAGACCCATGGCCCTCACGCTCTCCTGGGTCAGCGTGGGGTCGGGGCTCCCCGCCACCTCGCCGAGGGTCTGGAAAATCCGGTTGTTCTGCTCCAGGAAAAACCTGGATGAAAACACATTGGGAAAGAAGGGCGAGTAGTTTTACACGGCTCTTCGCTCGGCTCCACAACTAAAAAACGATTTTCATTTTGTTGGCAGTTTGCTGACGGTTTAAACCCCCCCCCCCCCTCCCCCTATGAAGTTCACTGATCTCCTCCCACATCCCTGGAGTTTCCATTTCACGTCTCTATTCTGAACAGCAGCGGTGATGAGATGGTTCCCCGTGCAAGATTTGACAACTGCAGTAACTGAGAGAAAGGGCGGGAGGTTCTGTCACACTCATCCTCTCTTTGATGCAACGTATCTGAGCTGCCGCTGTGCTGACTGTTCTCGTGAATAGACACGGACACTGGTTTACTTACAGGATGAAGAGATCCTCTTCACTGGACACACAGTCGCCATTCTCCTCCTGGGAGTACAGCAGCATCTGCCTACACACACACACACACACACACACACACACACTTTATTTCTAGCTGTTAAAACAATGCTGCAGCTACAATGTATGTTGACAATAAATATATATATATATATATATATATATATATATATATATATATATACATATATATACATAATACAACACCAGCCTCTGCTTTTTAATCCCCCCAGTAAGTAAATGTAACGTCCCCTACCTCTGTTCGGTGAGTTTGCGATATTTCTCCTTGTCCGCGTTGCTCAGACGGAGCAGAGACTTCAGGCCGTCCCTGTAGGTCTTCACATTCTGATTGTCCACATACACGTCGTACAGGTCCTTCTTCTCCTCAAAGATCTTCTCTGTCGTACCTAAGCGCACAAACAGTGCGCACAGGACCTCTCGCGTTCAACAAACCGATCGTACCTGCAATAGATGTGTGTATTGGACCGACAAGCGTGGACGCGCTTCACTTACACGCCACGTAGGAGAGCTCGTTCTCCAGGGCGCTGATGTCGGCCACGTTGACGTAGAAGAAGGGGCGGAACTCGGGAACAGCCACGCCGATGCCGGGGATGGAGATGTTCGCCAGGCAGCAGCAGCAGTAAACTGAGAGGGAGGAGGTGGGCGAGGGTTACAGCTGTATGATCGACCATTGAATACGGTCAAATCTTTATTTTTTTTCATTTATAGTGTCAGGAACAAAAAGCCGTTTTCTTGGGAATCCTTACACATTTTGTTCAGCAAGATAACCTTCATAAATGAAAATCACATCAAATGTGGATGCAAAAGAAAACGACTGGTGCCTCCAGCTTAATATCGACCATACAAACCTCCAGTGGGGTACAACTCATCCCACCTGGACCTCCCAAAACTATTAATTTAAACTTCTATTCAAACGAGGCGCTCTCTCACCTCTGTAGCAGACCACGCCCACAGGTGGAGGGCAGAAGATGAGGATGCGTCTGCGGAGGAGAGCCAGTTTCCACAGCACCATGATCTGCTCCCCGAAGAAGCGGATGAACTGGGACATGCAGCCTGCAGGGTGGGTGATCTGTTCCACGGGTATTCAAAACACACAGTTACTGGGTGATACGACGAGAAAGACGGCAGTTGTGTAAAGTGTAAACGCCCTTCCCACCTTCATCTCGGGGTGCATGCAGTGGTTGATCGCTGCTCCCCAGGCATTGGCCGGGCACGCAGTAACAACACCATCACCGCTGGGGGGAAGAAGCGCTCTCTTGTCCTCATAGAAGGCCTCCAGGGGCGAGTAGTGGCCTGGGGATTGAAGCTGGAGCCTTCAGAGGTGGGCAAAGACAAAAGGACATTAAGTAAAACTGGAAAAATTCTAAATCAGCAACCAGAGAGACAAAATTGTTTTTGTTTGTGGACATTTAGGAAACAAGATGTCACAACAAGGTGCCGAAAAGGTATCCTCACAATAGATTTTCAGTTGTATTCCAATATGCATGTGGATGTATTTTCCCTGTTCAGCAGTTTCATTATTTAGATTCATCTAAAATAGGCAAGAATGAGAATGTGGGTTTCTTGGCACCTGAAGCGTGTCCACAGGATTTTAGACTCAACCTCCCCTAGAAGTAGAATATTATCTGACTTAAACTATTATATTACATTTGAGCCCTGACAAATCTCCATCCTATCATTTTCCTTGTTGGCATCCTTAGCATGTCCCTGCGTTCTTTTACCCGAGAGTGGAGGAAGCCTAACAGATCAGAAATAGATGGAAAACGGGAGAAAGTATCCAGACATAATGAAATATCTTAACCACCTCACGACCAACAGTGAGCCCTTTGTATAACCGTCAGGGCAGTCAGCCGATGGGGAATGTGGAGAGAGCTACGTGGGGAATGATGAGTGAGGAGCGTGACCTAAGCATGACTGCAGGCCCGGTGAGGCTGGGGAGTGTGGGAACCGGAGAGAGAAGGAGGGGGGGGGGGGGGGGGGAATATAGACAAAGCTGTGTTCAAAGACAGACTGTGACATTGATGAGATAAATCTCTGGATTAAACCCCAACGTTCACGGCTCGGACCGCAGCAGCGAAATGACCAGTGGGGTTTAAGGATAGTGTAAGCGTGGCGCTGCCTACGGAGAGAAAACAGAAGTGAAGGGAAAGTGTGAGTGCTCTATTTGAGATGAGGGAACAGAGAAGAGGAACGAGGCTCGGAAAAGACCCATGAGTGGCTCTTAGTGGCCATATGCCAACTTTGGTGTGGACCCATATTGCCATAATAGTGGGATTAATAATGTGAGTAATTTATTGAGCAAAAACAAATATAAAATGCTGAATGAGGTCATTGCTTCTAATCTGTATACTATTATACTGACTTTAAAATGTGGAAAGTCCTTAAAAGTCCACTGAAAACATAGCAAACATCTACAACACTTCCTCAGGAAATGTGCCGTGGTATAAAGCTCCAAAACTGCTATTAAATGGACATTGTGGTGAGGCTGTTATTCCACTGTCCACTGTGTATATTTATATCTCTGGGATGGACGGACCAATTCATCTCAAGTTGTCCCTTTGGGGAATTTGTGATTGCGTCCATTTTTCCCGGTTTTGTTTCCCCTCAAGTTCTTCTCAAGTCCTTCTTGACCAGCTCCTCCTCTTACCTGACCTGGTGCTCCAGAAAGCTCATGTAGCGGTAGAGCAGGGTGTAGGAAGGAGACAGGATCCCTACCGACTTCATCCTCGCCCCCCTCTCCACCGCGCTCTCCACCGCCATGTTGGCGAAGCAGGCCAGGCCGAAGTAGCTGCCCTTCCGGAAGTAGCTGTGGATGGATGGAGGGGAGAGGGAGACAGACGAAGCCATGAGTCACCAAAAGCCAAAGCACTGCCAGATGGCCGGCCTTTCTTTTCCTTTTTTTCGCCAGGCAATACTTTTGTGTGCCGCTGTGACCTGCCAGGAGGAAGACATGGGGCCGCATCCTAATACTAACAAATGAGCCCCTTCCCCCCTTCTTTTTGTTTTTTTTCCATTATTGAGGAAAGTTGACTCCCTCGACTGTGCAAATGCTCCTTGTTGATCGCGCTTACATGAAGTCCGTGGTGACTCTGTGGGAGCCGCTGGCTATGGCCTTGAACTCCACCCCCTCCAGGTCCATGTCTTTGGGCAGGCACCACTCCAGCATGTTTCCTACCGCACGCACACAAGCAACAGAGAGAGCAGACATGACCACTGGTGAATATACTTCCACCAATTACATTTCATGTTGATCAAACCACAGTGAGACACACCGACTGGATTCCTGAGGGTCCACCATGTCCCCTATGTCAGCAGCAGCTGAGCAAATGGTGGTCTGATAGGAGGGTTTTTCTAATGTAATCATTAACTACGCTTAACCGTCAGTGGAGGGTCTGCAACTAAACGTGACTTCTTTCATCAGATTGGGCCAACAGGTCTGTATCATCCACCTGCAGCTGAACATGAAAGATTCTCTAGTGCCACTTTGGTTATTGACTTAAAGTATTAAGCTTAAAGTATCATGCAGAGCAAAGGGCTATTTCCTGTACGGACAGACCAGTATTGAAAGACCCCTTAGAGACATCACATTTATCCATTATATCAATTTACCAATCGAAGCACAAAGCCAAAATGCTTAGCTTGGATTTCTGTCAGCATCATGCCACGTTATTATAAGTGAGGTACTAAATTGAATCGTAATCCTAATCCTCTACGTTCTCTGCACAGTGTAGACTCAGAGGTGGTTGAGGAACTCTCTAGGTCTTGTTTCCTTCACTTTCCATCATTTCTTTCCCTCATTTTCCTGTCACTCATTTCACAAGAAATATGAAAAGAAAAAAAGAATTCTGGTAGAATAAAGAAAAAGCCTGCACCCGCTAATTAGGCACATATACTCCAACTGATTTTGGTAAACTGTTTTTGGGGTTAGTGTATTTTTTAAAATAAGCAGAAATGAAATTAGGCGCTTTTTTGTTTTACAGACTGACACAACTGTTAATAATTTATATATTGTTATGATACTAAAGTATATGTACATTTTAACATGAAAGTGACCAAGATATTTGTGATAATGAAGCACTGAAACATCTCTGTTACACACTAGTCTGATCTTGTAGAATGGAATAACAATATACGGAATAAAATAGTTTTCCTCTACATAGACATCACATATACTGCATATAGTAGATCTTCCTAAAATATATTCTGTAAATAACTGATTTATTTGTGAACAATAACATATTCTATTTGACTGTATCACGTGTCACAAGCAGCCACACGACACAGCTCATAACATCTTTGACTGTATGGACCAGGACTTGAACTAGCTATAATCTCCCTTGATATTTGCCAAAGCTGCTGGAGGTGTTTTTTTTATTAAGTATTCTTCTAATCGGTTGTAATGTCTCATGTCGAGACCAGACATGCTGCATAACCATAAAGCACCTGCAGCTCCACCCTGCAGGGAATCTCCTCCGTCGCAACCAAGTCACGTTTCCCCTGTCATGTTGAACTATTTGATCTCAGGATAAGATCCAGCACGCCCTTCATTAACAATGTATACAGCTACTCTGCAGAGACAGGTGGATGACTGATTTCCATCCCAGAACTTTTAATAATGTCTCTAAACGTCGTTGCCAGGTCAGAAAAGGCCACACCTGTAGACGAAGGTTCTGCAAGACTCTGAACGAAGGTTCTGCAAAACACGCGCTCTTCTTTTTGCCTGCATTAGACACATTTCTTCCTGGCTATAAACATGATGGGTTCTGTTCATTTTGGGTATCACTTTGATATAGCAATCGTAATTCCGTTTAGTACAACGTTAGCCGGTGTCCCACCTGATCTGGTATTGAACGTAACCACAAAGACCGACACTATCTGGTCCTTCTCCTCCCATTTCACCATCCTGTCTTCCAGCGACGGCTCCCTCGATTCTGAATCCGAGGGTTGATGCTCGTGGTCGGGATGCAGGGCTTCCCCGCTGCTCGTCGTCGGGGTGCTGGAGGTCGCGGGTGGGGCGCTGCAGCCGTCACCGTTGGACGCAGACCTGCTGGCGGTGGGACCCCCCGGAGCGCTGCTCCACCCGAGCCCCGGCGCGGAGCATCCCGGCGAGGCACGGCCGTTGGAGGGGCTCGCCAGGCGCTCCTTGGCGCGCGGTGCCGCTCCCGCGGGCCGCTCCGCGGACGGAACCTCCTCCCAGTCCAGCAGAGGGGCTCGGTCCGACCGCTCCACCATCCCGCCGGCGGTCCCGCCTCGTCAGTCTCACGGGTCGCGAATGATGTCTCAGCCGACAGGGCGTCCGGGTCCGTACGTTGATGATCACAGTTTAAAGCAATTCCCGCATCGTAAAGTGAGGACGTTCTGCACGGAACGGTTGCATCGTGGATCAGATTGATGTTACGCGCAGCAGCACACACATCTGTCTTTATAATCTTTCTGGTCTGGGAAATCACAAATGTGATGCTGTTGGGAGAGGGGCAACTCCTTCGTCTGATCTGAGCTGCATTCAAAACAAGTCACTCGTTCAGGTTGCATCCGCTTTAATGAGAATAGCTCCGGAGCGCTTGGAAACGCGTGGCCGCTTTGGCCTCTTGAACGCACTTTGTACCAGAACGTCGGGATGAAGCTTCTCTTCAAGAGCAGCACTTTCGAGTAAAATATTAATGTTTTCATAAAAAAAGATCCAAGTGTTTAAATCTAAAAGGCTGTTCATGCCCCAACTATATTGTGATTTCTTTTACTTATCCTATTAGCTGCTATTGGTCCACTTTACAGTTGGCTGCCCATTATCAAATGTGTTGAATGTTGCGAAACAAAAACAAAGTCGAGGTGAGAGTTGGTGACGTAGTCCAGCGACACGTCAACCACACGGAAGAAGGTGCCCATCCGACCTGCCACGGAAGTGCTGACTGAAGAGCCGTAGTCTTATCGAAATGGGTAAAGTATTTAACTAATGGTCAACAAAATATGTATTTTTCCATTAGATTACCTATAACCGTTTTGTATATGAATACCTAACGTAGATACCGCTTTAGCTCTGCGTTGTATGTGCCTGCTTCATTTAACGCATTGTTGCCTGCTAGCTAGCCAACTTAACGTTAGGTAGCTAACGTTAGCGTTATTTACAATGAACACCGTGTGTTTACGGTGTCTGGCGTTTTAGTGTGGACAGCTCCTTGACGTGTTGTCTCCAAGTTATCAAGACTACCGGTCTTATATATGCAAGGACATACGAGAAAAGCAGGTCCATTTGCAGTTTTCAGTTAACTAACGTTAATTAAGTTAAATTGTGCCATAACGTCAGTTGCCTTACTGATGCTAAGCTAAACCCAGCTAACCTGTTTAACCACCTGTCAGTCCGACCTAGTTGTGACATGAGAGAAAAGCTAACTTTAATTAATTCACGTTGAATTCACCCTGACATATTCTGTCTCCGTTGCTTTAACGTATTGTGGAACATAAAGTAGCCCTCAGGTTAGCAGGGGATTTGCGATCGGCTAACTGTTGATAATTTGTTAGTGCAGAGTCAAAAAGAAGTGCACCAATAGAGCCCAAGGTGATGCATTAACCTGACAAATCCAAAGTTAGCTGTTGTGTCCGTACGTTAATTTATTTTGATCCATGCACCAATCAAAGTCACTTATCTCAACATCTTCTTTTGTTTGACATTTGTGTAGGTGGTTTCTTCTCTAATCTTTTCTCGGGCCTGTTCGGCACCAGGGAGATGAGGATTCTCATCCTGGGTTTGGACGGTGCAGGAAAAACGACCATTCTGTACCGGTTGCAAGTTGGAGAAGTGGTTACCACAATCCCCAGTATGTCTTTCTTTACTTACTCTTTGATCTCCTTACACGACATGCGTATATTCACATCTGCCTAACTGTCAGTTTGTCAGAGAAACTCTTTAGTGGTACGAGTGCACCCTATGTTCAAACGGGGTATTGATTATGAGGAACAACGTGTCTCCGTCGCTAGGCTTGGCTAACACAGGCAACCGGTTTGGGCAACATTCTTGCCTTTGCCACACAGGTTTTGAATGGACAGGAAAGTTATTTGAAAAAAATAAAGCTTTTCAGGATTGGATTTATTATTTATAATCAAGTGTGCGGCTAGCAGCAAAACATACTTCATAAGAAGAAGAAAAAAATATTAGTATGATTTGCACATCAGTTTGTGGTTTTAAAAATGTAAATGGAAGTACAGACATAAGTGCTACAGTAAAGCAAGGTTATTTTGCTCGGTCAAAATTACGTGGAATTTTACAGGTTAAAGATTTAGCAAATACATTTATTTGCTCTATGTACCAATTCTTTTAATTGTAGCTTTACAAAAACAGTTCATCTTGTTATCCCAATAACACTACAGTTTATTTTAGTGCACATCATAATCCCATTCCTATAGATAACATGGTGGTGATAATCAGGCTCACATTCTCTGTTCTGACGGTGTCCATTTGGGTTTCTCTCCGCACAGCAATCGGGTTCAATGTCGAGACAGTCACGTACAAAAACCTGAAGTTCCAGGTGTGGGATCTGGGTGGACAGACGAGCATCAGGTAGGTTGTGGCAGATTGTTTCTGCTGTCGAGCTCCCGGCGGGTGAGAGATTTTTTTTAACGTATTCACCTGACTTTTTTTTTTGATTTTGTCTTTATTCTTCCATCCTGTTCACGCACTCTTTGATGGACTTCTCCATCCTTCTCTGTCTCTTACGATACGCTTCCTCTCTGTCTCTCCTTCCCAGACCCTACTGGCGATGTTACTACTCAAACACGGATGCAGTAATCTACGTGGTTGACAGCAGTGACCGCGACAGGATGGGCATCTCCAAGTCTGAGTTGGTTGCCATGTTGGAGGTGAGAGGCTTAATCTAAACTGAAACCTGAACATGTTAAACCTCGTCAGATGTGCACTTCTCCTCTACTGCAACCAACATGAGGTCCTATTATTAACATTCCAACACTTGTTTTGATTGTTAGACATTTTACACTCACTTTACATTGTTGGTTACCTTGTGTTTTAACCAGGAGGAAGAGCTGAAGAAAGCCATCCTGTTGGTGTTTGCAAACAAACAGGATATGGACCAGGCAATGACACCCGCTGAGGTGGCCAACTCTTTGGGCCTTCCTGTCCTCAAAGACAGAAAATGGCAGATCTTTAAGACCTCGGCCACAAAGGGTACGGGTCTCGACGAGGCGATGGAATGGTAGGTTTTACCATACTTACCGTAAAGGAGCCATAGAAATGGGACTGAATGGGTGTCCACTATGTTGAGAGGGAAGAGGTTTAGTTTCATCCAGAACTACATTCTTACTTGTCAACAGTGTTCAATCTGGTGTTGGCAGACCCGTGCCTAACGATACCCCCCCCCCCCCCAAGGGTACGGCTTCAGTTCCCCAGACAGCAACATAACTCATACAAAATATTTTAAATATAGTGTTCTTTTTTTCTTTTTTTTTTGAGTTTCTTCTTAAATGCCGGTGTCTTAATCCACAGCTTTCCTCCTCTGTGGTACCTCCTGTCCTTTTTAAGATGGGGACTGTACCTATTAATGCACTTAATACGGATAAGTACCATCTACAACCCTACTTCGAATGATCTGAACAATCCCTATATTGGCATAGTAAATAACCTCTTTGATATGGCCATGAACAGGACTCAGCCATAACAGCTCCACTGCCTTTGGAAATGGTTCCTTTTCTAACAGTCCAGCCATGTTAAAGTAGTCAACGTGGCGAGCTCGTCAATAAGTCCATTTCACGACTTGACGCATGGTTGTCAATATTGGTTTATATTGCACGCCGGGTTATCTTCATGCTTTGGCTGATTTGTTTGCTCTGTCTCTTCCCTTGTAGGTTGGTGGAGACGCTGAAGAGTCGGCAGTAAAGGCTTCCACCCTTTCTGTAAATACTCTTGACCTCTGACCTTCCGTTATGAAGCCTTGTGACTGACCTTTCATCCCACTTTCCACTGGAATCCCCAATTGCACTCCTCCCCTCCTCCAACCCACCTGAAGCCTTGGCTGAGCCCTCCCAATTCCTAACGCCTTTCAAGTCTGGGACCCCCGGGTGACGGCTGCAGTAACGTCTGGACTGGGCACACGCTCCCGATGCCACGAGCGAGGGTTTAAAAGAGCTAGACGAGTCTGAATCCACATTTTTCCTTTTTGTAAATGCAAAGAAAATTCCTAGCACACGTGAAAAGGCGCAAATGGGACGATGGAAGTGTCATCACGCCTGACGGGGAATCTCTAAATGAGGCTCCTTTGAAAGCCCATCCACACTAGTGCTCCGTAGCGTTGTCGAAAAGCGCACGTCTTTACCCGACCGTGCGTCAGCTAGATGCACCAGTTAAACTCCCGTAACGCCACCAGAAGAGGACGGGCGCCCATGTGCGCGCAGTGCCGTCATGATCCACCGGAAGGCGGTGTTTTATCGTAAAAGGCACAAATATCAGTCCTGCTCCTCAACTAAGCAGCCAGAGGTGAAGACGCGATCACTGGGGAGAAGCTGCTTGATGCCAAATCATTAGAAACTGTATGATCATATGCTGGACTAGTCATACCGCTCTGTGACCCACCGGCTGGGTTGGTAGAAAATGTTCCAAATACTTTTGGAAATTGCTAATTTGACCTCCATCTCATCCACTATAAGTCTTCTGGCCAAGTGTTACTGCAGCCTGGGCGGTTTTTGTACTATATTGTTAGGCAGATAGAATGTCATGGATTTGTTTTTCTTCCTCTTGTGTACTTGTTCTTTTAAAAAAATAGTTAAAGCCCTTTTCCTTTGAAAATGCATCTTTGGCAATTAGTTACTGAACACTAACAGTATGCTCAAAGTTTTATGGTTGCATATTTATATCTGCTTGTACAGTAAATGATTCTCAGTAAAGAGTGCTATCAGTGATTGTACCATTCTCAGTTTACATGTCTTTCCACAACATCACCGTTTATGACGTTCAGTCCTCGCTCTAAACACATGTATGTTGGTTCGCTCCTGCGCAGACAAGACCGTATGCAAGTAACGTCACAAAAAACTAGGTATAAATCATCCAAATATAAGTAACTCATTCTGTAGTTGAACACACACAGGGTTAAAAGAGCTGTACGACTTCAGACAGTTAAATCCCACATTTGTGTGGTTTGGAAAACCTGTTTAATGTTAAACTTTACTGGTCTGTCGATGTACCATACAGTCAGATTCAATGGCATTACTCATGTTTTGGACCTTTGTTCGCGTAAAAGCCAATTTTATCTTCAAAACAGGGATGCTGAGCGAAGATGTCTCATCCTTTTAATTACAAAAAGTCCATTTAAATGCACAGGATACAAATGGAATCAAGTCTACACTTTGCTCACAGCAAAATAAAACGTTTAGTTCACTAGTAACAAAGACATCCTGCTGTGTATAGGCAGTTACAGGACGACATCTGTAGGATTCTTATGGAAGATCACAAAGTGAAACTTGTCTGTGAAGGATGGACGTGTCCAGCCAAATTGAGTCCCTCTCCGGGATGCAATGGGTGGCTTTCAACGCCACCTAGTGTCCTTAATAAAAACAGCAGCCTCTGTCGTGGCTCACTTCACTATGGCCAGGTCTCTGAGCGCGTGGGTCCGGCTCCTCTTGGCTTTATACCCGGGCCGGAGGAACTCGATCTTCCTCTTCTTGGCTTCTATTTTGTTCTTGTTCTTCTTGAGTTTCTTCTTGGCGGCCATTTCTGGGTTGGACACCGCCTGGGGGGGTAAAACAAGAGAAATAAATGAGTGGGAGGAATGAAGTTGGCCCTTGTGTGTTACCGCGGGGTGGTGGTGTGGGGGGTGGGGTTTCGGTGGTCATCGTACCAGCATGGCTCGGTGTTGTTTGCGCGCCACTCTCCTCTGTGAAAACTCCTTCTGGACGGCGGAGAAGGCCAGAGAGAATCTCTCCAGTCCCACCTGCTTCTTCAGCAGCTCTATCAGCTCCTGGGCCAGGTTCTTCAGGGTGGGATCTGGACAGAGCGAGTGATTAGTTTATTCCACAGAGCTTTGCCCTCACCATGACACACGTCAGAGCGTTTCAAAGACTGGTTAGGAGCAGGTACCTTGGTCTGCATACGTGCTGTCCAGCTCTCGGTAGAGAGGAGTGATGAGAGTGGTCAGATAGGGGCCAAGTCGATCCTTGCCCAGGTCTATGGCCATTGCCCCAATGAACTTGAACACGCACGTTCTCTGTGGCAGGGTAAAGACGGCCATTTTCAAAGTTAGAATTTAAAATTAATTCAAAAGGAGTTTTGTTGATGTTGTCACAAATGGTAACTTTCAGAATTATTAGATTTACTAGAAAATGTACCCGTATAATTAACGAAATGTATACATTGATTTTGGTACCCATCCGTGAGACTGGACTTAATTAGTAAAAGTGTACCTATCTTTATGTTATCTAATGCTTCCTCAAAACCTCTTTATTCTGGTGACATGAAAATTGTTCCCTTTTCTCTACCAATCCCTTAAATGCACCTTGAGGAGGCTTCTCTGTTACTGTGTTAGTTAAGGGGTGAGGACGCAGAGAGCCACGTGAGCATAACGAGAAGCACCCGATGTACCTTCAGGGGGACTTTGGGAGTGTGTGCTGCCTCTCTCTTGGTCATCAGCGACAGCTTCTTTATCAGCCACAGCAGCGAAGGAGGCCGATCATCCTTGTCGGCTGCGTCGTCCTCCTCTTCTCCGCCATCTGCTTCTTTTTCCGCCCCCTCTTCGTCTACTACGTTCTCAGTCAGCTCCTCCTCCTCCTCCTCCTCCTCTTCTTCCACTATGTTCTCCCTCAGCTCCTCCTCTTCTTCCTCAGGAGTAACGTCAGACTCGGGAGAAAGAAGGTAGATCACCTTGCCGACGAACAGCAGGTTCTTGATCACCTGCGGGCGGAGCAAAGAATTGCTGTTAGTCAACTCTGACATGATTTAGATTCCTCTTCCACAATAGTCTCAGGTGGGTTTCTGTGGAGTTTGGTCACCTGCTCTCCTGAAGCCACGTCAAGGAACTTGGACTGTAGCTGATGGCAGAACGATAACGCCAACTCCCTCATCTGTCACAAAGGCGGCAGAAATAAATGATTTCAGATTATGGAATAATAAAATGCAGAAATCAGATTACAGACGGGAAAAAGAAAAAGAAAAAAAAAAGCCCTCACCTTCTTGTCCAGGCTGCTGGTGATAAACTCCGTGGCTGCAGGCCGAGGGGAAGCATCTCCCTCTCCTCTCCACAAGGCGACCAGCTGCTCCGCCGGATGAGCGGCGAACAGCTGACCAAAGAGCTGCGAGGCAGTCAGCCACACCCAGCAGTGAGGGTACCGCAGGTGGGCTTCAATGTGACCTGCAGGCGGAAACCACATCGACAACTTGTAGCTGGTCGCCTCTGCCACATGGTCAAGTTGCTGCTCTAATCCGTGTGTTTACTTAATGCTTTAGCGAGTGTGTGTGTGTGTGTGTGTGTGTGTGTGTGTGTGTTGCGTCTGCACAAGTGACAGGGAGAGTGTGTGTGTGAGTCTCCTTTACCCCAGATCCTACAGAGTGTGTCGTGAGGCTTGCTGAGCTCCAGCAGGCCGCAGTGTTGGCAGAGTTTGGTGATAAGAGTCAGAAAGCTGAACAGCAGGCGGTCTGCTCCTCGCTCATCCTCCTCCTCGTAGATCTGAAAGACAGCGAGGGGGTTAACGCGATTCCTTTTCCGACCGATACCGACTGGGCAAATGGGTCCACTCACGTCTTCGTAATTTTCAGGGTGGATCTCTTTCTCCAGCAGAGGCAGCAGGTCGTCCGTGCGACGGGTAAACTTCTCCTCCTCCACCTCCACGTACAGGCCGCAGATCTGAGCCCCGAGGCGCCGCAGGTTGGCCTGGGGGGGTTAAATAAGATTCAAAACCATTTAAGACCAACAAACCAAACAAGAAGTTAATATTACAAAATACACAAACTCTAAAATGCCCTACAGGTGTGTGTGTACCTTTGGTGCATTCAGCCATGTGGTGACCAGGGAGAACAAGGCGTTGTGGTGGTTCAGGTCCAGCTTGGCCAGCAGGGCCTTGATAGCCATGGCGGCCATTTTCTTACAGCGGGCAGAGTCATCGTTGAGCACGACCAGGGCCAGCGGGGCGAAGAACAAGCCGTTGTACTGAAACAGCAGCCGCTGAGAGGAAAATGATAAGAAGTTTGCCAATTCAAAAGTCTGCAGTCTGCTCAGGTTTGATCACAATATAGACAATGTCGCTGTCATACAAATGCAGCATTAAGCAAAGTTTGTGCTTTTCTTGACCACGTGGACATTTACACACCTGAGGGAACGTCTGGAAGATGTAGGCCAGCATCTCCAGCACAGACTCCCTGCCCATGTCGTGCTCGTACTGCAGCTGGGCCACCACAAAGTCGAGGTGCCCTCTCAGCTTCTTCCCCAGAGGGTAGTCCAGCAGGTATTTTAAAAACATCTGCAAAATATGGACACAAGAATTTTTATCATTGGCTCTACAGCGCGGTAGAAGAAATGTGGCTTTTCTTGATGCGTGCGAGTACCTGTCGACAGCGAACTCTGACCATCATATTGCTGCTGGTTACGGAAAGCTTGGCCACCTTTTTCAACACCTCCTCCATCTCCGGAACAATGAGCTTCCTGAACAGAATGGCCTGGAGGAGACAGATGGAGCTTCATACATCGCTCAGGCCACAGTGAATCCTGGAAGAATTTGGCAATCAAGTGGTCAACATCTGAGCGGCTACCTTCAGCAGGCCGAAGGCCGTGGCTTGGCGAGACTGGTCGTAGATGTCTTCCTCAGCATATCCCAGCAGCACTTGCAGTTGAGTCTCTGAAATCTGGTTGTTTTTGACATTCTTCACCATTATGGTGATGGCCTGTAAGAAACATCAACATTTATGCAATCTTTTTTTCCCCACCATTTATTTGGAGCGGAAACATGAAGATTAATATTATTCAACTTCAAAACTAATAATGTGGTGATGTCCCACAAACGGACAAATGCTTTCTCTCGTCTATCTTAAGATGTGTACATGCATGAGTATTCATCATCTCTGGCACCTTGAAGCAGTTCTGGACGAGCAGGAAGTTCTCCCCGTGGCCGGCTCCCGCCATGGAGTAATCCTTCAGCAGGACGAAGAGCGGCTTGGCCAGCTGGCTGGCGTTGTGCTCCACTGCCGGCAGGGGGAGCTTCAACATGCAAGTGAACGCCAGCAGAGCCTCTGTGATCACCTGGGAGGGAGGAGAGTCAGAGGGAGAGGTTGAAAGGCCGGCCGAAGCTCAAAGTTAGGGGTGGGGGGGTTAAGGCCCCCCACGTGGGCATAAGACGCTGGTACCTTGACGTGCATGGACTCGAGGCAGTCGAGCAGCAGCAGTACGAAAGGATCCAGCATCTCCAGAACAGAGGCGTCGGAGGACTTCACTTTGGATTTCTTCAGACTCAGGTGGAGCAGCTGGAAAAGGGGCGGACACACAGGATCGGTGACACTGTTATTTTGTCACATGTCTGACACTGTTATTTTGTTGAATCGTAGCTCTGGGAGCTGTTCAATGTGCACCTTGAGGCCGGCGCCAACGAGGATGTGCAGGTTGGTTCGGCTGCTGACCGGAGCCTTCCGACTTCCTCTCTTTGGAGTCGGAAGCAGGAGCAGGCAGCTGGGAGGGGGCAGCTTGGGGTCTGGGGGGGGCTTGGCCGAGGCTTTCTCTCTACAGAAAACAAATACAGACATATATGTGTACAGTGTCACAAATCACAGCAGGGAAATAAGCATTAGTGAGTGATGTGACGTGTGTGTGTGTGTGTGTGTGTGTGTGTGTGTACCGGTCTCTCTTGGTAAGGAGGGGCAGACTTTGGCTAACCAGGCCATGGCATAGCAGTAAGATATCTTGAGATGTCATGCCCTCATTGACGAGCAGACCCAGGACCACTTGCCTCAGCACGGCAGCCACCCTGTTGCACACCTTCAGACTGGACGAATTCTCCAAGAGCTGAAAGCCAAATTATCCATGTTTTTTTTTTAAGAGACTCTCCGGCGGCAGCATCACCTGAGTTTAAGCACATTTATTCGTACACTTAACCGGGTCTTTATTATTTCTTTTACACGCCCCCCCCCTCACCTCCTTCAATGGCAATAACAACTTGGTGACGCTCTCCCTGCTGCAAAATTGGGCCAGCAGCTGGTAGGAGTCCATGCTTTTGCTGTGCCGAGCCTCCATCAGCTTGGAGACGATCCCCTTCACCTCCTTCTCCTCGGCCACGGGTCCGAACAGCTCGTTGTTGAAGATCTGACCAACGAGGAAGAACAAGGATAAAAGATTATTATACTGAATAACCAAGCCATCTGATTGTAACAGAGGAAGCCTTTAGTAGTGTGAGGCGCTCTTACGTCGATTAGCATGTTCATGCACGGGTCCAGGTCCCCGCTCTTCAGGGTCGGACTGAGGACTGTCAGCAGCCGGTGTACTGTGAATGTCAGCACGTGGACCTGTGCCGAGGGGATGGCGTACAGAAGATTCATTAGGACTCATCGGGACACTTCTGACGTGCTTCAATGGTTGTTGTGTCCCTGTGTGCGCGCTCCTACCTGGTAGCCCTTGACCAGGGTCCCGTGCATCTCTTTGAGCAGGTACTGCAGGTACTTGTAGCCCAAAGTCTCGATGATCTTCACCAGGGTTCCCCTCGCCACTTCACGGACCTCCTGGAAACGGTTCCTCAGCACCACGCACACCTTGATGAGGATCCTGGACGCCACACACAAATATTACGAACAAATACAGAATATCTGTGTCATGAAAATGTTCTGTCAAAGCAAGTGCTGTACACGATGATATTTAAAAGTTCCATATAAATGATTCAAAGCACAGCGCATACCCGGGAAGGTTGGCCTCCCATGACATGAGGCGGTAGAGTCTGCATCAGTTTGACCATGGCAAAGGCGATCGGTATCCTCGCCGTCTCCTCATCCTTCACGTCCTTCGACCTCACTGCGTTGTGCTCGTCGTCGCGCTTAATCTAAAACAAAAACACAAACACACTTCCGCTACTGCGCTGGTGCTCGGAGCCTTCACAGCGGTTAACGCTGGATTTGTGTGAGCGCGTCGTACCTTTGCGGTGAGACACTTTTGGAGGCGAGGCAGCACGGTGTTAGTGACGGTCTGGTGGATGGTGCTGATCAGAGACTCCAGCTCGCCTGCGCTCTGCGGCAGCCCGCTGCTCGCTGCCAGGGTTGCAGGGGTTGCCGGCACCTTGGCTTCAGAGGCGGCGTCTTTTTTAGGGGCAACCTGCTTTTCCCCACCGGGGGTGTCCATATCCATGGGGACATCGGCCGGAGCGGCGTTACCGTCTACCTGCATCGCCTCCTCCTCCTCATTGTTGCCCAATTCAGGTTCCTCCACTGCCTCTGCAACACCCCCGGCTTGATAAAGATATATAGTTTAGTTCAATAATAATTTACCTTATTTATCTTTGATTTGTTTAAAAGCAGTGCGACATAGTCACTCACCCTCTCTGGCCTTGGCTGCTTCCATTTCTCTGCTGAGGGTCTCGTGGTCAAAATGGAAAGCATCCAGGACGGTGACCAGCAAACTTAAGGTATAGAAGCACACATTGTTAAATGAAAAACATCATTGAAAAGCAAGCAATAAAATGGCTTACAGTAAAAAAAAAAGTTTTTTAAAAGAGACAATCCTACTTGGCAGCCAGTTTCTGCTCAGCCTGCCCTGTCTGCAGGACGTAGACGAAGTGTTTGAGGTAGTGAAGATACTTGGACCAGGTCAGCCTGCGGCACACAGCGCCCACAATCGCCACAGACGCCAAGATCATGTTGTCATGCTGGAGTGTGTGAGTAGAGGACAGTTAGACCCACTAACCAACCAACAACATTTTTTCTCTTTAAGCTTTAAACACTGTCCGAGTCACCTTCAGCATCTTCTCATCTAGCAGGGCAGTCATGGCGTACGGCATGATGTAATTCTGGAGAGAACGAGGAGTCATCACCACCTGGCCCTCGGTCAGCTGCTTGGCCAGCCTCCTCAGGGCTCGAGCACGACGGTGGATCTACACCGGAGGAGTAGGACGCACACCTCGGTTAGTGTGCAACAGAAAGATGTGGACGGACAGAAAGGAGGATTCGAGCTTACCTGGATGTGCTTCATGTGCTCAAAGAAGTCAGACTCGGGGTCAGTGTAGTTGGTGAGCTGTACCAGGTCTCTGAACTCTTTCTTAGAGGGGAAGGTCTTCACCAGGCAGGCCAGCACTGTGGTGTATTCATGCTGCACGCTCTAGAAGATGAGGGGGGGGGTTAATACTTTGTGCATAGCTCCTTGTACACCTGGTATTGCAGCAGAAATGGGACGACGGGCGGGGGTTCCTACATCCGTCTTGCTCTGCAGCCCCCTGTGCACCGCGTCCAGGATGGTGTTCTGCACGATGTCCTGGTAGAGCTGTCCTCCAGCCCCGACCGCCGCCAGCTGGGTGATCACTGCAGACAGACACGTGGTGGCGTTGTCTCCCAGCGACATGTCGCCAAGCTGGAGGGGGAAAGGAGGGCAGAGGGAGAGATAAATCAAAGCTATTCGAGTAGTAAAATCATATTGATTTAGACAATTTCACGTGCACCATATATCTGCGTACCTCAAATGTGTGGAAGCAGTTGTACATGATGATGTAGATATAGTCCAGGTCCAGAGTCGCCATTTCTTTGACCCGCCTGGTGGCGTCTTGGAAAGCCGGCAGACGCACATCAAAGTGAATCTCATCCAAGTGTCGGCTGTCAAACGCGTTGAGCTGAAGACGGCGAGCGGTAAACAATGAGTGTCTTCTTACTGGCTGCAATGTGTGGATGGAATTAATGATCTTACCTTCGTTGCCAATTCAGTGATGTACAAGAGATTGGGCTCCAGATCTGACAGAGTCTGAAAGCAGAGCACCAACGGCAGATTGAGAAAGAAAAAAAATGGAGAGGGAGATGAGAGGCAAATGGACCTCTAAAGTTACAAACCAACATTTTGTTTGGTTCTCTGCAGTACCTGGAAGACATTGTTCAGGGCCTGCCTGGGCAGCTGGTTGTTAATGACGGCGAAGAGTTTGCAGAGCGGCCGCAGGAAGGCAGACGGCTTCACACACTGTCGCAGCAGGTTCTGCAGCGTTGCCAGAATGTCGATTGTTATCTCCTGAAACAAACCCACAACAAGGTCATCAACATGCAGCAAGAAGATTTAGAATCGATCGCACAGGACGACAACATTTATGTGTTCTGAGTTGAGCACCCCAGACACAGATGCTTTTATGGAAGCCTTCACTAACAAGAGCGAAAACTATGACCCTGGTTCTCACAACGCTTCATAACTTCTATAAGTGGAATAGTAGGAATAGTTGGAGATGGTACACGCAGCCCTGGATGCTGCATTCAAGTCAGCTCTTGATATTTTAAAGTAAATAGGATTACAATGAAATGAGTCTAATTTAAGCTTTCTGGACCATCAGTTTTATTTGAAATGAATCAAGTAGACGTAAGTATAGACGGGCAACTGTGGGTGAGTGTGGAGGACGGTCGTCCTCCAATCAGAGGGTTGTCGGTTCGATCCCAGGCCCGGCTAACCCGCATGCCGTCGTGTCCTTGGGCAAGACACTTAACCCAACTTGGCTGGGACTACAGTGTGTGAATGGTAGTTACTGATGGCAGGTGTCACTGCGTGTGGTTCTACTGTCATCAGTGTATGAATGGGTGAATGATGTCATGTAGTGTTAAAGCGCTTTGAGTGGTCAGAAGACTAGAAAAGCGTTATACAAGTACAGGCCATTTACCATTTACTATTGAGTCTTACTTGAGAATTGAGGCCTTTGAGGAGGTAGGGCAGCAACAAGCGGATGAGCACCGTGCTCTGCTCCTTGTCGCTCACAAACCGACTGACCCTGACGGGGGAAAATAAAAAATAAAACGAGTTTGATGAGACTACTGCATAAGGAATATTTCTCAGATAAATTGTACATTTGGTAAAACTATCAACACCAAATAAAGCCCTTACTTGGAGAGGATGTTGAGCTCTTTGGCCACGTGCGCCTTGAACTTCTTCTGCTTGAGTCGGCCCGTGTTGCGCACCACTCTGCTGAGGTACTGCAGCAGGGTGGAGACGTGAGGCAGCAGCACTCTGGAGCCCTGAGTCAATGAGTCTGGAGGACAATCAAAAACATGCACGGTTAAACCGACAATTAACTGCACACTGGATAAAGAGGATGTATGACAAAGGAAAAGGCAAACAGGCAAACTCGGCCAACCTGCAGTGATGAAAGAGCCCTCTTTGGGCTCTGGGAACACACTGCCGTTGACGCTCAGCTCGGTCTCAACGTCTGAAGCAACAAAGTCTTCAGTGGTTGCTAGAGACTCGGCAATGTCCATCACCGCCTTGATGGTCACTGGGGAAGCGTTCTTGGCGGAGAGGAGGGCGAAGACGTTAAGGAGGATGTTATACTCCGGCTGGTTTGGCCTCTCCTTGGCCAGGAGGGGGAAGTACCTGAGACGGACAAAACAAATCTTTTTACTGGCTTAAATTAACTCTGGATGAGAACTGGTCTTACGTGATGAAGAGGTTCTGGTAGATCGATGAGAATGAAGAAAGGGAGACTCTAACCTGGCATTTTTGCACCAGACATGGATGAGTTTCAGCAGTGGGCTGGGGGAGTAAGGGCTCTCAGTAGGGAGACGACACACCTGCACACAAAGGAAACGTTAACCACACCAACAAAACACACAGAAAAACACTGAGCTCGCTTGCAACACGTACCTGAGGCCAGACCACGGCCTGAAAGACAGCATCCAGCTCGTCTGCACTGAAGCTGTAGGAATCGAAGCCGTCAAAGAAGTCTTGGATCCTCAGGATGCCGAGTTGTCTCAGGTGCTTCAGAGGACCGATGCAACCTGGACGCAGCTGAACACAGAGGGAGGGGGGTGGGAATCAAGGCCAAGAAATTAGGTCTTCATTCTTTGGGGTTGTGTCTCTAAATGTGGGGGATTGTTATGTATACAGTGATCTATTCAAGTCAAATTTGAGATTTGAAAATTCATACATCATGAATCTTAATAAATGAATAAATAACTGTCAGCCCTTATCCAGATTACCTGGTCCCTGTGGTCCAGCACGACGGACACTGAGGCGGTGACACACAGCAGGATCTGCAGCACCTTGGGTAGGTGGAGGTGGATGAGGTGGCCTAGTTTCTGGATCACAACGTGGATGATGTTCAGCAGGCTGTGCTGGCGGCCCAGCGGCAGGACGGCACCCACGTCGGTCTTGGAGATCGCTTTCTTCACTGCTTCCAAGCAGGAGCCTGAGGACGACGGAATTCAGGAAAACGCTAAATATTAAAATCAGTTCTGATGTAAAAAAGAAAAACCTCACTTTTTTTTATGATTAAATGTATTTATTTTTGCTCATTATCTAATCAGTTCATCTACACAGTCAAGCAGTTATTTAAGAAAAGTTCTTATATTTGCAATAACTTGGAAATACACTCTTAATGAGACACTACCATAAAATAAAATTGTGTATTGATTAGGGTTGATACTGAATTAGAAAAAGAAAAAATACATCCAGCTGATGCAAGTGTGAGGCTTAGGGAGACGTCAAGCCGTTTAATACTCTTATACAGGTTGAAATACATGGTTTCATTACAAAGACAGGTTTCCCCAGAATATTTAACAGAAATGAAATATTTGCCTTCAGGGGAGATATAAAGCCATTTGCAACTAAAATGCTGAACTGTGAATCATGGCTCTGCATATTCAAACAGAAGATGCAGACTGGTTTAAAAGACATCTTTCATTTTCTACCACAGCCGAGTCCTACCTTCACTGTGATAGCAGATGGGCTCAAGCAGCAAGTCGATGAATATTCCCAGCTCCTGCTGTTGGCAACCTCCCAGAAAACGCAGGATAATGGAGGACCGGGTGGTGGCACTCGACTTCCCCTGAAACTTACTGCCTGCTTTACTGCGCATACGGCCGAACAGGATCCTGCGTATTAAAACACATTGAATCAGAGTGTTGGATAATTCAAAACAGACATATGATACATTATTAACTGGGGAAATACATGATGAAAAGGGCATACTATATTTTTTGTTGGTTATCCATTTTAAAAAGTAGATAATATTAATGTGTATCCTCACTGTGCATCTCGCCTGATCTCGCCTCAAATTATTATGATATAGGAAAGTCTGGCCAACCCACAAGTACCTCATGAGCAAAGGGATGAGTATAGCTCTGTGTGAAGCTTCAACCACTCCCGTCTCCTCAGTGATGTTGAATTGGATAATCTCATCTTTGAAGTGTTTGTCGTCCAGTAGCCTCTCGAGATTCTCCCTGTTCACACAAAAGGGAAACAACGGTAAGAACACACACCTTGTAGAGGTTAAATGTCTTGAACTAGGACATTTAAAAGAGACACTGGGATAAAATAAACTTCCATAATGAAGCTGTATAATAATACAATGTGTATTAAACAACCACTTAATATGATCTGGATTGCAAACAGCACACATCTTTCCACAGCTGTCACAGCTGTGTGACTCACACACACAAAATCATCTGTAATGCTAAACTTCCTCAGAAACACACATCTGTCTGCAGGTAGGTAGGCTGCCGGGAGGTTGAGTTAAAAGATGATTTGATAACAGACATGTTGTTGGGCAGAGCCAGCAGGAAGTTAACATTCCTCCGTATGTAACCTCAGCGCGTGGAGGTCCGGAGCTCTGATTCCTATCAAAGAGCCTCACAATGATCCCATTGAGGTAAAGAAAGAAGGGGAGATTGTTGCTTCAAGAGCTGCATTACTGAACACTCGCTGTTCAGGCGGTTGCGGTAGTTATCTTACTTGTATGGTACTATGTTGGGGTCTTTGTATGTAAGAACACATTCCAGTGCCACTCGCTGGATCTGATGGTTCTGATGGCAGAGCAACTGAACAAGGAGAGAAAAACATGACATTAGGATATTTCAGCCCAAAATTTCAGTGCGTCTCAAACATCATGCTTATAGCAAACTGGTGATACTTAGATCCCCAAGTAGAGCATATTTTAAAGTATCAACATTACCTGGTTGTATAGCTCACCGAGGCTGCTCTCCATGTAGAGAGAGCGCGGGTTGGTGAATTTGGCAAATACCTTCAGATGGGCAATCAGTTCTCTGGAAAAAAAAAAACACACCAATACGGGTTTGCAAGTCATAAACTGCAGAAACAAGCCAGAATTATGCTCACATTGTGAATAATATAACCTTAGTGAAAATAGAAAACCTGCTTTTATGGTTTTTATTAACGTTGTGCAATAGTTACTGAGACTATCACAATGCAGGGAAACAACATTCAGCGGGATGGTGATGTCTTACTTGGCAGCAGCTCTCTTAGGAGGACCTTTTTTCTCTCGTCTGCCTCCCTCCTCTGGCTCCTCCTCATCATCCCCTCCCTCTTCATCTTCACCCACAGTCATCCTGGACTCCTCTAGGGGAGCGCGATCCACCTTCCTCAAGTCCTGAGTGGGAGCCACCTGTAGGTCGGCGTGGTAAAACTCGTTCCTGACAACGAAACAAAAAAAGGACCTCAGTGCCGGATCCTTTGATGGCGATTGATCTAACTTAAACCGAACACAGGACAACGACTTGACATAATACACGTGCAACACTGTGGACGCTAACCTGATGAACCTCAGCAGGAGGGGGCTCAGTTCCCGGCTGCGCGGTTCCACCCGGTCGGGAAACTGGGTCATGCAGCGCCACAGCAGGCCACGGAAGTTGGGGAAGTCCGTCCTCTCGTTGGGGTTTGAGGTCAAGTTCAGCTGCTCCAGGAACAGCACCCCCATGTCGCCGCTTTCAATGACATCACAGCCCGGCTCGCCCTCGACACCCATCTCCTCCTCCTCTTCATCCTCCTCCTCTTCATCCTCCTCGCAGCACTCCTGTAATTCCTTTTCTGTGACAGGCAGAGAGTTAGATCTACCTCTTATTTCGTGTATTTCTACTTGCAGCTCATTGCACCAACGCTGTGGGGTCCCTGCATAAAACGGCTGACATTGAACAAAGTTTACACTCATAAGCGTATGAAGAAGACCTAGGAGGCAGCCTTACCGGCTATCCCTGCCACCATTTCCAGATGTTCATGGAAGACCCTCCAGAAGTCCTTGTTGTCCATGCCTCTAGCATGGCTCCTGTGAGGAGGGATGGGACATATTTATTTACGTAATAAATTAAGCAGATTTTAACAGACAATTTCTTTCCTCTTTTTTTTTTTTAATAGGATCACTTAGTTAAAAAGAAATGTGTTCAAAAGGGCAGTAAAATTAGAGGAATCTATAGCACTATTTAGAAGGTTTATAAAAGTCAAAAACTGACAAAAGATAAAATGAAAAAAGCGTGTGTTATTTTGGAATGCTATTTTACTCACACAATAAGTTCAATGACTCCTTCCCACAGTGGCCTGAAGTTGACGAAAAGCATTGCGATGAGGTAACGCAGTGGCACCTGAAGGAAAAAGACCATCTCCTATATTTCCATTTAGAATTCCTGGCACAGGAATACATGATCAACAACAAGGTGATGCGGTCTTCCAACTAATAAAAAGTAGAAAAACAACGGGAGTGAGTCCCACTGTACCTGCTGGAAGGTGCCGGGTGGCCCTTGAGGCAGGCTGCGCTGCACCAAGTCGTGTCTCAGCTTGCGGAGGTGAAGCAGCTTCTCTCTGCAGTCCTGCACCGTAGCCGGCACCAGCTCGGCCTGCAGGCACAAGGCGAACACGGGCTGCACCTCCACACTCTCCTCACCCTGCACAGACAATCACACGCGTAAGTACATTGGTCTTATCAGTACATCTGGTAGAAATGACGAGGACCTGGACTGGCAGGTCGTACCTCTGTCTGGGGAGGGAGCTCCGCCTCAAACTGGGAGAGAATCCTCAGAGTCAGCAAGCGGATCTGAGAGAGAACAGAATTCGGCCGTGACATTCAAGGTAAATGTATTAAAGCATTCATATTAGTCCTTGTTCTTCAAGTCCCTGCTGCTGTTACTGCAGGCATACCTTGGAAATGTTGGAGGAGAGGTTGGCGTGGAGCATCTGGTGGAGCTCCAGCAGTGCATTGTGGGAAAGGTGCTCTGAGACACCGCTGAGTGACAGGCGAGTGTAGTACAGGTCTCCAAGCACCAGGGCAGAAAGGTCCGTGGGAAAGTTTCTGTAATCGCAGCAGTTAAAAACTTGAGTGGAAGTGAAAACTGTCTGAATAAATGGGAAACGAACTGAGATACAAGCTATTAACACACACACACACACACACACGCTGTACTTACCGTAGGATTGAGTTGATTTTGTCCACAGTGAACAGCGAGAGAAGCTGGGCAGAGCCATCCAGAGTGAGGAGGCAGCTCAGGGCTTGCCTGGCTACAAACAGCCCAGCTGGAGAAGTGGCGACAGGACACAAGGGCTTCAAGTCAGTCTCTGTTTGAGGTTGAAGGTGTGTGTGTGTGTGTGTGTGTGTGTAGTGCAGAGAACAAGTTCTGACGTTTAAACAAATCCTGTTAAGCTTTCTGATTTGTATTTATTTTTTAAAAGGTGATTGTTATTATGTTCAAGCAGCAACCTGTTTTTGCACTTTGTTTTTTGAATTGTGAATTTGTACTGTCAGTTCGTTTTTAGAATAAAGGTTTGGAAATGAATGCTTTTTAATGTGAATTTTAAATCTGATTAATTGATTGATTATTATTATTATTATTATTAATTGACCGATTAATCAATTATCAAAATAATTGTTAGTAAGATTTGGGGTGACAGATATATCTTCTGTTTTCAAGAAAAGGAGAAACGACAAACCTTTTCCCAGTCTTTCTGCCTCAATCTCACACAGGAGGTGGTTTAGGAAAGCAGTCACAGCTGGAACAACACTAGCTGGAGCAATGGGCCTGAAAAAGGAAAATACAATATCAGAAAAATAAAACAGAATACATCTGTCAAGAGCATTTTGCACTGCAAGAAAGTGTGTTTGGATACAAGTGAGGCTGCAGCTGTAACCATTTCACAGTAACGGTCAAGGCTCATGCTCTAATATATATATATGTGTGTGTGTGTTACCTGAGGTGTGGCAGAAGCACCAGGGCAGCCCACGGCAGTGACAGGTCGGTGATGGACTGCTGCTGGCCATCAGGAAATTGGATCAGCGACAGTACCAGCTCTGGCACCGGCGGCTGCTCTGATGTTAAACTGCTGGATTTAGTGCTGAACACTCTGCTGGACAAGAAACACATTTTCATGGGAAATATTCCAGCAACCAGAAGAGGATTCAGCTAGACTTGATTTATGAAGGTTTGATGCATAGCGTAGCGTCTCACCCCATGGTCTGTCCGGTGAACAGCAGTGGGTAGGTTTCAAAGGCCATGGAGCCGTCAGTGGGGGGCGGGGCTTTGGCGAGGATGAGACTGACCAGTATGTCCAGCCCACAGTTTCGAGAAAGGGGATCGGCACTGGCAAACAACCCTGCTGTGAAACGCAACAGGCATGGCAGGAAGAGCTAGAGGGGAGGAAGGGGAAGAAAAGTACGTTTCTGGGAGTCATACAGAGTAAAAGAACCCAAATCAGGAAAATAGTGGATATATACACACAACTAGTGATGACTCACCTGTTCAAATTGTTTCATTGTGAACATCTCCTTGGTGAACTCCAGTATCAGATCTTCCCCCACTGTGCTGCCAAACACCTTGTGAAGAAAACCGAGGATCGGAGAACAACATTGGAACATATCAACTATAAATTTCCTACACGAATATCCGCACAACATATGAATGGGTTCTTTTTGCCTGTTTAGCACCAACACGCACCTTTTGAACAGTCTCCTGGGTGAGCGCTTGTTGCAGGGTGACGTTCTCCCCGAGGAGTAGGGAGGAGGTGATCTGGAGGAGCAGACGGTAACAAGACGCCGACAGAGACGGGCTCTGAATCAGCCTCAACACCATCTGTGGGCAAGATGATGAACAAAATTACACCAAAAAGCCTTTCAGGGGAAGGACCATTCTTGTTCAGGAGTTTTGTTTCAAACTAAATCTCCCAAATGTGTGTTCTTCGGATACCTGGCAGACGTCTGCCGACTTGGTGATTTTCGCTCCATTCTTGTGGGACACCAGGGTGTGGAGAATAAACAGCAGCCTCTCCAGCTGCTCTGTTGCCTGCTCCGCCTCCTCTCCTTTCGCCTCCACAACACCCTGAAGCTCCACCGCGCTGACCTGCGCATATGGACACAGCTACATCAGAGCCGAAGCCGTGCGGGGTGGGGGGGGCCACGACAACGGACCAATTACAGCTGATGATCGGACATCTCGCCCACCTGTAAGGACTCCCAAAAAACCAGGAAGTGTTCTCTGTAGACGTGATTGGCGGCAGCCTGGGCCATGTGATCCAGAGCATCCCTAACGGTGTCCCACGGCAGAGGTACGCCGCCGTTGGTTACGGGTCCGAGCTTACGCAAAGCTAGAGGGAGAGCCTGGCAAGATAGGTGGAGAGAATACTTTGAAATAAGCACATGACACAATTTTACATTTCTCCGCCGAAAAAAGGCCAGTCCAGCCACCCACCCCATCGGCGTCCACCCCACTACAAATTAAACTCACATTTCCCACACAGGAGTGGAACATATGTTGGACTCCTTTGCACATCTCAAACAGCAGCTGGCCTGCTCCCTCCGCCTTGTCGGGGTGCTGCTGCAGGTCTGAGAACACGAGACTCAGCAGGGCATCAATATCCGGAACCTGTGTGACAGCAGAGACGTCATTGAAAACAAAGGTGGCACTTTAGGCAAAAGAAAGGAACGTATATGCTCGTGTTTGACATCTGCTCACACGCAATTAACTCACCTTTCTCATCAAAAAAGAGAAGCTCTCTGCTGCAAACTTGCGGATGTGCTCTTTCTTGTGCTCCAACAACCTGCTGTATAAACTGTGATGAAAGGAAGTAAAAATAGGTAGATGTTACGTTGGGGGGGGGGGGGGGGAATATCAACCACGTTGGGGGAAAAAAGACTTCCCCCGTAAAGCAGCCACAGAATCTGAAACAACCGAATTTTCCCACCTGTAGATGTTGGTCATGTCCTTCACCATGAGCCTCCACAGGTACTTGTAGAGGTAGGAGAGACACGTGAAAGCCCACTCCAGGACCTCCGTGTCATTGGTTTCAAGCAGCGAGGCGATCAGGAGGAAGAAGTCGGGGAAGTGGGGGTAGAAGTCCGCCTGCAGGTCTCTGGCCAGCTGCACCACAAGGCTGGAGGAGGAAGGAAGGAAGGAAGGAAGGAGAGACACGGCTAGTACGTCACCTCAACACCTTCACCCTCCAATCGGCTGAACGCATGACAACTTACTCCAGCAACGGCTCGTAGGCCAAACTGTTTTTGACAGCCAGGTGAGTTTTTAGGCTCGCCACAATCGCCTTCTGGTGGAAAACCAGCATGTTGAATGACTGGCTGTGGCTGGAAACCTCTTTCAAAAATGTAGCTGTGGAGGAAAAGGAGTTAATTTTAAAAACACAATCACACCGCCGCTCTGTTCAAACATGGGAAAACACGGCCCATCATGAGCATCAGTTAGATTTGATACATACTGAAATGCTCGGTCAAGTTGAGGTCTCTCCATTTTGTCAGTCCTTCAGAGAAATAGGTTTCTACTTCCTGCATTCGGAATGAACAAGGCATGAGCCATCATATATAAAAAAAAGGATAGTAAGAATGATGTTGCCAATGCCTGAATAACTGTACCAACCTCTGCATAAGATCCAGTCCTGTCAATACGATGGATGACATCAATTTTGACACGGGAAAGTCTTTCGGCAAAAGTGAGAAACTGAGGGAAAACACAGTAGGAAGGTTAAAAGTCTGCTCGTGCTTGAAGACAACCGTTCTTCAATATTTGGACCAAAGTTATACTAGCAGTTATTGGGTTAGGATTTCACACAACGTTTAAATTAACTATGGACATAATAATAGTTAAAATACAAATACAGTGGTTTGGTTCTACATCTCCTCTGTACTCCTGCAGCAGCCTGTTAGCATCATGCTAACGTTACGTCTCGTTTCTGGACTCACCCTGTAGGTGTTCTCAGATTTGTGATACGATGACTTGGATTTAATCTTCATCTTTTCCTCGTCCCCTGATACGTGATTATTTGTGTTCCACTGGTTGTCGTGAGATTTAAACGATTCATGAAAACTAAAACTGATTTCTCCTCTCGGCTACAACTGTTTACACACACGCCGACACCAGGGAGCCGCCATGACAAGCAATGCATTGTGGGACATTTGTTCTCCACGTGGTGGAGAAAACTGCACCGACAAGAGGGAAATCCTACCTCCACTTCCGCCTTCGTTTGAAGCGTCGTGGCTGCTGTCCCGTGTCTGCGTTTATGTTTAAAAACGTAAAGTAAAATAACCTCGCGCCATGTAAGAGCACGGGCACGAATAAGATATTTTGAAACAATTTTCAGTATTTCACTGGCTACGACTAACGTTGGATAGGACTTCAGTTAATCGTGATCACACATAACAAGCTGAAGTATTCGGCCCATCAACGTCATTTAGTTGTCTCTCGTTTATAAAAAACAACAAATCCATTTAGCAGCAGTAGTATATCGCATATGATACCTTGGCAGCTTACATAAACTCATACAATATTGTACAAACTAGTACAATAATGCATTGTTTTTTACCTGTACTGAAATTAATGTGCTATCTACTCATGCAGACAGGCCCCACAGCAGGCTGTCAGTAACACACACACACACACACACACACACACACACACACACACACACACACACACACACACACAAGTCAACAACTCAAATAGAAACTGCATCATTAAAATGCAATTAAAATTTTTTTAACTGATTATTTACGCGTCTGAAAAACATTTCACACAAATAGTGTTTGCTGACTGGAAAGGCAGGCTGTGTATTCACATTAACTAGTTTCTGTCTGATTACAGAAAAAGCTTATAACTGCATGGCCCGGGTCAATTTGACCCAGCACAAAAGATTAAGAATCAAAAGTGAATACCGCAAAAGGAGTGAAAGAATGTGGAAAAGACAAATTGTTGCTAAATTGTTTGTTTCTCAGAAGTCTGTTCCTTGTCATCCCAGTCTACTCACATTTCACACAGGTTGTACAGGAGAGGAGGGTGCAAGATAAAAACGCACAGATTGTAGAGACAATCATGCTGCACAAAAAGAGCAACATCAAAACAGAAATGTGGTCAATTGGCAGCGATACATGATGCAGTCAATTGAGAATCTTGTTTGTTTCTTTCATTGTTTTTGGTAAATATGACTGTAAAAAAAAGTGAATACAAAAAGTGTTAACATTGCTATTATTAAGATATTGTACATGTAAGAAAATACAGAGTCTCAGAAACACATATTGAAACTGATGGCAGAAAATTAGAGCAGGTTGGTTGGAACCGAAATGGGAGTGCTTGTGTTAATACATTGTACATTTTGTTTTAATACTAAAGTAGATACACAATACATGTTGCAATGTGAGAGGAGAACATTTCCTTCTCCTCGCCTCTTGGCTCCTCATGTACCTGCCTGGAATGCTCCCTCTTCCACACACACACACACACACACACACACACACACACACACACACACACACACACACACACACACAAACCTACACACACACACACACGCAAAATGCTTCGGCCCCTGGTCCCGCTCTGCTCAGTGTTGAGTGAGAAGGTGACACGACAGGACTTGACTTCCATCCGAAGGAGGAGCCATTGTCCCCAGGGCAACACACATGGAGCAGTGGGGAAAAACAAACTCAAAAGTTCAATTTCTAGTTTAGGTCTGACTTCCTCTGAGATGTCAGGGGACTCTGCGGCCGTCGCCTCCTTTGCGGTCACAGACTATGTCGTGTTTGCTCTCATGCTCCTGGTGTCGGCTGCCGTGGGGGTCTACTACGCCTGGGTGGACAGGGGACAGGGAAGCTCGGGGGACTTCCTAACGGGTGGCCGAAGACTGACGGCCCTGCCCGTCTCACTGTCCCTGACTGCCAGCTTCATGTCAGCCATCACAGTGCTGTCCAACCCGGCCGAGGTGAGGTTAGAGACACACTCAAAAACTCTCTCTCCTCAGAAGATATTTGGTTTCTTGTTCAGAGATGATGTCATTTTTTTGTAAGAACAGTGGGTTGAGATGGAACTCTTCTTTTCCCAGTAAAGTTTCCCTGATTGTTTCTGGGTAAAAACAGACACCTGTTTTCTCGGATAATCATTGAAAACTGCATGTTATGCTTAGGTGTACCGCTACGGAGCCAATATTGGATATTATGGGCTCTCCTACGCGATGACAATGGTGGTGACATCTGAGATCTTTCTCCCGGTCTTTTACAGGCTGGCCATCACCAGCACGTATGAGGTGAGTGTGCTGTTTTTCAGATTGACGTTTTGGGTGGCTCTTCTCCTAACAAAGTCACAAAATATATCAAATATTTGGTTTACCTGTAAAGTATCCAAATGTCGTCTTTCACTAAAGCCCATCCTTGTTGTAGTCCGAGGTTGGATTAAGGGTAGGAAGGATAACACACAAATTCTCGGAGTGACTTGGATGGATTGCGGATTGGTTTCGAACGCACTCCTAGTGTTTTAATATTTTAATTTCTTTTTATCCATTTTCTTATTTTTTTTAACACATAGATTGTAATCTGTTGTACATTTGGAAAGGGCCCGACTGAATAACCTTGGTGAATAGAGATGTAATAGGAACAATTCAATTTGTGGTAACAAGGGTCTTGGAACTTCTCATGTCAAAAATGTGGAGTTGTTCTATCCCGATACTGGCCCCACATAATGTCTGTGCTTCTCTGCGCGCGTCATCTACCTGCCAAGTATCTGGAGCTGCGTTTCAGCAGAGCAACCCGTCTGCTGGGAACCGTGCTCTTCATTGTTCAGACGGTGAGTAATGAGCAGTCAACATGGAACTAAAGGGGCTTTGACCACTGAGGGTAATTTGTGTCCGTATCCTTTCTCTCACAGATCCTCTACACTGGAGTAGTCATTTATACCCCAGCTCTTGCTTTGAACCAAGGTATGTCAGGTTCTAATTCCACGGTCAGCTTGGTTAAACATTCCTGCACAAGGTCACTTAAAGCTGCTCGGGTTTCCCTGAGTTGATTTAGTACGAAATCCTCCCTCTGTTTGCAGTAACTGGCATGGATCTGTGGGGGGCCGTCATTTCCACAGGCGTGGTCTGTACCTTTTACTGCACAATGGTACGTGACTCAAGCTGCTAAACTCAGCGCTGACATCACCGAGGTCATTCCTGCTAGAAGTTCGTAGAATGGTTTGTGTGTTTGACACCTGTTTGTCATCCGAATTGTCACAGGGTGGGCTGAGGGCGGTGGTGTGGACAGATGTGTTTCAGGTAGGCCTGTGGTTTGAAACAAACCCATAATAAGTGGTTGTTATGGTGCTAATCAGTCATTATATCGCTTGTGTCATACCCGTTTCCCTAGCAGCAAAGTCAGCAAACAACTGACTTCTGTTTATTGACAAAATGGAAAAGTGACTTAAAATCACTCAGAAATCTTCTAAAACACCAACACTGTGGTGCATGTTGTGGATTATTGCATCAAACTTAATATGTCAACCATGTACAATACTAAAACTACAACCTAAATGATTCAGATTCCCCCCTCCAGCTTGGTGTCATGGTTGCGGGCTTCCTGTCAGTCATCATCCGGTCCGTGGTCGTACAAGGTGGCATCCTTCCCGTCATTTCAGACTCACGAGATGGAGGGAGGCTCAACTTTGGGGAGTGAGTATGTGTCAGATTACTGTGAACGCTTTCGACGGAGGTCCAGCACCGGTCCAGCTGTCAGAAACAACGTGCTGAAACATCCACGGCTGTCTCTCTCTCTCTATGTGGTGCTAAAAAGGTTTGGTCCCAATTGCCTAGTTTTTCTATCCCACTATAGCTTCGACACAAGCCCTCTGAGGAGACACACATTCTGGACCATTACCGTTGGAGGGACATTCGTCTGGATCAGTATCTACGGGATCAACCAGGCCCAGGTTCAGAGATACGTCTCCTGCAAGAGTGTGACACATGCCAGACTGTGAGTCCTGATTTAGTTACACGCGATGGGGGTAGAAAACCTCCCAACATCGGCCCATTTGATTGTCTGTTGTCATGCAGGAATGAGTGCACAGTGGAGAACTTCTGTCATGTTTTTGTCCGTGTGCGCTGCTCATTTTTTAAATACTTTTTCCAGGTCTCTCTACATCAACCTGGTGGGCCTGTGGTCCATCTTGCTGTGCTCGGTGTTTGCAGGGATGTGCCTCTTCTCAGTCTATAAGAAGTGTGACCCATGGACCGCGCGGCGGGTTTCTCAGCCTGACCAGGTAGCACGGAAAGTAGCAAATTTAAACATGGTGGGACTTTTATGGGCTGTTTTGCTTGTGTGTGAGTTTTCAAGAAGTGAGATACATTTTCTGCTCCTCGCTCCCCTGCAGCACTTGAGGCTCGTCTATAGATCTCTGTAAAGTTAGTGTGTGTTTGCATCAATGCATTATGACATCGTCCTTTGCAGTTGATGCCGTATTTGGTGATGGACCTCTTGGGAGACTATCCTGGCCTCCCTGGACTGTTTGTTGCAGCTGCATTCAGTGGATCTCTCAGGTAAATATAGCTCTGGTTCTACATCTCCAGTTTGGTGCTCAAAAGCGGCATCGACCTGGAAAAATGCCACTTTGTAAACGTTTGTAAAAGTATTTGTGATGTAATTGTAGGATGGCTCCACTTTGACTACGTTGATTGTGATTCTGGTGTTCTATCAACCCCCAGCACAGTGTCCTCCAGCATCAGCGCACTTGCTGCGGTGACGGTAGAGGACCTGATCAAACCGTACACCAAGATGTCTGAGAGACACCTCGCCTGGACATCAAAAGGACTGAGTAAGTAGAAGGTTTCTCACAGTTATCGGAGCGCTTTGCTGGCTGTAAATAAGGTTTGAAATCTCAAGTCCTTCCCTAATGTCGGTGTTGCAGGTGTCCTGTATGGGGTTTTGTGCATTGGAATGGCCGGACTGGCTTCACTCATGGGAGGGGCTCTGCAGGTAGAGTGGATCTAGTTTGTGTGCTACTGCAGGAGGGCTTCATGGTTTATTCTTGGAAATAACTAAACATCTGCTTCTTTATACAGGCAGTCATCAGTATATTTGGGATCATTGGAGGTCCTTTACTTGGCGTGTTTACATTGGGTATCCTCTGTCCAATGGCCAACTCCAAAGTAAGCTGTTATCATTCAATTTGAGTTTTTTGTTGTCGTTGTGATTCTAGTAACTCATGCTACTAAAAAAAGGGGTATATATGTATGTGTTTGAGAATGAAGAAATAATTGATGAACGGTAAAACTCACCAAATTACACATCGAGACGCTTCACCTCAATCCCCACCCCTTTACAACGTCTATTCATCATTTAAAAAACGCTTCTCCATTTACCATTTTCACTGATTAAACTTCTTCTAGGGGGCTTTGTCCGGTCTTGTGTCGGGCTTGGTGGTGTCTCTGTGGGTGGGCATCGGGGCCCAGGTGTACCCCCCCTCTCCTGAGATGAGCCGACCCCTGTCACTGACCACTCAGGGCTGTAACTTCACCCACGCGGAAAGCCTCAACTGGACCTCCGGCGCTCTGCCGACACAGCCGGCCTCCTTCAGCGCAGCCTCGGCACAGCACACCCAGTAAGTGTGCGACGGGTGACAGGTTACCGTTTTAGTGGCCTCGCATGAGTTAAGGGCAGCCCCCGACTAGGACACAAAGCGGCAGCAAAAAGAACATTTGGTGCTCTTCGTTAGTGTCGACTTTGAAGATTAGCTAATGATCCACTTTCATTCTCCCACCTCCAGGCCTCTGTTGGCCGATAGCTGGTACGCTGTGTCCTACCTTTACTTCAGTCCTATCGGAACCATCACCGCTGTCAGTGTGGGATTGTTAGTCAGCCTGTTGACAGGTACGCAACATGCATTTTGTTGCGGGATTTACATTCTTACGAATAAACAAATGTTTCTGTGCTCTTATCTGTTCGCAATGTACGTTTCAGGAGGCTGGAAGCAGAAGGTGGTATCGAGGCTCACATTAATGAAAGAAGACACAAATCTTTATCACTTATTCCGGCTTGTTAAAGACAGAGTAAGTGCTGTGGCAGAAAGGCAAAGTCAAATGCCATTGACTAACATCAGAAATGACTGCTCACTTTGCGCTCTTCCCCCTTTTCTGGAGGTGGCGAGGCGAACAGGAGAGCTGGACCTGGCAACGGGCAGAGAGAAGAGTGGCAGCACTAATCGGGCTTTCTGTGACGTTGAGCTGGACTTGACGAAATGCAGCTTTCCCACATGAAATGTTTGTTCCGCGATCACTGTTCTTAAACAAGAAATGTCAACAAGGAGCTGAAATACAGAAAAGGAAGTGTGTGAAGTTAGCGTGTTCGTCCTCCAGTGTCACCGGTGTTTGCCTGACCATGTCATTGGACTGCAGGGTCAACTTAATCCACCTTGTTGCTATGTTGGAATGTGGGTTTGATATTATATTATACTTTTGATATGCATTTCATCTCAACTGGAAGAATAATAATATTCCAGGCGGTTATTATCGGGTATTTCCTATTGTTGTGGTTCCTCTTTGACGTTTGTCCCAAGTCAGAAATCAGTTCGGACAAAAGTTAAAATAGCAAAAGGAGTCATGTAGAGGTCAACTGATTATTATTTTCAAATGTTTGTATACATTTTCTCATTCAATGTGAACGTGTGCCCAAACTTTTGACTGTTGAAACAACTTTCCATAGACTTTACCATTTCCCAATTTTTTCTAACATGTTGGGGTTTCTAACTAGAAAGGAAAAGTGGGATATTTCCACTAATATTTTCTTGGTCTCATAAAAGCCATGACAGTAAAGGAGTTGTATTGTTGAAGAATGGCCTCTTTCATATTTATTTTTGACACAATTCTTTCCATCATGTACAATCACTCAAGACGTTGACCATGTAATTGCGAATAAATACACATTGTACATTGTACAACAAAGTACAGTGAGTCTTATATGTACGCTTCTGACATTTAGAAGTGTTTCTAGGATATGAACACATATATACAGTATTGGTGAATTGAAGTTTGGTATAAAAAAATAAAAAGCACATTCTGTACGCTTCATTATCCTTCCTACGGATGGATCCTTCTTTTCCCCTGTGAGAAAAGCTTTGTTTATCAGATAAGGGCGGACTAGCTGGCCGTTTTTTCCTCACAGCCTGAAGTATCATCCGGCGGCCTCCTCCATGTGCGCTTTTATTATTTCTTTTCTGGGTCGTAATACCTCTTCTTCATGGCTCTGTATTTCCGGAGGAAGTACAGAGCCTCCAGCTCCTTGATGACGAAGTCGCCCCGGGCCACCAGCTTCTGGATCTTCTCCGGGTCGGTCACGTCTTTGTTCTTCATGAAGGCCGACTTCAGGCGCCCCTTGAAATAAGCGGCTCCCTGAGGGTACTCGCGACCGAGGTACAGCAGCTTTTAGCGGGGAGAGGAACGCGTTAAACGCGGGACAGTGAAAGCGCACTGTGTGTGTGTGTGTGTGTGTGTGGTGTGTGTGTGTGTGTGTGTGTGACTCTCTTACCGTCTTGTACAGCTTCATAACCTGCCTCTTCAACGCGGGCATCCCGGAGAGCAGACGGCCTGTAATTGTTCGCTAACTGAGACGACAGGCAGGGAGAGAAACATTGGGGGGGGGGGGGGGGAAGATAAACAAGTCAAACAAGAATCACCAGCATGAACTACAATCTCTCCGACTCCTAATGATAACGTTTGCGACACCAAACCAGCTCACCCTGGAATCAACGTCAGCTAACGTTAACTTAGCTGCATAGCTCGCTTGTTTGTTAGCATTTTAGCTCATGCTACACCCACCAAAAGCTACCATACGAATAAGCATATTAAACAGTGCATTCCTGTTTACCAGTGTTCTTTTTTTGGGTGGATGTACACAACCAGGAGGATAGTGAAGACGTCTTTTCTTCTTTGTCCTTCCTGTGTCAACAGTGGGGTGAACAGTCGTATGTCGTTTATTTTTGTCGCAAATAGAAAGAGACAACGGCGCATGCGCACGCGTTTCTATGGTTACAGACACTGTAGAGCTTCGTGTTTTCACCATGGTGAGTTTTTACAATGTTTGTTTTTCACATGAAATGGCCCGTTTGTTCTTAAACTATCTCATATTCAAATGGTTTGAACCGAAGAATAATAATGTGTTGTCACAAATCCTCAAAAATAAGACTGAAGACAGGAAGAACCCTTGATCTTAATGCTTAATGTTTTTGTGACTGCTCCCAGTGAGCATTTTCCGGTTGAAAATACGTTTATTTTTAGACCACATTTCAACGTGATTTTTTATACGTTAATATTTCGTCCTCTCTTGTGTGCTATAGCATTATTTTAGAGGTTTAAAAATAAACTAGTCCACATTTGTAAGTTTACCACCGACATTATAAATCACGTTGAAAACGGGTCGATACGGGAACGTCTAGCTGCCTGCTGGAAACTTACAAGTTACATACTTAGTCACAATTGTCATGTTAACATGTTTTATTAATGTGTTTATTCTAAATATAACACTATACATACACCTTTCCTAATTAAAAACATTACAAAAATAAAATATATATTTCAGGGAAAACTATGGAATTAGTTTAGAATTCCGTGTTTGTAGACAGGAAAAAGCCTTGATCTTAATGCGCCTTTTGTGACTGCTGTATTGTCGTGTCTTTAAACCTTTAACTTTCCTTCCATGTTTTCTGCTGTGATTAATAGCTACCCAAGAAAGTATAGGTATGAGCAAATGTAAGTCAGCACATGTAGTTTTAGTGTCCCATCACTCTGAATAATGTACTTTAGTTGTATACAGATGCACTACGTAGATACAGCCAGGCATGAAGAACATATTATCCCGCTCCTGCAACAATTGCCACCATCACACTTGTTAGGACACTGTGTTTATGCAAACCTTATCCTCAGCAACTCACCTTTTCCAACACATATTATTGGTATATCCTTGTGAAACACGGATCTGTCATTTTGTATTTGCCGATTTCAAGTCAAAGGGTCCTAAACTGACAACGACTCAGAGGGCTAAGAGGCAGCAGGAGGAGGAAGAGAAGAGGCTGTGAGAGGAAGGTAATCCAGCTATGTGTGTTTTTAATCTAAACTTCGCCAAAAAGATGCATTTACGTTTACGCCGTACACTGCAGGAGGCTGATGCAAACGATAACAGAAACGATTCCTGCTTGAGTGAAAGGTAAGACGTCCCTATGGAATATTGTTGAGATGAGTTCTTCACTGAATGTTTTTGCCGTTAGGACCGAGAGCGCAGAGGACACGAGCTGGACGAACTCCGCCGGCTATTGGAGAACAATAAAACTGCAGCCATCAAATGGAAAACCGATGCTGTGGAGAAAGCGGAGGTTTGTGTTCCACATGAAAACATTCAACACATCACAAATTTTGCCTCTCAGGGCTTTAGTTTTTTCCTGAGCAGACGATAAATTTGTGATTCATATACAATGTAAAAAAAAATTAAGAAAATTCTGGAAAATTCTCAGAAAAACTATTTCTGGCCAATAATAACGCACATGAGGCAGTTTGTGTCCAGTGGGAGATATACATGAATTTTGGCGCTCCCAGACCCAACAACTGCAGGATGTTAACAGATACATCAGCTTATGGAGAGATGACCCAGTTATTTAAGACCCAATATTTGCTGCTTAAAGATTCCTAAACGGAAACTGCTTTCTTAAATTTAATTCATATTAGAATTATTTTCTTTTAAATATATTAATACAATAAGAAAAAAGACAAATTAAGGCAGGGACCCCCCCCCCCAAATCTTACAAAATCCTTGCTAGCACAATACAAAATGGAAAAATAGGACTTCCGCTCTTGTTCAGTGACATTTTTAGTGTGTTAATAAAGAGAAGTCCATTTTTATAATAAAACACTATTATTCCTCCAAATTAATCACTTTATTTCATACATCATAAAACAGCTTCCCCTTGACCCATTTTATCCAAAGTGATGACCCTTACAGTAAGTTTAAACAAATATATGTAAGAAATACATTACAGCTGTTTTTAATAGCTGCTGGAGGAAGTGGAGGTTGTATTCAGAGACACCACGGATCCACGAAGGGGCCAGTACTACCAGGAGTGTCTTCTAGAATTGCTGAGGCTAATCCACGCTAAACACCTCCTCACCAATGAGAGGATTCTCAAGGTACACGTATCGTAGTTCAGCCTGTGAGATCTTTTTTTTTTGTGTTTTACAAGGAACAATGGATTGTCAGCTTTTGGAACCATCTCCGTTTTTTGTCCTTTTCGTCTCCCTGGTCATAGGCCAGTGAAAACATCGACATCGCGACAGGCAACATGCAGACGGTGGTCAAAGATGAAAACGTTACTCTGTCTGTGGGCCAACTTCAGGAAGAGTCCAAGGTTTGTGGACCAAAAAATATATATAAATCAGAGTGGTTTGTCCATTAGCTCCTAACACTATATTCATTATGTTGATATTCACCATGAAGCACAATAATCTAGGATTCTTTCTTTCTAACGGGCTCATTTAGGTTTAAAGGTTTCAACTTTGAAGAGGCTGGCCTGGACTTTAAGCTTCCCAAGCAGCTGGCTGTGAGAGACGTCGGCGTACGGATCCTTCACACGCGTTATGACCACCTGTCGCTGCTGGCCAGGATGGCTCAGGAATTCAACGAGCTGGTTCAGTCCATCCAAGGGTTGGATGTGACCGAGTTGACTTCTCGATGGACTGCGGTCAGCGCGTCCAAGTGGTGGACTTAATGCAGTACACACCTCTGGGTGGCGACTTCCACTATGACGTGTTTCACCTCCCGCCACAAGTCCACAAGGTCAATCATTGGGAAATAAGACAGGTAAAGGGTTTCAGGGTTTTTACACAAAGCCCAGCAGCTAATGGGGGGGGGGGGGGCTCGTACAATGCTCTCCATAACCCAGTATTTTCCAGCTGTTGGGCTTGGGCTACAAGTTTTCCCCTATCCCATGGAGATGTCTAATTTAGATGAAAACAAAGCGCTCGCCAGCCCTCCTGTCGGTGTGTCCGTGAGACTGCCCGACTGGGTCGTCTTCTTGGAAACTCCCAAAGTGGCTCGCTGGGATGCTGCAGGTAGAACACGCAGCAGAACATTCTCTCCAGCAAAAGAAACTGATGCAGAAACTGAAGGATCAGTGCGGATCAGTGGAGGATTGACGGGATCACCGACGTGTCTTACGAGGAGGCAGAGGACAAAATGTCCTTCAACATGGATGCCTTCCATGCCTTTGTGCTGATGCAGGATACTTATGCTAACCTTCCCTTCCAGAGCTGGGAGCTCAGGCCATTGGACCAAGACTCGGTTCTTTTCACCATCAACGGGGCGCTCATCGACCTCAGCATCACCATCCAGGTATTGACCAAAAAGCACTAAGTACACACAACAGAGGAATAAATCCGACAACGTAGCTCAACGGTCACATTTCACAGGGTGATCATGCTTGTTGCAGTCGGAACAAGCGAAGGGTCTTTCTCATGTAAGAGGGAAGTGGATGAGCAGCCCCGGGGCTGCTGAGCAATGCGCCGGGGTCAACATCACGGTCAACGAGTTCACGGACAAATAAGTCTGTACTTGCGGCAAGGTGTGTGGATTTCACTAGTTTGCTTTATAGAATCGAAGGAGATGCTGGATTTGAGGCGGGCTGCAGCACAGTGTCAAGCAGATAGGAAGTGGGCAATGACAGTCTTAGTTTTCGTTTTTTTTTTAGCATGGCCACATACGGTGGACTAGTTTGTTTCTAAAGCAAAGTATTGGTCAAAGTAAAACTAAAATCATTGCACTAAATATTTGGAATTTTCTACAAACCAATATGAACTTCAGTTTGCCTGAACCAACCACATTATCCATTTGTAAACAACTTGGTCTCGCTCGGTTTTACCTTTCTAAAACGATGAGTAAATCGACTTTGATGTGCCTTTACGGATATTTGCTCGCACATCACAAGGTTACAGTCCAACATTTCCCAGTGCTATAAATATGCAGCGTGGCTTCTCTCCTCAGGACCCACTTACCGAACATGCTGCTTACGAACAGATGGCCCTCTTCGCCTGCGCGTTTGCATGGAACGCCAAATGTGGAGCAGAGCATCTAGTCATGCAGGTACTCTCGCCCAAATATATAGACAGTGCAAATCACGTAGCATTCTACTCCCTCCCCCCTTTGATCCCTCTCCTCGGCCAGGCGTGTGAGCATCACAGCGCTGCCCCGGTGCCTGAAGGCTCGCGGAGCCTCTACCAGCTCGGTGCTCAGAGGAGTCAGAAGCTGGAAGTCACAGAGAAGAGTGACTGCTACTCTCCAGACCTTTATCCCGGAAGTGAGTTTCACTCCACCTTCATCCACATGCTCCAGGATGACATGAGCATTGAAGGCATAGCCAGGACCAGAGAATTTGTGGATACAGTGCAAAGCCTGCTCTGTGCCACCAGACCACTGACCATAACCCGGGTGAACGCCACTTGAGGGGAAACAGCCAATTAAAGAAATTCAAAAAGAAAATACCAGAACTTGATACGTTTATGATATACATAAGAACACACATGTATTGTAGAATAGGCTACTTTATTTGTGCAAAGTTCCACGCATATTCTTTGGAACATACAAAAGTATCTGAAGTTGAAAACAGTGACAACCACAGCAAGAATATAGAGTGGAAAATAAAAAACTTTGGTGTCAAGACTGTAAAATGCATTTTATAACTTAACAAAAAGATATTCACAAATCCTCACTTAATCTAACAAACCCATAAATAGATTTTTAAAACAGAACGAAGGTTTTATTACCAGTGTTCACAGACTCAGAAGTTATAAATATCATTAAAAAGGCTGGTAGACCCCCTCCGGTTTCCTCACGCGCATGAAATGTATTTTAAACGTCATGTGGCACAATTGGAGCCATCGTCCAAGACGGTCTTTCATCTGATGATGTCGTGTACGTGCTCTGATAACTCACCAAGCCTGCATCATAATGGGTAGAGGACAATGAGCAGCTTGTAGAAGGATTTCCATCACTCACAACTGCTTATCCTCTTAAAACGCAGACACACACACACACAAATTTAGCAAACGTGATGTGATGCACAAAACCCTCCAAAGGGTTAACTATCCCTTGAGGCCTGTCCTGTGGCGCAAGTCTTGTTTTTAGAAATCTCCAGACACCAGTAACCATCCCAACAGCCTCGCTCAGAAGGTGCATACGGTTCTTTGTCGTCAGCGCCCGAGTGCACAGATGGTATTTCTGCAGGGGGCTGATGGAGGGGGGGGGGGGGGGGCGACGACACCATCCAGGGCCTAGACAGGGGGCTGTCCGTTATGCCGGAGCCCCGCATAGGGCCACAGAAGCTGCTGGATGGTCATCCAGGAGTCCCCGGTCCCCACAGGAGCTGCATCGACCGCTGGCTGCATCACCAGGCTGGCCAGCAGTGCCAGGAGACCTGCAGGTGAACCATGAATATTTACTAGCACACAGAACAAGACGGAAGTATCCCTCATGCAGTGCTGGGAAAAGGTTTAGACTGCTGCTCCTGCCCAAAAAAAGAAATAAAAAAAGTAAGACTTGTTGTGCATCATGTTTGGAACCGGTATTACAGACTTATTTCTTTAAATAGTTTGAAACCCTATTACAGATTCTTTTGAATGTTTTCGAATACCAGGAGCAAACTCAAGCATTTGTTTAAAAAAAAAAAAAAAAGTACTGTAAGCAAAGCACATGAATTGAGGAATTCTCGCGTTGTTGAAAGAACAATCCGATAATTGCAACAACCAAACTACCTGCCAGCAGCACCACCATCGCCAACCAAAGCCAGAGACCCCTGCCACCTCTGGCTACAGCTGCAACCGCCCGGGAAGAGGTCAGGCTTTGGGACAGAGACTGGGCCGCTCCTGCGTCTGTGGACGTGGAGCCGGAGGAGGGATTGGGACTGGGACTGGAGGTGGGCAATGAAAGAACAGGAGGTTACAACGTGATGATAGAAGGTAAAAAAAAAAGTGGCTTCTGTGAAACTAATTTGACCAATCTCAAAATAGCGTCACAAGATGAAAAACCATTCAAATAATCAGCATAACAAGAAAGCTGTCAGCAGCACAATTAAGAGCATTTGGCTTGGAGGTAGTTTTCAGCATTGGATAGTAAAGGCGAAGGCAGCCAGAAATCTTTGCGTAGGGCCTGAACAGGAGCAGTGCTGCTTCAAATCACTTTACAGCCATTTAGAGCCACTGAAAGGGCGTAAAGGGCCTTCGAATGGCACTCGTTTCTGACAAATCAAGGCCGTTGGCATGCATTCATTGGATATTTTGACAACAAATCCACAAGCACTTCCACTTTGGACTTTCCTCCCTACACACTTACAGCATCACAAACAGCTCATCCTGACTCCTGAGCAATGTGGAGGCAGGGAAAGAGGAAATGAGAGATAAGAACAATGCATGAGCCATTGGCACAAAACCTTCAGTTGCCCCACAAAAAAAAAAAGAAAACAGTAGAAGTTTGCACATAAAAGCGTTATGGTGGCTGATCATGTTAGTAAATTACATAAGCAGGGAAAAGTAATTAGTTAGATGCCTTGTTAGCCGCCCACTGAAAATCAGAATTTGCAATCCATGCATGAAAAAAAAAAAATCAAATCCTTTGCCACACCGATCTCAAGAGCGCAGGAAATGGTTTATTCCTGGTCTAAAAACGCTCGGTTAACATGATTAAAAGCCGCTGAGCCCCTGGAGAAAAGAAGCTGGTCCAGCACGGACCCAAAGAATGAAAGAGTTTCATCACTTAGGAGGTTCCATGTACCAACAACATTTTTGTGAATTTGTTTTTAGTGATATCATAACTTGCTGCTTTTTTTTTGTTCGATATGTTGGCGTCTCGAAATTCTCTGGAGCATTAAGAATAAAGTCTCCTGCAGATGTCTCGGTAGTTTTGTTACAGGGACAGTAACAGGAAGTTGAGTACCGGAGAGGAACTGACAGAAAACCCAAACAACACAGCTAAACGTAGAATAAAATATATATATAGATATATATATATATATATATATCTGAAGTTTCACGGATGATCTGATGCCAGATTCAGTTTGCAGCTACTGGAACCTCAATACAGCGACATGACGAACTCTTCCACTATGCAGCTGGCCTCTTGGCTTCTCTGGCAGAAAGGGGCGCTGCAGTGGGCTGGTGGTGGGTATTTGGTTGGACTAACGTCTTGAGGGGCATTATCAGGGAGGTGAGTTTGCTGCCCAGCTCACTGAGACTGGACCTCCTCCTCTCGGCCACCGGCTCCTCCTTTGGCTTGTCCTCCAACGGGCCGTCTATGATGTCGTACGGCGTCCTGTGGGCACGCGTGAGTCAGGCATTCACAGACACTGTTCAGTTGCACATTCAAATGCACGCATGGCCGCATAGCCACACCGATTTTGTATGTGCACATGCACATTTCATGCATATATGCAGCAAACAAATAACTTAAACACTCTCCTGCTGCACACAGATAGATTAGAGATCTCTGCAATAAAAGAACTCATGCCCAGCAATTCAACTGACATACTCCAATATTATATTGTGAACCCGCCAAGCAATTTCACAACTTTTCAGATATTTGGAGAGCATTAGAAAGGGATTTGTATTTCCTCGGCTTGAATTTTGGCTCAGCTAATGAAATAAATTCCTCTACTCATCCAAATATTTGAAAGCCACATGATGCCAAAATAATAAAAAAAAACAAAAAAGTTTATACAATTTTGTTAACATGAAAAAAAAAAAAAAGTTTGCTTCCAATAAATGCTTTCCCATGCGAAGAGGGACCAGATGCAGGAAAGATGGCTGCCGTGGGATTTGATAGCATTGCTAATTTTTCTTGGCCTCAAAAGAGAACTTGTTTTTAAGTTTGTTCCAGCAGTCAGTTTCCTCCTTATCTTACCATTATTGCTCCTTATGTCTGTTACTCTATTTACAGATTTACAATTGAAAGTATTATATTTAAAACTTGTAGGCTTGTTATATAGAATTGCCTCTAGTTTAGTTTGTATTAGTGCTTCATTATGTTGCAGTGCTTCACCTGACTCGCCCCAAAAGAAAAGAGAACTTTGTTCCTGTAGGCTTCTTGTTGAGCGTTCGGAGGGACACGGGTTGATCATAACCCGTTTTACCCTCTGTTGGCATTTTTAGAATAATGAAGATTTCCACACAAGATCCACTTGGAAAAATGGAAACTTGACCAAAACTAAAGCAAGTGGACTGGGGGATCCCAGGATTCTTTACCGTCAGACAGACTGGAATGGTGTCAGACCATAAAGCTACCATCTTTACGCATTTGGGGGCCATTGTGAAAAATTTGAGCGACAAAGCCAGCGTGGTAACCGTCTTCTTGGCATGTCTTACCCCTTCATCATGAGAGACTGATCTTCAGTTTCAACCCAGGCCGCAGAGCTAACAAAGCGCTTTAGTGGGGGGCGCGCAGTGCTCTTCCCCGCCACATTCCTGGAAACCATCGTTAGCACATAAGCGCACAACAAAAACAAGAACCCTCATTTCATGGTACAGCCAGCTTCGGGGGGGGACTTGGAAAAAGGAGCCCCAGGCGGCAGCTTCCTGTACATCAACAGTGCTGCTGTGTTTCATTAAACAAAACAAAAAAAAAGTAATTTAAACAGCCCGACACTTAGGAGCCAAAACTAGACTAAATGCTTTTCAAGGACATCCCACGTATTATAATCCGGGCATATTTAATCAACACAAACACCAATTCAAATACCTACCAGGGGGATCGCCTGGTCAGTCTCTCCGTTTCAGTCTCTGAGCCGTCTTGTGTTTTGGACTGTGGTGGGTAGACAAAACAATACAAGTCATGTGGACACTTTTGCGTCTCCATCAACTTATGCAGCAAACTTGCTTGCTAGTGAAGCATGCTTCGGATAAAGTGTATTGTACCACACATTCGAGAAGCACACTAGCTACTACGTGATCTGATCTCTGTGGTTGGTAAATGCAGCGATCTTACCGTGTCAAAGTGCAGGTTTGCTCCACCGGAGCGGGGAATTGCTGCTATGCTGACCCGCCGGGTTGAGGACTGCTAGAGTTGTGGAAAGGACAAAGATCAAATTAATGTACGGATACACATTCATGTTACTGTTGAGATTACGTGTAAGGCAACTGCAGCCAACCTTGTAGTACTGCGTTGTCTGCTTCTTGCCTCGGAAGTCATCTGGAAAGAAGAAACGGTTTGGTCCTCATCTATGGATGTGTGATGGAAACGTTATGGAACCATTTCTTACCTCTTTCAGTTTGTGAGCCAAACGAGCGCTCGTTCTGCATAAGCGCCTCTCTCAGCTCCAGCAGCTCGGCGTGCTCCTTGGTGTACATCCTCCTCAGGTTCTCCACATGCTGGATCATCACCTCCACAGCCTTACCAATACGACTCTCCTGACATTCCCACACAAACACAAAAGGCTCAACTGAATCATCGGAATCAACAGCACCAAACAAGCGAAATTGTTGAAAACATTATCCCACCTGGTGAATAGCTCCTAGCATCTCAGAGCGGCTGGACACTCTGATCATGGACTGGATGAGGATGTCGAGGTTCTTTTGGAGCCTCTGGATGATCTCCATGGACTGGCTGTCATCCTCGCACAAAGGTGTCAGAGCCTGGGAGGAGAGAAGGGACGACAAAGGGCGGAAAAGGAGAGTTTTGACAGTGCCCATCCAGAGGATTTTCATTATTATGTTATTGATACTTGGCAATTGTCCAATTGTTTTGTATCAATACAACAGGAAGGTGCCGCATGAGAACACAATGCTTGCGCTATGCAACAGCCAAAAAACACTGGCTAAAATCAAACTCTGCATGATACAATTATTTTTACTGGCGATCAAGCTAAACTTCATTACCAGAAAACTGGAAAGTTGGATTAATATGCGGACTGACCTGCAGTAAGCCCTGACAGCTGGACACCTCCCTGCGGACATTCTCCTCCGCGAGGTCACGTGACCTCTCCTCCAGCCGGACTCTCTTCTCCAAGGTGAACATATCGCACTTGAAGCCCAACGCCAGACGCTGGAACTCGGCCTGAAAAAAAACGGTTCTGTTCCATTTTGGCACTCACGTACTGTGACAAACATTTCTAACATTTCCTGGTTTGATAAAGATAGAAGGCAAAGCCTATCAATGACAGGATCTTTGTTACAGCAGATACACTGTGAAACTCTGCTGCACTTCCTTCTAGAAAGAATTCACTTTGAGAATCCTACTAGAGCATTGACAAAGTGAAATATCAACTTTCCATCTGTATTTTTTATGTTTGGGTTACAAGGAACTGCACAAACTAAATTAACAGACTTTGTGTCTCAATATATATTCTGGAGGCCACCAAAATACTGTGCAAGACAATGAACAGATTACTAGCATCCTGTCTGAATCAATTAATTTATTTTGAATATAGAGAACCAGCTTACACAGATTTATCGGTGACTAAAAACTATTCTTAAACAGCCATACTAAAGGGTCCCGTTTATAGTACAACGGGATAAATAAAAAAAGGTACCCTTTACACAGCAATTGCTGGAAAACACATTATGATATAATGGAATACATACCTCAATCTCCTTGTCATTAGGTGACGGGCTGCGGATAAAGAGATGACAAAAAGTCTGTCACAAGTGTCATAACGTAAACACATGGATGGCTTGGGGTCTAAGCAGTTTTCTATCAGGGGCCCCTTTCAGGATATACGGACATCTTCCTCCATCTCTCCCGCTTTCTTTGTTGTGCTCATCCGCTTGTAACCTGAGCCGCTCAGGGGGGCGTAATTCAAGCACAACGCTCTCAAGTCCTCATGTCGGTTTCGTTTTGAAAAAAAAAAAAAAAAACACGGAGTCATGTCATCAAAATAATTTGCTCCCTTACCTCTTCTTGTCGTCTTTCGTGGGGCCACTAGTGTCAGAAGCCATTAAGGCCTCAGCTAGAAAGCAAAATGATAAGCGGTGAGGCACAACAAATACCATGAACGGTAAAACCACCATATGTTTGGTAGCAATACAACAGTGTAAACATATGTTAAACATACATTTCTTCCCAGTAGCCATGCTGGTCTCAGTGGGGTCCTCCTGGGCCTTGGGCTCGTTGATGTCCTCCGTGCTGCCTGACAGCTCCTGCAGGAGAGAGACAAACTTTACTGCCTCTCTCTGCTCAGTCTCCCCTTCGTGATCTCCTTTCAACTCAAGAGGGTCCATTCTTACATCGCCTGAACATCCATGTCGCCCCTTACTTCACTCCCTCAACAGCTTCAGATAAGAAAGGTGAAATGTGAAGATTGAAAGCAGCCGTTGGATATTATTTGTGAGTGATCCGATACAGAGTGCAGGCTAAATGTCGCTCTCTTCCGCTCTCACACACACACACTTACTCACTGGCATAGCTGGAAAGACAGCATTTCTGTTCAGATCGAAATCTCCCGCTGTTCAATCTACTCTGTGCTTTGTTTAAGCTGAGCTTCTAACAAGTGTTTAAAACCCCCCAAAATAACAGAGTCAAGACTTTTATAACTCATTGTATTTTTTACCACCTGCTACAAATTATGCCCTGAACTCCATTGAGGTTCAGATAGTTGATGGATGATTATAGTGACACCCACTAAGTGGGGAAATGAGCGGCTCGTACCAGTTCCCTCTTATTTTTCCCGGACAGGGGCAGGGAGTCCTTTTTGCCTGCACTATTCTCAGATTGGCTGGGGTCAGAGGTCACGCTCCCCAATTGGCTGGCATGTGCGATGGAAGATCTCAACTGAGAGGGGCCGCTGCCAGAGGAGGTGGTCGCTCCGCTGCTGGTGAGCCGGTCGGTCTCTGGAAGGAAGAGTTGGTGTGTGGGTGGAAAGAGTTATGCAAAGATGTAAGAAGGCGTGAACACACACAAGTTCTCTCATTGCCTTCATTACACACAGATTGGAGTTGCTCTTCCTACCTTCCATCCTGGTGGCTACTGTTGGCACCTCGGCTGTCCCGTCCTGCACGCTCTCCTCTTCTTCAACCAACACAGGTAGCAGGCACGTGCTGGAACACATATACAAGGCATCTTTGCTCAATACTATAGCAATAAATGAAAAAAAATCCCAAACCATAATGTCCAAGAAAAAAACAACACTGGTTCTCCAAAGTTTTCAGGAGAAGTCAACTAAATCTTCAAAAGAGTTCAAAAGGTTTCCTGTAGTTGAATTACTCACCTGTCCTCCACTGCTGATCTGTCTGCTGACTGGGTCCGGTTCAGGCTCTGAGATGGACAAAATGGACAAGGAGGGAGGGTGTGAGAAAAAGACAGGTGGCCTTGCATTGCATTTTCTCTCTTCTCTGCCGCCCCACATCCCAAGAAATGGTCAATGATTAAAAAGACTCACATCCATGTGGTGTACCTGTCCCATGGCAGTGAAATGCTATCTAAGCTCTACAGCATGTCGAAGAGAGGGAATGGAAGGACTCCTTATATAAGGTGTTGCTTCACAGAGAGCCCTGCAGCTCACAGAACACGTTAACGCTGGAACACTGCTGAGTAGTGGAGGCGGACTACGTACAATCATGTGTGAAAACACACACACACACACACACACACACACACGCACACAGTGGAGCAAGGTGAGCACTCAGAGCAATGGGATATTGTGTATCGAGTATGCACAATATCCGCTTGAAACAGCTCAAAATAGAGAGCGCTGCTTTACCGTACGTCATTTCACGGCCAAAGAAGCTGAAGCAAAACAACACTGGTTTTCTCCTTGTGACACAATTGGTAACCGATCCAAATTAAACACATTGATTTGAATTATTGTCCTTTCTATAGATATATTCCAAAATTGAAATAGTTGTTGTCTATCCTAGATATACCTTGATAAGCAAACAACTATGAATTTTATTCTTGCACATTTATGTCCCAGGACAACATGTAAGGAGGCATCAGTCCTATTTGACAAAGATAAAAAATATCAGTAAAACATTAGTACATTTATTGACTATGAGCACAGCAGAACACAATCATGCCATCTTATTTTCACTTATTTGAAAATAATGAATAATACCACCAACATAAGAGGAGAAGTATCTCCCGTTTACAAGTAAAAATTCCATAATGGCTATTTGAATATATCCAAATGATTGCATTAATAAACTCAACTGTCTCTTGGTAGCTTAAAACTAGATCGCTAAATTAAAAAGAAGCACCCTTGGCAGAAACCCATTTGTAGGCCGTGCTTCTGTGAGGGTGATACTGCATTTTATTGACAAACTGAACCCACCCACACAGTCTGAGTCTTCCTTTCTTGGCTGCCTCAGAGACTCGCAGCAGGGAGGCAGTCCAGCGTGCCATACCAAACAAACCCAGCTGATCAATCTCCAGACGGTGGTGGAATGGCAACACAAAAAAGCTTTGGCTCCAACACGAAAACACCGCGAGCACATCGGAGGTTGGGCAAAATGAGCATGAACGCTATTGTATAGCCCAGACATCAGAGCAGCCCATTGTGAACACTAATCAGTCCAGACGTGCAGAGGACACAGTAATGATCTACTCTGTCCCGGCTTTGCTAATTGACGACTCCAACGTCAGTTATCTTTTAGGTTAATTATTCTGCTTTCATGCAACTGTTGTAATCCCGTTCGGTAAATCGAATGGTTACAAAAACTACTAAATGATAAATCATCGACAAAAAATCCCAAAACACCTTTGTGCAGCAACAACTGTGCCACCACTCGGCCTGCCTACTGACCCCCCCGACCCCCACTTTCACACTTCAAAACACTGCCACTCTGCCGGGACGCAGGCAAAGCAGAGAAAAAGATGTTCCAGAAAGAGGAAGGACAGCTGGTGCTGAAGAGAACAGAGGAAGTTCTATTCCCTCGCGCATTAAAACGCTTCCCCTCGGCTACTAACCTTTGTGCAAATCATGGTTCCCGTACTCAAGTCCACATTGCTCTCGTTCTCTTCTCCACAGGGATCCTCACCGGTCGGTCGGCTGCTGACAACAGGTGTAGGGTCACAGGTCAACTGTCAAATATAATCCGTTTTCTCATTTGTGAATTAAGGTTTTTTTAGTTTAGTTCCTTTCCATCTACAGAGACACAGCGGTGACACAATGACACGACGAGTGAGATGAGGAACAGCTTTTCTGTCTTTGTAGGTGGACTGTGGCTATGCAAAGCGACGCTGCAGAAATACTAATCAGCCTGCACACTCCCTCCACCGCAGAGAAACACCCATTTGACTAGCAAATGTGGACCAAGTCATATGGAAATGTGGAAACTCGAAAATGGTGAAGTCAGCTGTGAGTATTGCCAACGGCCAACTTTAAAATCGAGAAGGGAGGGATAGTTCAGATGGTTTTGAAAATAATTCAGGATGTGGGTTGAGGTTGTGTGGTAATTGCAATTTCCTGACTATGAAAACTGCCTCTTTGGGATTAGCCAATCCAAAAATCACCAAGTGAACAAGTGTCTGTTGATAGATCTGCTGTTTAGGTATGATAAAACAAAGGTCATTTGGAATATTCAATACTCTTGATAAACAAAAGGTACTGGGCACACAATCGTTCACCTCTCAGTCGGGGTGATAGTGTCATCTTGTCCAGGTGATGGGGGAGGAGTTTCTCCAAGTGGGACCATTGGGTCCTGTTCAGAGGCGTTGCTCTGATCATGACCACAGGAGGGAGACTCTGCAGTCTGTAGAGCATCTGCAGAGAAACAAATATGGTAAAGTTTTATAACATATGTAGTTTTTAAAGTAACAAACAAAAAGGATAAATAACCGACATATCCAGTTAATGCAATGGGTGTTCTAGTAATGCATCCACTATGTATGTGATTTTACAGAGTAAAAAGCCAAGGCATTTTACAGAAATGACAAAAAAACAATGTTTATATTGTGGTATTTAGAATACAAGTTTGACGTTGCAAAGTCACATTTCTAAAGTATTCTCTAAACAACAGCAAACATACTTAAGTGAGTCAGGAAATGACTCATTCTTTGGTTTTAAATGCATGCTGGGGAGCGACTAGCTGACAGTTGGGGGGAGTAAAGTTGAAACAAAGTGTGCGCGCCACAGAGTGCGCGTACATAGCGAGGGGGGAGAGAGGCGGAGGGGTTACCGTTATTCTGTGAGTGGAGCGGATCAGCTGGAGTATCCGCCTCTGGGTGTCTGACGTGGACAGCTTGTGAGTGGGCACTCGATGGCACTGCCGCCTCCTAAACAACACGCACAAATACACACACACGCACAGAGAGACAAACATAAATACCCCAAAACAGTGAAATATTAAAGAATGGAAACAGGTGAAAAGATCCAATAAACAACAAAACAAGAACCATGTAGCCAACAATCAGTCCAAAGAAACACATCTTTGTCAGAGGAGGTGTTGCATAAGGAGTCAACAACATGGGAGCAGCCAACAGACAGCATCTGTTCGGTCAGTGATGAACGGATGGAAAGCACTCCAATCAACGTCATAAGAATTCAAAAGCAACCCCCACTTTCATACAGACTGCAGCAACAGTGGTGTTTGGTTTTAAAACATAGAGTAGAATGCATCCCGAACTCGTAGAGTGTTAAGTGACGTTGAGATCACAGCTTTATCATGTGTAGTTTGGGGGTGGGGCGGGACATGTCTTAATGGCTGCAAAAAATTGTTTTTTTCTTCAAAAATGACGGTGCATTGTTTTTGGTTTTGCCAATGACAGCAAGTAATTTCCCGCTTACCGCAGTGTGAACTTATCACTGTCATTCTATATACGGAAGAGACCAGCAGAAGCAAAAGCAAGAAAACTGCTGCCTGTGTGCAAAGGCTGTAAAGGATGATATGTAAAGAGCCCTTTGGTAGGCAAACGGCAGAAAGAGATTAGATTATGGAAGACAGGGAATGTCAAAACATTTTAAATGACATCATATATAGCAACTTTAGACTTCACATGAGTCCAACACAAGGCGGTGAATGTTAAAAAACATTTTTGATGAAGCGTTCCAGGACATTCCCGTACCCATCATTTATTTTCTGACCTCATCCCTGTTCATCCTAAATGTTGTATGAAAGAGTGGTAAGACAGTGGAGTGATTCACCAGAATCAGAACCAACCATTCAGGAGACTCTCAAAGTTGACTCACCATCAACAATAGTTTGACAAAAATACATATCCTGATGATGTGAAACCTTTTTTGTCTTAATACAACATAGACACACTCTGGTTGTGGTTGCTATTTGTTGAGCATGATTTGACTCGGAGTTGATCAGGATGTCTTAGTTTCCACCTGGTCCTGCGTCAGATTCATTTATTTTAGAACATCGAACTTTGAGGGGCCCCGTCTACTGAATGGTTGGTCATTCCTGTTAAGACACATATATCCACTCGGAAAGCAATCACTTTTTCACCTCACCCTCCTTTGACTGAAAAAAAAATGTACGCGTTATTCTATATGACGAAAAGCCTCAACTGCAATACATGTCGGAAAAAAAAGTGTGATAAATGTGAAAAGAAATGACTAGATGCAAACGGTTTAAATACCAATCTCCTGCAAATGCACTCATGCACCAAATCTGTTTTGGTACCATCACACAATGACATACCTGTCACACACCGGGCAGCCGCCAATTACAACAGCAATCCATTGTTGGCCTGTGAGTAGGCCAGATTCAATCGCTTGCTCAAGAGCACTTTAGTGGAACTCGTGCAGGGCCGAGATAGAAACAAGCCACATCTTCAGAGAAAACCAGCAAACTTAGTCACTTGTTCTCGACTATAACCGTAAGCTTGGAAATCCTTATGGTGTATAGTGATATTTTTCACTGAATAGCAGCGATTTGCTGATGCTTTTGTTATTTTTAGATCATGGATTACATCAAGCCACAGGGGGTTACAAAAAGGTCAAACTGGTGTTACCAGTTCACAAAAAAAAATCACTTGTGAGCAGTCACAAACTACATTTTGGAAAGTGGTTAACAGCGAAGACGCTTGGAAGTTACTTAAATGACCGACATCCCTCTGGGAATGTGGCCTTTGATGTTCAACATTTACTTTCTCTGATTCGGTTTGCTGCGATCAAACACAAATAGGTTTTTCTCAAGTTTTCTAGTTAATGGTTTAAGGGGGGGGAGTGGGGGTGTAGAAGATTTCATTCAATATAGTTATTAAAAAAGGTTATCATACAGCTTAAGGGTAAAACACAAAAAGGTCTCATCATATGGACAATCTCAAACATGGGTAGCATCTAACATGACCGATATATACCGATATATACAATCCCCTCAAAAGTAAAGTGTCCCAATTCAATTTACCTGACAGTTCACCTCCGGATTGGAATCTGTACAGGCTGAAGTGTCTAACAGAGAAAAAGAGGCAAACAGACAAATTAAATATAAATTCAGAGGACCCAGAGAGACAGGAGTACACAAAGAAGCTGTTCACCCCAAACGCTTGTCCACATTATTCACAGGGGTAAATAGCCATAGAAGGTCTATTATGCAGGGCGCCGAGTTGAGGGAGGGGCAGAGAGGTTAAAATATCATGCGTGGTTATGGCGGCATTAATGACCACATTCACATTCTGTTTCTCTCTCTCTGCCTGCCAGCCGCTCATGCGTGCAGAGGAATGGGGGATTACCGAGCTCACTTTGGGGCCTCAGACCGGTTGCACTGCTGGCCATACAAGGGCCTTGAGGAAGAGAGGACTTCACACACTGTGTAGCCACACACAACCTTTAGAAATCCGGGGCCACAGCACCCATAGAAGGCAGGGGTCTACTTCCAAGGGCCTCCGACTGCGCGTGTACCTACACTTAGGGAGTGTGTGGACTGTACTGTACTGTACTGGCTGAGTGCCTTGAGGACTATATGGAGAGTCTGAGCCATTTTCGCATATATAGTAGATTCTGGGAGGCACCATTTAATGTTTTAACTAGTTGGTCTGAGACAAACTGTTTTGGCCCCACAGCAGGGATCTAAGGGAGTAAGAAGGACATCACAGTGAAATACGTCTGCTTAAAGTAATCAATACCGATAATGGGTATAGTTTTAGTTGGTGCTCAATTAAAACATACCCTAACCTAGAGCTGTATGAATGTGGATAAAATAGTACTCACACAAGTATGGTCTTCTATATAATGCTTAGAAGAAGCAGGATGCGCAGGTTCAAACTCTTGCTCAAAGCTCATTTCTACCGAGTCGGATCCAGAAAAAGGAACAGGGCGAGTAGGAGGCAGAACGGAGTTACGCAAATATTAAACTATGTTTAGTCCATCTTGTTTTTCCCCATCGGCTCTGAGAGAACTCTGGTGAATACCAGTTTTACAAAAGGAAGTCTGTCCAGCTCCATCTTTTTCTGAGGCAGCTTTTGAAGATGCAATCTGTTCAAAGCCAATTCATAGATCTGATTAATAGTTGGGATGGACACTTATCTTAACACTTAAAGCCGTGTAGGCTGCAGGTCATTATGTCCCCACTCACCTTGAGCCCCTACTGCTGCACCACTCCCAGGCTGGGCCTCCCCAGAGAGGGCAGACAGAGGGGTGGACGTGTCCCTCACTTCTCCCTCTCCAGCGGTGTCCACCACCGTCCACTTCTCCTCCACGTACTCGTCTTCACCTCGTTGTGGTCGACCGCCCTGTTCTTTGCAATTCCTCTCAGCCAACTCGTTCTTCAGGAAGTCTTGAAGGGCAAACTCCTCATCCCAGTCCAAGTCATCGCCAGGCTAAAACACAGAAAAGAAAAAAGGGAGGGTTGAAACAAAGTCCAAATAAAAAGGATTGCAATGAGAGATGCAAGAGAAACTGCCTGAATTCCACAGAACAAAATCCAACTAGAGGTGATTAGGCTCAAATTCAGCAGGGACGGTTGGAAAACAAAATGTTATGATCTTCAAAACAGACATCCTGACAAAAAAAACTAAAAAAAACCTCACTTTTTTTAATCCAAAAAACATGGATAACAGCAAAACAGAAGAAAAAAGAAAACATGAGATCATATGAGATCTGAGAACTGTTCTGTTGATTAACCAATTCAGGCAAATTACATTCCGTCCACTAAATCCAGTCAATACAGTGTAGATTATTATTATTATTGAGTAAGAGTTTCATTATTTTTCATTAAGCTCAGCTTTGTTTGTGTACGCATATCCCTCCTTCTTGGCACCAAACTCAGTTTGTTGCAGGAAAAAAACAAACAATGGTAATGGAAATGTTAAAGCGCCTCAGTAAATTTTGTGCAACGAGCCTTGCGTAGGTGTGTGGTCACATCTTATTGTGCGCGTGTGTGTGTGGGTGCTTCAGCCGCCAACGCGGCTAAGCTCTCCTCCAGCAGATACTCCATCTGTCTGAATGCAGTATGCACCATCACTGCTCTCCAAGCAAACGCTCCAATATGCAGCGTTAATAATGAAAACACGCATGTTAGTCATTAGATTTGAATGACTTGACATCGTCCCTTGCTCTCTGACCTCGTCCTCTGGTGCAGGTGTCTGGCATGAGGCCTCTCTGCTGTCCTGAGGAGTCTTCAGCTGCTCCAGCTCATCACATAGATGCCGCTTCTGGTTCTCCTGCTCCTGCACCCTGCAGACACCAATACAAACATCTTGTTAACTAGAAAAGGCTGAGGGATTTATTTTTCCCCCCAAGAGGAATATAAAACAAACACCCCGATTATCATAGCGCTAACGTTTCACAGAGCTACATAAAACACGTTTCCGAGATTCTAGAGAAGAGAGTACGTTGGACATACTGTACCCAATCCGCAGGCCCATGCAGTGTCCCATTCTGTTGCCCAGGGTGACCAGCGCCAGTGCTCCGACTGGCCAGGTAACGACCTCTTCACTTCAGTCAATCCAGTTCCAGTCAGACCCTCTAATCTCAGACTCCTCCGGATCTCAAAACTCTGATACTAGCGCTATGTCCAGTCTTACTAGGAACAACTTGCATTAGATCAAACACGCTAAAACAGGGGTAGAACTAAGAATTTGCCCCCTTCAGTTTTTTTTTCTTCCCACCAAGCTATATGGACGTTCCTGAGTTCACCCCAGTAACTAAACACGTGCAAATCCAATATGGACAGCCTGACCAGTTCTCCTTGTCTGGTCTTGTACCACTCCAGCGCCGTTATATATCTGGAGAGGACGGCCGTCTCCATGAACACACATGCAAAACACACACACACGGCTCCAGGCAAACCCATCACAGTCAGAGTAAAGACCACAGTTGGCACGGACTCAGACCTAGTGAGGCGGGTCCTCTGAGGTCATTGAGGTGAGGATGATTGACAGGTAATTTCCCCACTCAGCATCACTGACTGGCCAACTGAGACTGAGACTGAAGAGCAGAAATGCCTACATTTGCCAAAGTCTAAGTCAATTATTTGCATTCTTACAGAAATATTTGGATTTTAAGATCCTGGAAGCTTAATCCTTGGAACTCCTACATCAGCTAAACTTTTTATTCAGTTCATAATTACACTGCTAGGTTTAATCACCTTCTAGCGTTCTTGCTTATTCTTAATTCTTTTGTGGAGTGAGTATTGCCTTACTTAGCCAGAAAATTAAGTCTTATCGCTTCCCACTGAGGTTCAATTCAGCCAATGGGATTACCACTGCATTTGAGCAGAAACTCCTCCCCCTCTTCAAAAAAAAGGTTTCCTACCTTAGTTATGTGCTGGCTAATAAAAGAAAACCCAAGTCCCTGGGCTCTCTTTCACCTTCCTCTGCTTTCATACCAAATTCTCCAACATCAATTGCTTCTGCAGCTCAAACAATCCTGCATGGCCATTTATTTTCTAAGTCCCCTGAGAGTGCAGACAGCAAAGCCCTTCTCACCTCACTGAAAGGTGCAGGATCTCGGTGCGGGACCTCCTCATGTTGCTGGCCATTTTGATCAGCTCCTTCTCCAGTGAGTCTGTGTACTGGGCCAGCTGGTCTAGGCTGAGGGCCCAGTCGGCCCTTCTCGCGTCCAGCTCGGCTCGCACCGCCTGTTGGTAGACAACGCCGAGGGTCAGCCGCACGTTACTGAAAAGTTCTGACGGCTAAGTGTCACTAAATGTTTCCATGTCAGCCTGCACGTCAGGGAAACAACCGAACAACGACTGCTACAGCTCTGCTCTGCTAATGGTTTCCGTCTCATTTGCTATGTTTTCTGCAGTACGTGGCTAATGAATGCAGAGTGGCAAAAATGCAGGAAGAGGAGGGGGAGAAAGAGAGAAAGTTAGAGTGAGGGAGGATGAGAGTGGGTAGTGTTGGTACACTGATTAAACAACACTGCTGGACGGAGCCTGTTGCAGAGTTATATAATAGATGTCTAGGGAGAAAAAAGGATGGTGGGTGGGAAGGAGAGAACGAGCGGTGTTAAACAGATTAAATAATGCAAAAGGTGGAGAAAGATTTTTTTTAAATACCAATGCTCAAAAAAAAACTTTCAGCCTGATATCAACCTATTAAACATGTCACAGGCACTAGCAGCAGTACACTGAAGCTGCAACCTTTCTTAAGCTTGCATCAAGTGTCGGGTAGGCCTGAGAAAGTGGGTCTGACCTGGAGGTCGGTGTCTCTGTTGCTTCCGGCTGTAGACAAGACCAAGTTGGTTTCTTCTGTGAAATCCTTTTTCTAAGAGACATAATAAGAAATCAGGGAATCAAGATCATCATGCTCATTATTAGCAACTAGTTTTCATGAATGCTTAAAACCAGCAACATTATTTGACCCAACTCAGACGAGATTCTAGGCAATCTTAAGCGGGTAGAGATTGGGTCAAATCCATCTCAACGATAAACCGACGACCAACAACTCACTTGATAGGATTGCAATCAAATTGTTGAAATCAAGTTAAACCTTAAACAGTTCAACATTATAGCAGAAAACAATTGTATACTGCAGAACAAAAGGGATGGTTTTATCGATGCCAACTGTCAATTCGAGTTACAAGAGTTACATTAGAGTTAGTGCAAGTCGGGACTTGACCCAAAAACGTAATCAAACGTACCAGTGTATTTATGAGCTTCTTGAACTCCAGCGCCATGTGTTCAGGGTTGGGTCCCTGCAGCATCAACAGCACCTCCTTGTCCAACGTCTCATCCAACGGGGAGGTGAAGCTCATAGTGGTGGACAAATGGTCAACTGCATGGGGAGCCTGCAGAGATATTTACACAAACCAAAAGGGAATTAAAACACGTGCCATCACAAGTATAAGACTGTACTAAGCACACAGCGCAGAGCAGAACTGCAACTAATGTTTGGACAGTGCTTTTCATTGTGTAAAAAATGTGAGAAGCCTCAATCTTGACTGTAGGCGTAACACAGAGGCAATACATATTGAGGTTGTGTAACATTGCATTCTGTTAAAGCTCGGGGTCAGTGTGGAGGATTTAGATCAGTGCATAAAACTGGCCGCTATGAGGAAATTGAAAAAGATAATATAGCAGTCTTGAAAATAAAACATTGCAATCATAGTAATGAGAATAAATGTCCAAATTAAGACCAATTCAAATGATTGGACTGTTTTACACAAAATTAGAAAGTGAGAACAAGAAGAAGCTTTAAGAGATCATAAAAGAAAAGTTGAGCAAGTGAGGAGAAAGTAAGGGAGTGTTGCTGACCCCCTGTGGTGACTGTGCCAAAGCCAATTCTGTCTGCAGGGATCCCGAGATGCTCTGGTTCAACCTGAAGGCCACTGAAAGGGACATAGCAGCCCTGTGAGAGCCAGCAGCACAGTGGAGGAGAGGTTAGGTGGGAACAAGCAACCAAACAAAGACAAGAATGAGAAAACCTAACAATGCATTAACACTTAACATATTAGAAATAGAGTTTCCCTTTTTCTATAAATGTAGTTAAAAAAATGTAAGACATTCACTCCACGATTATCACTTGGTTTGCTCACCCTGACAGCTCTGGGTGTATCATCTGCATCTGGTTCTCCAGCTTGCTCTTGTCTGCCCTCAGAAGCTGGAATCAACAGAGAAACCAACATGACAGTCCATCCCATTAGTTAATTATGGATCATCTTTTTCCTGTCCTATTAAGCTTTAAATATTGTTGGCATTTCCAAATATTCATTGCTATAACTATATTGAAAAACAGAATACCTTCACGGTCAATATTCCTAAATATTATATAAGCATAATGTTGTTATAATTAAGGGTTTAAAATCTGATCAGCCTTCTTCCATGAAACAAATTAAATCTCTGGTAACATGAGCAATCCTAGGAAATCAGAATCGCTGCGTGATTTTCTGCAAACTCATTTCAGTGGATACGTGCTGAGGCAGAAAACATGGTTCACAAGAAGCATGAACAGGCTGCACCGGCAAATAGATCAGAAACAACTGAAAGCAGAGAGCATCCGTGGGAAACTAGCGGGGGTTGTCGAGTTGAAACTGAAATAATGAGATCATGTGAATTCAACCCTCTGACCTCTGTGATGGAGGAGTATTCCTCCACTGTCGACTCCAGCTCACTGATCTGTCTGCGCTTCTGTAAAAGAAAGTAAACACCATAAGACCAGTTTAAGGTTTTGTAGGGAAAGAACAAGAATCTGTTCCTGCCAACCAGAAATAAATAAATAAATATAATGTGCAACATAATTGGTTGCTTAAGGGATTAATAATAAACATAACTGTGCAATGCGCAGAAGGCACTGACCTCTTGTATCACAGCTTCCTTTTCACCAACAATAGCATCGAAAGCGTGAATTTGCACCTGCGGACAGGAAAGTTAGCAGAAGCAGTGTGCAGCAGTAGAATTAGAATGTACGGTCACAGCTTAATGTGAGGAAGGAAAACAGGTATTAAAAGAAAGGTAGAGGGCAGGGAACACTGAACGAGAGAATGAGACTGATAGAAGTATGAAGAGGCAGAGAGTAGATGTAATAACGCACAATATAAAACGATTACTGCCTCTTATATGACTGCCAGTCATGTCTGTCTGCCTGCCTATGTAGTAGCAAATTTGAGAATTTTCTTTGTTTTTTTACAGCAAAAAGATAACTGATAAACAGCTTGGTCACATGGTGCAATGAAAATCATCTAAAACTTAAAAGAAGCAACATGGACTCGTTCATTTAAACTGGGGTCAAAATCAATAAAAGAAAGTTGTTACCTTGTATGCTATAAAGCTTGTAAAGCTTGTGAACACTTGGACATCTTATCTTTACTGTAAGTTTAATTGGTTTGCTTTTGTTAAGCTTTGTTCTGCTATTTGTGGCATAGGGGCAAGAAAATAGAAAAGGGTAAAGAAATAATGAAAAGGTACCTGAAGGTCAGCGTTAATGTCACACAGCTCTGTTATCCTCCTCTGAAGCTCGTCTGTCTCCATGGTGACCTTGAAGTTCTGGGGAGGCATCAGATGCGTTTGTACATGAAGGATGTGACCACCTGTCCTAACTTGTAACAATACACTCTGTAACCATCTATGAAGGGATGAGCACTACTTATTTAAAGTGAAGTCAGTCCATTGATTTGACGGTCAACTCCACTGACAAATGCTTTCTTTGGTAAGGGGCAGCATACCTCTTCCTGAAGAGACGCGATCTGGGCAATAAGACCCTGGTTCTCCCGCTCCTGAAATGAAAAAAAAAAAAAAAAAAACATCGATAGGAACTATGGAAATGTACGCTCAGTTGTACATGTTGCACGCTGCTAGATACTGAAAACACAACTACGTTAGAATCCCTCCTTACTGTGCCTACAACCCCAAACCACGTTCAAAGGGTGCGTCTTCCTGTAACATTTCCTAATTGAATGTAATGTGCATCACGTTAATTCTGCAGGGCAGACATGGCTCCATTTTCTTGTTTAGAAAGTTGAATAGCGAGCGCATTCATTTTTCATCCGAAAGGGGTCAGCAGCAGTTGCCGCATTCCCTTTTTTTTATTCCAATGCTTTACTATTTCACCCGCAACTCCCTAAAACAACACACTCAAGCTTTCTGTGTGCAACGCAACATGCCGGGAGAATTCACAAGTTGTGACTGACCACATTTTTGCTGTGTGCTGACGCACGGGCTCTGCCGTCCTCCGTACAGCTCAGAGTGGCCTTCATCTCCTCCACCTCCTCCTTCAGCATCTTCTCTTTCTGGGCCAGCTGCTGGTTACTGCGAGAGAGGACGACGGGACGGATGTCAACGACCCACAGAGCGCTGCGGTGATTTGGCGCTGTGTATTTGCATGGAGGGACTTCTTACACCCTGGCCTGATTGCGTAGCTCCTCATTCTCCTCTGCCAGCTTCTGGTTGCCGTCCTCCATGCCCTCCACCACCTGCTTCAGCTTCCTGACCTCCTCCTGGAGCTTTTGGTTGCTCAATTGAAGGTCAGCAACACAGTACACCAGCTCTGATGTCTCACTGAGGGGAATAGAAAAACAAGAGTCAGCGGTTAAACTGGGTCTTACAGAGCAGAGCGCCGCCGCCGGAGATCCAAGTTAAACCTGGTCTCATACTTTTGGGTTGAAAATGCCTTCCACCGACTAAACAAATGTACAATGTGGGCTACCTTTAACGTGACTTTATAAAATAGGTGTGCATTATACAGCAGTGAGTTGATGCCTGTGTCTCCACACAGACTGTGTGGTATGACTGCATCATATTCCTTCATCTTGTCATTTTAATATTGGAAATAAAAACTAAAAGATTAAGTGTTTCGCAATCGAAGCAAGATAAATCAACTGGTTTGAAACACTACAATAAATGCTTTTGAGCGTATCAATTTCTCTGCAGGAAAAGTGTGTTGGGCGCGACACCGCAATGATCACGTTAAGGCACAATAGCCTAACTATTTGCGTTAGTAGGTGTAAACAAAAGGGGAGGGAGGCAGTCAACATTAGTGTTGACACTAAACCCACCCGTACCAACTGCAACCTAGTTTTATAGATCAGGGGCCGGCACGGGTCACACAGTACATGGCATGGCTTAATTGAGCAGACGTCACTTACAATTCTGCTCTGGATGCCTCCCCTCCAAAGGCCTCCAAGCTTCCCGAGGTCATATTCAGCAGCATGGACCTCTTTGCTAAAACAAATACACAGATTTTAAATCAAAATCAGATACATTGTATACAAAAGGAAGGAATATTTGTGATGAAAAAACACACACACACCAGACAGGCTCTCCCGGAGTTTGAATGAGTCCTGAGTGATGTCATTTGTTGTCTCTTCCCTGAGGTAAATCAAAAGACATCCAACATCAATTCAATCCTGCAACGACTGACGTCGTCAGCAAAAATATCAGGCCAATATATTTTTATTATTAAAAGAAGGTTAGGCAAAATGTGACCACTTGCATATAAAATAAATAATAACATTTATATAAAGAGGAAATATACTACTTTATATGTTAAATTCATCATCAAACTACATCCGTGTTGAATGTGCTTTCCTTTAGCCCTGACAGAGCGGAGTGAATTTCCTGTGATTTTATTGTTCTTTATAAAAAAAACAAAAAAAACCATGTCACCCATGACGGAAACATTGTCAAAAGTGAACATCATATCATGCATAATACACCTACGCAAATCTATTTAACTGCATGACTCAAACAGAATATATGAGTCACTCTTCCCGTCGAGGCGAAAAGGAGTTGAGAAGACTGACGAAGACACGAGCGATACTCGCCGTCAACTTTCACCCCCCCGCCCCCCCAAAATCAAAGATAACCTTAACTTTGTTCCGGGATGTTGCCTCCCCAATTTACCCATACTGACGATTACCATTTCTAAATTAAGGATCGTATGCCCAAGGAACCAATATTTATGTAATGAGCGAGCGTTTCAGTACCCGTTGTTGCGGCAGTCATCGATCCACTCCTTCATGACGGCGTGGTACGTATCCAGGTCGATGGAGACGTCTTTGTGTTCTGGATCGAGCATGTTGCAAAGGTCCTCTAGTCCGCTGTCTTCTGAGGAGCGGCTGGTGGTGTGCCGCAGGAAGTCCACAATGTGAGACACGTACACTCGACCTGAAAGAGACCGGCATCCGCCATGACCGCACCGGGTGATTTTATTATTAGAACGGAGAGTTAATACCTTATAAACACTTTTATTTTGAGTCTTTGTTCGGTTATAGGTGAAGGCACCACTGGCAGTAACCATAGAGACAGTCAAAATCATGATTAACTTTTTATTTCCAGCAGTTTCACGCATTTCCCATTGCTGCTGTTAAAAAATGCTCACCTGCATTCTTTTTTAAAAATCACAACAGTTGCGCTAGTAGTAATAAATGCTTTAAATGACCCCATGAATGAAATTCGATAAATCTTTCAGCAAAACTCCTTCACTGGCAGTACTCCATGTGCTGTATCCTTTCACAGTTGTACATAAAAGGTGCTGTTCCCCAAAATGGTTTCGATTTCATAAAAAACAAACTAACAAAATCTGACAGAAATGTGGCAGAATTCCACAGCAATAGAGGAGAAAGTCACTACAAATCTAGCTAGTTAAATCCAACCAATCATAGCGGGAAAACATAAACCCAAAGAGACGGAACGTAATTACCCGAATACCACAAACAAGAGTCCAAAAATCTCAAAAATAGTAATCAGAAAAACAAGAAAATGTCCATATCCTCTGTACTTCCTAAGATGTACCCACAACATATCCAAAAACTCTGCTGCACAAGATCTTTCTCTGCAAAAAAGCTTTTAATATATTGGATGAACCCTCACCTGATGAGAAAACGTAATGAATGGAAGCGATTGTGTTGCGAATGCTGGGAGGCACAAGAAAAAGATGCAAACAATGCTGATATTGTGCTACTATTTAGAGCCAAAGTAATTACTCTACTTAAGAAACTAAAAGCACACACAGTAGTAGACTCAATGAACAGTTATTACTAGTCATTAGGAAGAGGGAAAAGCTGGAGCCCACCATACGTGTCCGTGTCGGTTTGTGTGAGCTTACCTCGGCGCTGTGTGTCGCAGGCGTGGAAGATGGTATCGAGTAGATTCTCCTCACAGATTAGGCTGATTTCTGCCATGTTCTCCTTCCTGTTTTCAGAGGTCATCGAGGATCCTGAGCATGAATATGCAACATGAGCACAAACAAGACAAAGAGCGTATTGAGCCGCAGAGCGGAGAAGCACATGATGCACTTTTAGACAGAAGCGTTAATAACAAACAGTGTGATGACCAAACAATATTCATTTCAAAGTTACATGAATACGTTAGTTGAAACCAGCCAATGGACTCTTCATTAACCCCTGATGTTTACACACAACAACTGAAAAGAAACTGAGAAAACCTGGTCCCAGGTTTGGCATTGGCCGTCTGATTAAAAGCGTTTTAATGTATAATAATGGAACATGGAAGCAAGAAACGGAAATGTTTTAAGTTTTGATATTAAGAGAGAAAATTACTTTAACAATAGACAGAATCTATCTCATCAATTCTGAATTAAAAACCAAAAAGAGGCCTGAAGCTGGTGAGGGCATTGGAGTCTGTCTTTTCTATTTGTATGAGAAAACATTTTTTCTAGGTTGAAAAAAAGCAACTGAAATGTGTTTTGTAACCCTTTGTATATTTATGGTAAGGCTTTAAGTTAATAAAGGTGCAAATATACTTCTTCATCCTCTTATTATTTAGCAGTTAATACCAGATTCCATTAAGAAAATCGAAATTTGGGAGAAAAGAAAAATGTTATTTCCCTGATCAGCTCCAGTTTTTTTGTTTAATCTAAACCAAAAGTTGATCTTACAAGATCTGTAACCCCGCGTCACTTCACTCATCAGTGGATACATTGATTAAAAACCAGATGTGGCTTAAAGTCTCTGCTAAAACCTTGGAAATTCATTCTTTGTTGTTAGCGGCAGGTACAACGACCTGCGCATCCAAGCGGGCCCCCGGCGGCCGCTCCTGCCTACCTCCATCGCCCATCGACAGTCTCTTCACAACCAAAGCCGGGTAGGACAGCTCGCTCTCCGTCGAGTCCCCCACGTCCGCCGAGCAGAAGTTGAGGTTGTAGGTGAGGGTGCTGTGGTCTGGGGTGAACGTCCGGCTCAGAGACGGGCTCTCGGGGGGCGGCGCCGCCGACGACGACTGAGGCCCTTGTGTGAATGTGAAGTAAGGCGTGTCTCTGGACTGGCCCGTTGGCGTGGAGCAATACTTCTGCCACGTCTTAACCGGTCTTAAATCACTCCCGTCGGCGCCTCTCCTCTCCCCTAGGGTGCTGCTGATGCTGTACGTGACGTTCGTTGGCGTGGAGGGGTCGCACGTCGGGGTGGACGGCGGGACGGAGGGCCGCAGGCCGCCCCTCTGGGGAGCCGCGGCACCCATCCCTCTGGTCTTGTCCTTCCCCCTCTCGCCCTCGTCCCTGTGGAGGTTGCCCTTCTTCAGGATGGTCTCCAGGTTGTGCCGGAGGCCGCTCTGCGGGCTGTCGTAATTGTTGGAGGAGAGTTTGGGAATCTGGAACGGGGAATTGGGCTCTCGGTCACCGCGCCACTGGATGGTCTGCAGTTTGCGGCAGATGCTGTCCACGGGGTTGTGGCGTCGGTTGGACTGGGGCGTGTAATAGTCCATGCTGGGGATGGAGGGGCTGCAGTGCTGGAGGAGAGGATGGAGTCTGAGAAGAGAAACAGACAATGCTATTTAGTTTAATGAAAACATATATAAAATGAGAGCCAACCATAGTTATTCCGTTGACAAAGCCATCTTGTGCACTGGATGTTTTTACCACTTTCACTGGTTGGACTAACTCCAAGTTAAGAGGCAATGCAATCAGCGGGTAGAGCTGCGATGTGGGAACACAACACGTCATACAAAGAGACAACATATTTAGATCAATATGAAGTGGCCTAATGGAAGATTAACCAGCAAGATTAGAAGGAAATCAAATTCTAACCTGCGCCAACCACACAGGTCAATTAAACGGAACCACACCAAAATTATAATAACAGTGCAGAGGAATTACTTTTTATGCAAATCGGCCAATTCGGGTTTAATCCTCGCCTCAGACTTTAGAAAAAACTCGATACCACAATTCAATTCATTTCATTAGTAGTTTTTTAGCCTCAGAGTTAAAAAAAAAAAAAAAGCAAAACAAAAAAGGCACGAAAAGGTGTAAAGGAGAGAAAACAAAAAAGTTCCAACCTCTGCGACAACTAACGTTACAGGATTTGGAATTAATTGCAAACACAACGCAGCTGGACGCCACGTCCGACACAAACACGTGCGTGGTACTTTCTAGAAAAAACATCCAGCGGCAGGAAACGTATCCGTCGTTTTTTTTTCACCTCGGAAAAGCTCGTGGGGAGCGAATATCCACGTCTGAAAGTTTGGCGCACTGTAGTAAAGACGCGGACATAAAAGGCCGCAAAGTCACCGGGTGCTGCTGCTCGCCACTTCGACATAAACGAACGCGCCAGCAGCGCCTCCTCGCGGCCGGAAGGGAACACTGCACGCGCACGCCACACGTGCACGTGCATTATTAATGTTTTCATTACTCCGGTCATTGAAAAGCACTTTGCACCCATGCTTTATACTAGCACCACTCACACACATAAATAGCATTGCATTGATAATCTGTGGATTCGTCGAGGTTTATGTCACCGGGTCGTTGGTGTTGAAATATTTTCTGTTAGATGTCGTGACGGCGCAGTAACTTAAGCGGTTTAAGCGGAGGAGACGTGAAGCTGCTCGGGCAGCTGTAACTTTCAGCAGCAGCAGCAGCAGCAGCAGCAGCAGCAGCAGCAGCAGCCCTCTGCGTCGGACGTCTCTCCTGATCTGAAGGTAATTCGTGCAACATTATCGATCCCAGATCACGTGTTGGTGAGTGTTGGGGACACATATTTTCGGGAGGTTTGTTAATAATCGGTATTACAGCTGCCAAATTGCAGATGTTTTCTGACATAACAAGTTTTTTAGTTAAAGCTACGTGCACGGTTATCACATAGTCTTTACACCTGCGTTGATATATGATATATATACTTTTTTAAGTAACTATGCTTTTTTTTGCTTAAAAACGTAACAGTTGTAAAATACTATCATTTTTATTATAATGATAATATCCGTACATCTGCAGGGACCTTATAAAAATACAGAAACGCACAACACTCAAAGCCCAAAGCATCATTTCAGCAGTTGATGGTGTTGTTAATATGATGCAATATGTAGTTGTGGTCCACTTCATCCATTTTCAGACCTGCCAAGTAGCACTTTCCTCCTGTGACATTAACTTTGTTGAGGCGTGCTGTTTGCGAAGTGGTTGGTACATGTTTTATGTTTGCTATTGAAGTAATAGGTGCACAGTTGAAGTCTATTCTTTTATTGTTTCTCAGGAAAGCAGCTACTATCTCAATGGCCCACAGCAGCATTCCAAGCGTTAAGGTATTTAAATAAGTTATTCAAATGAATGTATTGTTTGTAAAATGGTATCCCAAACTTTTAAAAAGAGCACATACCCCCATTTGCTGCTTCAGCATCTTGATGATTCCTTAGCTGACCCTCAAAGAAACTGCCGGGTGCTCCACATACAAGATACTGCAGCACTGATTCTTACCCTCATGGTGCCAGGACCCGCACCCAAAGGCCCAAGGGCCACAGTCATCCAACAGTGTTCTTAAAGGGACAGTAAACACATGAAAAACTTGATAGATATTCCAGAACGTCCACTTGCTGTCAACCCGAGCAAGCCTTTCCTAAGAAGTTCAGTTTAGCTCTTCTCCTTAAACACAATAACGTCTGCGCGATCGCCATTTTTTTCTGGGAAGGACACGGGCAGCGTCCACTCCTGTGCTCCTTCGTCCTCCTCCTCCTCCTGCAGCAGGCTGCTCAGCAGAATCCACTTTCCCAGCTCACGCTAAGTAGCTGGAGCTTTGCTTGTTTTCTGACCCTGAACGCAGGAGACAGCAGGCTGAGGGAGAGATTAAGGGTGGACACGTACAGACGCACGCGTCCACTCAGACGCACAAGGATGAGCGTTGGCTTCGGTTTGGAGACCGGAGATGAACATTAGCACAGTAAGAAAGCTTCATATTAAAAAAAACTGTTGTGCACTCGGGTGCACATCAACATACAGATGTACACCAACAAAAATAAGGTTGCATAGATAATTAAAAAGTACAACAGAAAAAAATGTGCATTTCTCTGAGCACTTTCACACGACGACTGTGGTCGCCCGTCACTTTCCAGTACTGTAATCTGGGATTATGTCGCAAACAACGTTCTGCAGGAGAGAGGGGATATAGAGCCAGTCTAATCCCAGACAAGTGGAACAGAGAATAATCTAAGAGGCAGACTAGTAAAACCACTATTCAGTGGAAGGCTCAGATGAAGATGGACACCACTTGTTTTTGATAAATATGGCACATGTCTTACTGCAGCGCTGCACAAAGCGAGCACATAGGGGCAAATAAGTGACGCAGAGACTCAACTGAGATGCAACTGACTGACTGCAATAAGCCTCATTGCTAATATCTGTTCCTTATCTGACAATGACCTTTGACCTCTCAAGGAGGTTGTTAAGAGGGTGCTAATAAATAATAAATGATCATCCTAGTTACTCTTTGTATGTCTTTGCCTCATCCTCGTGCCTGTGTGGATGGTCTGCTGGCTGGTTCTGCTGAAGTCGGGTCACTGAGGACGACCGGGGCTCATGTGGCTGAAGCAGCCTCTGAATTAGCCTGTCACACAGCGGCCTCTGCTGGCCAATTACAGCTGGCAGAACATTTTTTTTAAAGTCTGATGAAAAAGAATTTCCTCATGTTTTGCCCGTTAAGCGGGAGAGATACATTACAATAAAAAAAGGGAATATCTTTTATCTCTGGAGAGGCTTCCCTTCGGGAACGTCTTCACTGACCACATGCTGACCGTAGAGTGGAGTGCGAGGGAGGCTCCGCTCATCGAGCCCTTCGGAGAATCTGTCACTCCACCCGGCCTGCTCGTCACTACACTAAGGCCTACAGGAACTCTTATACCTTTTAGCGGTAAAGGGGATTTGAAATGTTGTGTCCTGATGCATCCTCTCAGGGGGCCGACTGGACTGTTTTAACTCCAGTATTAAGAGTTTAGACTAGTCAGCGGAAATGAAAGTCTGGGTAACAATTTCAGCCTTTTCCAAACACAAAAAGATCAAACTAGGAGCACACATGAAGTAACGACTGGCATTTAAAATATTTCTTCACATTGTACCAAATGCATAATCTATGTTTGAATACAGGGAAACTAAACTTAGTTAAATTCTCAACCATAGCAGTAGTGATGAATACTGAGGTCACATGGTCTAACCTTTTCTTGGAATTTTATTTTTGTTACTTTTGTTTGAATTTGATTGTATACTATACACTACTATACTATATAACAATAGATGAATACATTTATACTCCATAATTGAATTGCTGGTACCTTGGAGAGGGTTTGGAAACATACCTTGTTTGTAGGAAATTAACCTGCCTCATTTTATAAGCACTTGACCTCCTTATCATTTCTAAGTTTACTAGCATAGTTAAGTTTAGAAAGGATTGTTGAGTTTTGGAGGAATTTCATTGAAATAGCATCTCAATAAATAATTAAAAATCACATGTATTTGATCATGAAACCCCAAAATAAAGTAAAAACCAAAAGATTAAACAAATAAAAAAGGACCTTTTTTCTGGTGCTCAGGTTAGACACGGTGGCTGTATGAGGCATTTGGTAAACTCATGACCTCCGGTCACTAAAATGTTTACCGCGGCCCTGGTCTCAACCCTCTTCTCTTGACTTCTCTTCACGCCAGCTGTTTGAAGGGTTGAAGGCCCTCCGTCTCTTCAGACGATGCTCAGCACGAACCGCGTGTCCGGCACTGCTAAGAGAGCTGTGTCTACCCGTAAGATGGATGTTAAGAATGACTGGCTCCCCCTCCTCCCCATCCTCTCTGCTCATCTCTCTCTTTCTCCACCTCCCCCATCCCTTCTTCCTCCAGGCCTTTGATCAGTCTGGAGTTTCTGGAGTGCATCAGGCGACTGGTGCAGATCGACCAGGACTGGGTTCCTCACTCCGACTCAGCCACTCTGCACATCAGACCGACATTTCTTGGCACTGAGGTAAGGAGGATAACGAGGGGTTGCAGCATATGTTGAGACAGCCGGTTGTGTTCTCTTAATTAAATAACATTTTATATTCATTGTGTTTAAATGTCCACTGCAGCAATCTCTGGAACTGAAGAGGGCGGCCAGCGCCTTGCTGTATGTGACAGTGAGACCGAATATCTGTCCTTGTTGGCTGATCCAAAACACACTCGGGCCTGGAAGGGAGGGACAGGTAACTACAAGATGGGAGGGTAGGTATAGGGACATGCTGTATTCAGAACTGGTTTTAATTCACTGATGATCAATCATAGCAATTAGCTATGGTTGTGTAAGCTGCAGGGCAATGACAGTTCTGCCCCCCCGCCCCCTCAACAAAACAAAAAACAGAAATGGTCTTGTCACAGTCTGTCACTTTATTCAAAGAAATTAGACATTTGTTGTTGTTTTCTGAAGAAGCTACGGATGTTCTTTGTTCGCCCAGTATGAAGCAAAGGCTCATGGGTGCCAGCAGGTGCTGTGGCTGTACCCCTGTACAGGACCAGCAGATCACAGAGGCAGGAACCATGAACATCTTCCTGCACTGGATCAATGAGGATGGACGTCAGTTGCATTACCCGAACCACACTTGTTTTGCTGTAGGAAAAAGGATTAGAGAGGTCCGCGGTTTAACTTCCATATACACCATTTACCCTCATGGTAAGGGTATATACAGAAACTCTATAGACAAAAACCATAGAGGTCCAAATGCATGGATAAACATTTATATTAGTCATCACAATTCCTGTGGTGCCTCTGTGCACAGCGGGAGTTTAAGGTGTCAGAGGGCTACCTGACCACGAGCCAGCTGTGCTCTGCTCTGAGGCAGCTGCGGGTCAAAGAGGTATTTGGCTCAGGTACTGCCTGCGTGATCCGTCCAATCGGACACATTGTTTACCAGGCCAAGGTAAGACCCAGCAGCAGACCAATTGCATCTATTTAATCCAGTCTAGCGGTCTACCATTGTGTATTTAACTGAATTGGAAAACAATTTTCCCCAAATAATTATTTTCTTTTCATGTAGACTAATCCCAATACAAAGACAGCCATAGATGCTAATTGAAATCAGCTGCAGAGTGCACTCTATATAGGTTTTTATTTATTTTTAAAATTGAAGTTTGTGTGCTTTTATTAGTTTTTTCTCGTGGAAAAAAGGACAGAACAGGCGAGTTATCATTTGTAAATGTGATAAACCGGGCTTCAGGGGGGCTGCTGGGCAGACTTCATTACCTACGGATAGAACCAGCCCAGATGTGTGCCCCTGTTTCCCGTCTTCATGCTACGCTAAGCTAAACAGCTGCTCATTAAAGCCTCAGCCTTGAAGTCTTCCCACATTATTCTTCTGCGCCTTGAGAACTTGGAAGTTGGAACTTTGAGTCCAGAGCCTCCTTTTATTTCAGTGAAATTGGTAAAAAGTTACGCTATCTTTAATGGGAAACATTTTTCAAGATAAACATCTTATTGTATTACAAGTTTTTAAATTACATTCAGTTTAGTGCTTTGAAGACTCGGGCTGTTGTTCTCTCGTGACCACACGGGCAGTTTAATCTTCAGGAGGTTGTAAGAACCCCGTGGCTTCTTGCTTAATACCATAATATATTTACTTTAATGTTGTTTTTTTAAATTCTCATAATTCAATTTCAAGTTAATTCTCGGAGCAGATTAAAAGATCATAATTCTTTGTGTTTTGTGTGCCTCAGAACTTGCATATCCACTGCCAGGATAAAACCTCAACGTTGGCTCCACGGATAGCTAAGGACCTCGCAGATATACAGGTTGGTATGTGTGCACGGACACACACACGCACGCACACACACATCTCACAGATGTTTCTCCCTCTCTCAGTAACAGCTGGTTGAACATCTGGGTTCTCTCCACTCACCCACAGGACTTCATTTCCATGGAGAAATAGATGACTAGATGAATTAAGTATTCAGTGATATGATCGTAGGAGATGGAAGTGTGTGTTCTCTGACCAAACATCAAGAATAAAGTTGAACAAATAAAAAAAAAAAAGGAATATTTAAATTGAAAATATGTCCAAAGAATTTCCCGACCCCCCCAAAAAACAACATTCCCTCCAAATATGTTATCTTGCGTCTCCACAATCGAATTACTCGACTGCTGAGTGGTTATTATGTAACTCAATGAGATCAAAGCATGAAGTTATTTCTTTTAACAAAACCCCATTGGTCCTCATTGTACACCCACAGCCTGCATGTGCATAATAAGTGAATTATCATATTAGGTAATGAGTAACGGCCTGGTAATATTGTACATAGCCTCCGAACACGGCACCTCCGCAGTGTTTCGCAGAGCTACAGGTTTCTCCTAACAGATTCATAATGTTCTTTGCTGAAGGCTCAATCTGTGTTAATGAGCGTGTTATGTACCGCCGACTTTCCGTTATTGTGCTGCGTAATGAGCCTATTATTAGTACGGTTGTAATGAGCTTGAATGTGATCCTTCTTTTCTCATTTGTACTTGACTAAGAAGGTCTCGGTCCTTCCTTTAGAGTCAGGGGCTTGAACGAAACACCACATAAACCAAATACCTATCTGGCCACACACTTGGAACAGCATCCTTTCCGTCTTCTTTTTATGGCATCTGCACCGGAGCTTGAGCTTAAACCAGGCGGCAACCTGCGTGTCTGAAAGCAAGTCCAATGCTGAAGTACTTTAAACTGCTTTCTAATGGTTGTAGACAAGAAAAAAGTTCAGAAAATGAGAACAATGTGAGCAGTAGAACACAGTTTTATCTTCTTTCCTTGATCATCTAATAGCCGCTTCAATTTGACCTTCTTATTTTAGCTTTTGTAAAACATTAAAGGCTAGCTACAGCAATAAAGCGCTACCTTTTTCATCAGCAATAAACTGCAGTCATATTTCCAAAGAATGAGTGCATTTAGCTGATATTGTTTTGGTGCTTTTAATGAAGTGGGCATTTTACTGTCTTATTGTCGTATGAGTGCTGCTCATCAAGTATTCCATCGCTTCCTCTGTCGGCGCTCAGAAAGCAAAACTGAACTGAAGCTACGGTACTCAAGCTAAACATCAATGTGCCTGTTGGTTTTGATCGAATCCTAAACTTTGCCACCACATGAGCAGATAGTGTCCTTTGGGGCTTCATTTTTTGAATCTCCTAATCTCCTGAACGCCCTCTAAAGACTTTGATCAGTTTGACGAGGCTTATCTCTCCGACTCTGGACTTTCTTCTTTGTCGCCCTTTCTCTTGCTCTGTTTGCTCTCCGTGCCGCATCTGTGCTTTTTGTTGTTTCGTGTTTCTGGTCAGGCGATTAGCATATCTGCTCTGCCGCATCAGCCCAACCTCCCGTGCACGCGTTAACCGCATCTTTACATGCGATAACATCTTTCCCCAGTCGACATTGCTTCAGAGAGGGTTAGAAGGGAAGCGAGAGAGAGGGCGACGTTTGGCGGCCTAATGGCGCAGCGTGGAGAGTTGCAGATGGGGGCAAAGACAAACTCCTGAATTCTCTCATTAAGCTCGCCGTAATTGCACAAACCCAATTATTGCCTCAGCCTTTTGTGATCTTCAAAGCCAAGATGCTGCAAATGAAGCCTCGAAACAAGTGGGAGAGGAGGAGGAGGAGGAGGAGGAGGAGGAAGAGTTGTGGAGGAGGGAAAGCGCGGCGGCGAAGTTTAATGAACAATAAAAACGACAAAACGCTGGAAAACGCCGCGCTGGTAAATCTGTTGACATTTCATTTGGAGGGAAGCAGTGCTGTGTTATCCCCCCCCCCCCCCTCCATGCTCCTCATCCCTCCCCCTCTTGAAGACAACATTGTGCCACAAACAAACGAGTGGTCTGAGGCAGCAGATGAAAGATGGGTTTACTAAGTCGCCCTGCTGTTCCTCTTTCAAGTTAATTAGAAATCACATTCTTTTGTTTCCCCTTCGCAGACGCTTATTTACTTTCTCACGTCGACCATTAGAACAAATTTGCAACATGAGACACAAATAATTGGATTTGCCTCCTCGGCTGTCACGGATTGGGGAACATTTTGTTTTGATTATTTTTTTTTTATTCTAGTTCCTTTGCTGTGTTGTGTTGTGTTCCGTCGGTGGCTGAGTTTGCAGATTTGCTCGCGGATATTTGATTTCGCTCTTGGATTTATGTCTTGCTCGCAATTAAGAAGCGGCGTGCGAGACAAGTTTTTCTGCAAGGCCGGCAGAAGCCTCTCTTGTGACCTTTTCATGACCTTTGTCCCCTTACGGTGTGGACGCACGCCCAGCGACTGGACCCTGCTGGTGTAGCGGTGAAGAAGAGGCCCGAAGCAGCGATCACCGTAGGTAGGAAAGGCTCCTGTACACTAAGGAATGATATAACCATGCACGTGCAATACTCGTAGTTATACTGCAATACGCTGGCTCTGCGGCGAGTGTGTCGTGCCACTTAGCCCCCTTTTAAGCTAATGACACTTTAAAGCTTTTAAGTTAATGACGAGCACAAAACTGTCCAACATAATTAACAAAAGTAGGCTAATGTCTCATGCAATAGTGCACAATAACTTACAATAGCTCGTTTCCAACCAACATCCAGGATGCAGCTGTGGCTCGGACTAAACATGAGAGGAGAAAAGACATTTCAGATGCTATAGAGGATTTCACATCACGTGTAAGAGAACTAATTCAACTATTCAATCAACCTTCTCTTTGTGTGTAAACATTGGGCTGTCTCTAAGTTTTACAATGTTTAGAAAGGTGGTGCAAAGACAGTTTTACCGAGGGAAATGTTCTTTTAATTTTTCGTTTGTATATTTATTGTGTAATAAATTTTAATTAGTCATGTGGTCAACAAGAATATTTTAATCGAGAATCCGCAGCCAGGGCAAGAGGTGCAACGCAGAACTGTAATGAACGTACAACAGTTCTTCACTAAGATTACCGATCTGTGTTTAACTATAAATAAACGACAAGAGCTGACCAGCGTGCATTTGAACTCATCATAAAGGAGGTTCCAGCTCATTTGAGCCTCTGGAGGTTTCCACCACGACCGAGGACTTTTCCCCCAGAAGCATGCTTGGATTTGGAGCAGAGGAACCAGGAGCTGAGTTTGGTTCCTGTGTCACAGTTCCACGTGCAATAAGAGTCCCCACTCAGAGGCCTACTTAAAAAGGTCCGGGACCTGTGTGTCAGGCTCTGCAGAGCGTCTCCACAATCCTTAATGATGCTGAGGAGTGCAAGTGTTTTCCTGCCGCCCTCACGCACACACACACACACACACACACACACACAAACCGTAGAGAACCTGGAACCGAACCAGAGTCATCAGCATAATGGAGTCATAACAGAGAGCCATCACAGCGGAGAGCCCACGCCTCTTTCGCTCCTCACATGCATGTACACACACACACACACACACACACACACACACACACACACACACACATATACATACATACATGTCAGTATAGACTGTAATAAAAATAAAACCTCCGGAATCTGTGTCCACTCCGAAGTTCATGCCTCATTAACTGAGGTCTTGTCTGTATTTCTGCCACTGTGCTTGCAATGGACGTCCATATGTGTGTGTTTGTGTACAAGGGGGTGCCCATTTGCATGCTGGATGATTTTTGGCTCTTTGTGAAGACATCTCATTTTGGCTTAAGCTCTTTTCTTGTGCACAGTTGCACAGCTGGTGTAGAGCGCGCGCACGCACACACACACACACACACACACACACATATATAGCTATCAGGAAAAACACATAGGCCTACTTCAAAATGCCAAACACCATGTAGCCCGCTTAATCTAGGCCACTGGTGAAATTACCACAGCATGGATATCAATGTCTGGATTCCTTTTTTTTTTTTTTTTTTGCCTTTTCTTCTATTTAAATTAAAGTCCCCCTCTCCCTCATTTACTCACAGGGCTCATTAAAAAGACATCTTATCGAGTTTAAGGGACAAATAGACAGGTGAGGACACAGTTGCATGGCAGTTTAAGGGCTGGTTGAACATTTGCTTTATGGTTGATGAATGCTGATTGATAGGTCAAGGAACACACAGCGTCTGATCCTCTGTGGTTTTAGCAATCATGACAACACTCTCTTAGAGTATTTTTAATGTCACACTACACAGCATACCACCGGCAGCCTCAAAGCAAGTAAGTCAGCCCTGTAAGGAGAGAAGATTACTACGTCTTCAGCATACGTCAGATGGTTAAAAAGACCTTCCCTGCCCTACACTCCCTGTATTCAACCTGTTAGAGAGATCTTCCACATACAGATTGAAAAGCAGGGGGAAGCAGGTAACTGCATTCCACCTTGTCAGACGCCGTTGGTCACCGGGAGTGGTGCAGATACACTAGTGTCTAGTCTGCCTAGTTTGATGCAAATACCAAAAATGCAAAACACTTCAGATATGGAGGGACACACCTCACACTTTTAGTTCGACAGACTATTTACAAGGATTAATTCGATCAGAAGCTTTAGATGCGTCTGCCTGTTCAATGCCAGTTTCTAAATAACACTCGGATCTTCATCAGGTCTAATAAACACCAGCATCATGAGGAACCTCAGTAATATTGAATGAATCTGAATTTTCTTAATGAAAATGAATGTTTACTCCACGGATCTGCAATACTTAATGTTATTTGCAACCATAACTTCTTTCCAGAAAGACATTATTCTGCTGAAAATATTGGGCCATGGAGTTTGACCTCATGGCCTCCTCATTCGTTTAAAAAAAGGCGCACTGCATACAATGGTAGTGGTCTCCAATTGTACTGAATTCTTTGTTATCCTGCCTACATCATCATTTGCTTACTACTATATTTATCAGCGAATCTGCTTACTTTGGTTTACGGTCCCAGAGAGCGAGTACTTCTAGAGACTCTTTTTTTGTTGTTAGCCGAGGCAACAAAACGTGCCCAACGTGTTAAAGGAATTATTCGGCCTCAAAATGACTGTCTACTAACAGAAAGTCACCCCCAATTAATACAGGGTATTGGCTCACGTTCAATTCAACAGATTCACCTAATGAACTAGGAAATTGTTGTAATAGGTCTATGGAGAACTGCCAAGCTTTGTAGCACCATAAAACAGTTTTTCATCTGAATACAGGACAGTAAATCCACACAATGTTTCAGGAGAAATACATTTCTTCTTAATCCTGATGGTCTTGTATTACAGCCTCGTCTCATTCCCGGGCCAATTTCTAATGAATGTTGTAATCCGGTGATTTAAAGCCTTTATGATGTGAACTGTGTCTTACATGGTTGTTTTCTTTGTTCCATCTCTCATACATGCACATCCAAACATATATAAATGTACACCAGTTCAATTTATCAATCTTTATTAGCCCAATTGTCCGGTAGGCTACATATTTGCCAAATGATACATCTCCCTCCTTTCCTCCCAGCTCGTAGTATTCTTCCCTCCAGCTCCTCCATCACTTTTATTCTTTCTCTCCCCCCCCAGGAAGCAGGGACCCCGACACGCCGCTCCCATTGAGCCAGAGGACGCCGATGATGTTTTAATTGTCACTTCTTGTTAAGGCGGCCTTGACATTCACGCGGGGGACAGAGGGAAGGGCGGTCGGCGTAATCAGAGGAAATGGAGAGAAAGACGGAGAGGGGAGGAGAGAGAGACGAAGAGGGAGAGAGAGAGAGAGAGAGAGAGAGAGATGGCACCCATTCAGCTACTAAGAGTGGTGTTTGGCTCTGAGCAGTGTGCCTCCTTCCCTCTCTTCCCTCTCTCTCACCCCGCCGGGGCATGATCTGATTTGACAAGCGCAACGCTGTCATCTTGAGTTTGTCCAATTTGAAATTCTAATTAATGAACTCGGCGCCACTTTGTGTCCTTTTTTTTGTCGTTGTTGTGCTCTTCCTGCTCTTCTCCTTCCTTCCCAGGCCAGTTTGTCTTCTATTTGTCTTTTCTTTACCCTTCCTTCGCTCCTCAAGTCTTCGTCGGAGGCGGAGGGCCGCTCCGGGTGAGATGGTGGTCTCACACCATAACAGATGATATCAGTGGCTGTGGGTCACCCAATTATAATCAAACTGTGTTTGTGTGCTTGGTGGGTGCTATGTGTTTGCATCTGTGTGTCTCCGTCTTCTGTTTCTATCAGAATCCCTGATGAGGAGGCACAAGTGTGGGGGGGGGGGGGGTGTTAGCTGCTGATGCTGAAGGCCAGCGGGGTGGTCAGTCTGGGTCTCCAAAGCTTCACACGTTTACTGAATACACTCAGAGGAAACAGAACCATGCGTGAGAAGTCAACACGTGTCCGGAAAGTCAAGTCAATGGATCGTTAGAAAAAAAACAGGGATCCGGTGTCTCGGTGTCGCCAATAGCCCCCAAAACCAACCCTTGTGTCCTAGAAAGGAGAGAGGACATGTTTGATGTTGTAACTGAACGGATCTGCACAACCTTCACTGGTAACATTGACATTTTGTCAACCTTATTAAATCTAAACGTTCAATATAACATCCACTCGCAGCAAACTTTATTCATATTTTCTGAGATTATACATTGGTTATTTAAAACGGAAAAAAAGGTGACTTAAAGTGTTTGCTTAAAAAGAAAGAAGCATTGTCTTCATTTTTTGTAGCCATCCAACCCAAAGCACGTCCCTTCTACTTCTACAGATCAACAGCGGGGAAAACGCTGCAGGTTAACATACTTTAATCCAGGCAGCAAATGGAGAGGCAGAGAATCAAATCATAGACATATTTATGTACTACCTTGCAGGCTGCGTGGACACATGCGTGTTGTGTTTCCCCTCCTTCCTTCCTTCCTTCCTTCCTTCCTTCAATGCTTTTTAAAAATTTGCTTCAGGAACCTTTTTAGGGTCAAACCGTCTCCTAAACCGCACAACCCCGCTCAATAGAACTCAAAGGGAAGTTTTGGCTCTCATCATCAGCAGGTGGTGCTAGCAGCCTACAAACCATAGACCTCAACAAAGCTCTGCTTTAGGACGGCGGGGGATGTGGGAGGGGGGGGGGACAGAAAAAGAGAAAAAGGGGCAATGGAATTTTTGGAGGCCTGCCAATCATGATGAAAAACCGCTGCAGAACTAATCTATTTCCACGCCCGTCCTAATCCCCCAACACAACGGTGGCATCGTTTAATCACAAAATCATCACCGCCATCACCATCACCACCATCATCCTCTTCCTCTCCCTCCGCTGCATTAATAAAAAAATGTATTTTATTTTTTGTAAATAAGAGCTTGTGATTAAGAGCAGATTAGTGCGCGCCTTCAGACGGACGGACAGATCGTGATGGGTTTTGTTAACACGAGAGTAACACTGGGTGTCAGTTGTGTGTGCCTGACACTACATCAACGTTATCCCCCCGCCGCTCATGTTATCGCTCTTGGCTTAGAGTTTTAGGGGACTTTTTAACAGCAGCGCTGCTTAAGAGCTTAGATTAAATGGATGGATGGATGGATAGATGGACGGATGAAGATCAGGCGTACACACATGCACAGAGAGATCAGTGTCACTCACACAGCTTCAGAGGAAAAGCCCGATTTGCTTTGTGGTAAAAGCTGTTTTATTTCTCGTCAGTGTTGTAATGGAGACGCTGTGCTGTCACACACCACTTGAAGTCTCATTTTGTGCCGAGGACGAGGAGAATCTGTATTCACCTCAGCCTGTGCAATTTGCGGCTGATTTTATTGGGGTCAGGTTTTTGTGGTTGAATGGAGTGACAAATGCGCATATTTATTATACGTATGTTGATCATAGTCTTTGTATTTAAAGGGTGACAGAGAAAGTGTTTGTTTTCCTAACATTGTACCTCTTCCAAATCTGAGAACGGTCAGTGAGCATATTTTAGGGACTGTATGCAAATTGTTAGAGGGCGCAGGGGACTGAGTGAGACGGAAGAGAAGTAAATAGAGAATAGTTAACATATTCAGCAGAGGCATCCTTTTTGATGTTATTATTATTCGTGGAAATAGCTGATTGCACCTATGTGTGCCTTTTGGTGTCTCTGTGAAAATGGCATTCCATTGACATATTAAGGTTCAAATCCTTTGTGAACTTTTGAGGGGCAAGGTGATACATATTTTCTCTTATTCAAGGATACAAATGCAATGATCCTTAAAAAGTGAAACATCATTTTCCGCCCCCCCCCCCATCGCCACCCGGATCATTTTTATACAGTCTCTCACTGCTCAAGATTGATGCCTTCTTTCTTTTTTTGTGCCATAAAGCAGCCGAGCAGATTTTTCAAATAAAATTAGACAAGATGACTCACAACATAAGATGCAGAGTGGAGGATGCCAATCTTCTTGCCAATGCGGTTTGTTCATGATTATTCTAACAATGTCTGAAAATTGAAATGGAAATGATTTTATTTTTAGATAAACAAAGCACGGTTAGTATAAAAACCTCTTTGTGCTTTTGCTTCCAGTCCCTGTGGGTGGAGCATGTACTTTATTTTGCAGGTGGGCACATTTTGTCTTGGAATGCAGGACACCTACTTATTATTCAGTGGTGTGCTGAATATTCCAGTGTGTCTGTGTGTGTAGGTGTAGGTGTGTGTGTGTGTGTGTGTGTATCAAAAGGAGACGTTGGTCCTGACTGTGAGTAATGTTCTCCAGGCCTGGCGGCTGGCAATGCTCTGTCTCCCTGCAGGTGGGAGTGAGTCACGCACACACGCACACAGACACCAACACACTCTAGCACGCACAAGCAGTGCCACCCGTTTCATGCTGACCACCTCGCTGTGCCAGCCCAGCGACCATGGTGGCCAACTGGCCATTGAACAACAACTGTCTGTCTGTCTGTGTGTCTGCAGAGCAACAACACATACCACCACAGCAGCTAGAGAGAGGTTGCCTCACACACACGCACACAGTCATTGTCTCTCATTACTCACACAAGTCTGGCACATCTCTGTCAAATGCCAACTCACATTAAGGTGGAGAGAAGGTGCCTCTCTCTACTCTGTTTATTTGTACTCTCTGTCTTTATATTTATTTCTTCTCAAACGTTAAATTCAAGCTGCTCTACTGTACAGATCTGATCCATCGGAAGGCATTACTGCAACAAACATATCCCATCGTCCCAATGTCAGAGACAGTATTTTGCTTTTAGGATTTTTATATTTCTTTCCTATCAGCGTTGGGCAATAAGACATGTTATGTTATTCTTCTTCTCATGTAAATACTTTGTAAACACTCATGCACTCATGTAAACACTGTATTTAGAATGCTTTGTCACTTAATATAGGATATTCATATGAATATAAATACTTGTGATGCGATGATGTCTGGGTGATTTGTACTGTAACACTGTGGGATTGTAAAGGCCTCACAAATCATCCACATAATAACACTTACCTGATGGGTCTATCCATCAACTTGTTGGAGAGACGGCTGTTTGTGTGACGTCCTTTTCCATCATTTGCTAATCAAATATCATAATTTGCCGCAGCCTATTATTGAAATATGTCTGCCGGTATTTGTATCACTCCATCGCGGTTGAGTAAATGACGATGTGACAGGCATAACCCACCATACATGGCTCACTGTGTGTGCGTGTGTGTGTATTTAAGTGTCCTTTAATGATGTTCTGTGGAATCGGCGATGTATGGTTGCCTCTGGGCGCAGATAAAACAGTTAAACACAGTAATTGCCATTTACTCTCAGCTGAGCTTGCGTTCCCATGAGAGAGCACAGCGCTGATTGGGAACCACACACGCACAAACCCACGCACACACAACCATATCTTATACTGGAGGATTTCCTTTTCAGCAGCACATCTTCTGTCCTGGTTCTGTAAGCTATTGTCCTGAATGTAAAACTTGCTGCTGCCACACCACTCTGTGTGTGTGTGTGTGTGTGTGTCCATCTGTGTCCAAAGTCTCGCAACCATCATCAATATTACACTCTGCCCCGGGGCAGCTGAAGGGTTCTGCTTCACTTTACTCCTGGCCCTCTTTTCTCCCCCTCGTTCTCTTTAAAATAAGGGTGGAGGTCTATTCTCCTTTATTTTTTCCACAAATCATTTCTTTTCTATTTTAATATCAAGCCTGTTTGTTGACTTTTGCAGCATATTAAAGACAGCTTTGACTTAGAACATTCCTGTGTTTGTGTGTGTATAAGTGAGAGAGAGAAAGAAAGAGAGGTGTGTTTCCTGATGTATAAATTAAGAGCACATAACTTCTCCTCCAGGTCCCTGAAACAACAGAGCCTTCACCCGCCTGCCAAGAATGAATGTGGGGTGCAGACAGCGACATAAATGACCCTTTGTGTTTGAGTCTGTGTGTGTGTGTGTGTGTGTGTGTGTGTGTGTGTTTGTGCGTGTGTTTTAGCCTGGTAACGTGTGGTCATTTACATGTGTCAGTACAAAGGCGTGTGCAGGCTGTATGTGTTTGAGCATGTATTTTTATAAATGTTAGTGTTTCTGTGTGTGTGTGTGTGTGTCTATGTGTGTGTGTGTGTGTGTGTGTGTGTGTGTGTGTGTGTGTGGTGGGCCTCACTGGGTTTCTCTATGTGTGTGATTAGGTGATCGCTGCTTTATATTCCCCGCAGAGAAATAAATAGAGTTTTTCCCCCCGAAAAAACAACGGTGCACAAAGGGTCCATTGACAAAGGTTAGGGTGTGTGTGTGTGTGTGTGTGTGCGTGTTTGGGCAGGGGCTTAGGGGGGAGCGGGTCTGCTGTGCTGGTCTCGGACCCTCTGAACTCCCCTCAGCTGTGACCCGGTGCTCGCCAGGCTCGACAATGATTCGTATGTGTACGCAAAGACAACATTACTCGGGCAACACACAGCCCGCGTTGTTCTGATTCCATTCACCGTTTACCGGTGCGTTCCAGTCGACCTCGCTGTTGTGCACGCGCTCTCTCGGGCGACTTCTTTGTACATTTCCCAGAATCCCGTTGGAAATGACAAAGGACTTCCTAGGAAAGTTAAGAACGTGTTGAATTCCAGCTGTGACTTTTTTCCTCCTGCCATCCCAGCATGCATCTGTGTGGAGCGGGACACCGTGGCAAAAGTCACAGAAATCCACACAAAATGTTATGTGTGATGTGTTTATTTGTGAAACTGTTTTGCAGGTGTTCAACTGGCTATGTGTTTGATTGCAGGTTGGTACACGCATATGCAAGTACCGATAATTACGCAGCGATTTATGTACACATGCGTGAAACTTATTTTAGGCTTGCAGATCACGTAACACACCTCTGATGTATTTCCATATTTTCCTTCAGCGTTTATCCCAAATCGCCAATGTTGTTATTAGGATGACCCCGATCTTAATGTCTCACTGTCTCAACTATATGTTGACAATTTGCCGGCCCTGTTCATCCTGTTCAAATTGAACTCCAAATCAAACTGGCTTCTTCTCTGTGTTGACAACTTAAATCTGGTACCTCCTTTGTTGTGGATGGTTTTCCTTCTCTTTGTTGAGACACCACCACGGCAATTACAGTAACAGGCATATCTCCACATAACCATCTCGACTACTGCAGGCTTAAACATTGCCTGGATCTCATTCTCATGAGACACTCGTAAATGTTCTTTCCCTCCCCTCCTCTTTCATCGTTTCTCCCCCCTTTGCTTCCCTCGCTTCGCTGTCAAGGTATAATGCCATGTTGCACCGGTGTCACCAAGTGTTAATTCCACAGCTGTCATCACAGAATCCCTCGTCTCCCGCCCTTTATTCATCTATATCTCCTTTCACATCAAAGGTTACTGCACCTCCATCCCTCCCCCCATCGAAAACGACGACGATTAGTAAAAAGGTAAGCAGACAGACTGACAAAGAGACAAATATATAGATACGTGCTTTCCATTTCCCCCCAGAGACCAAAGGCTGCAGCGCGCGCACACAGGCAGGCACACAGGGGGATTATTTGGGGAAATTCCAGGGCATTTGTTCCAGAGTGGCACCGCGGGCCTCCCAACACCGGCGATTCAGCTAATGTCACTGTGTGAAAGCATCAATCTATCAACGAAACCCTACTTTGCAGGTCAAAAGGCTTTCAGCGTCGCAGCAAAAAGACGGGAAAAAAAACAACGGCGCCACATTTCGCCAGTGTGCGAGAGAAAGAGGCCTAGAGTGAAACTGAAAGGAGAAAATTGTTACCATTACCCTGGAAAGGCAAAGAAAGTACAGCATGGAAGAAAAAAAGATTCTCCACGAGAAGGAATAATCAAGATGGTTATTTTTCTGCCATGCAGCTGCTCCCTTGCATTATCAAAATTGATCGTGCCTATAATTTAACAGGTAGGTACACATATCAAAACACGGGGCTATTGTTGCAATTAAGTGGCATTTTCTGTTTTTACCAGCAGAGTGTTGCCATTCATGGACCTGATCACAATCACATAACCCTTCTTTTGTGTGTAGATGTTGCACTTGCTGGATTTGTCAGAAGACAAGTTAACATACATGCATATTGACCTGCCTCACTTTAAAAAAACGGCCTCTATTCAGATCATGGTTGTATTTAAAAACGTGCCTTTTGACCCGGAAAACACCAAGTCAATACTACACAGTACTGATATCTTTCATTGCGCATCTCTTTTTTCCACCGCAAGCTATTTCCGCGCAAAGCCATGGGGAAGTTGTCGTACCTGCATTGCAGTGTAACTCTACCTTTCATTCATTTTAAATCAACAAATAGAAGAAAGCCTGAAGATGACATCCTGAGCGTCTCAAAAGGAGACATTTTGGGGTCAAAGCGAGGGGGGAGATGACATCAACTAAAGAAACGAATGACACGCAAACACACACAACCCGAAGCACAATCACACACCTCTCTGCCCTTCAGAGGTACACTATCTGCAGCAGGAAGTCCCAGGCGGACACTTCCCGTTGGTCCCAGGAACAATGGCCATTGTCGCAGTCCGCACCATTCCGATACGCAGTGACCTCACCTCCGCGTCTCAGCTGACAATAAATCCTCCACCTTTAAATGGAACAGGCGACGATAAATTAACGAGGTGACGGCGCCAAAAGCACAAGAAAAACAACAACAACGGGGTTAAATATGGTTATATACACGTAAGAGGTTTGTGCGGTCGGTTATTCCCATATTTGATTTTGTGATGTTTTTTTCCTGTTCCTGGAGCTCTTTGTGTTGTTTCCAATTTGGCTGCAAACAACAGGCGCCAAACTCCTGCACAGACAAGGCGGACACACAACGCACCAAGTGGAGCCCTAAAACAGTGAGCGGAGGTGTCTGAGATAAGATCTGAGCTTCACGAGTACCATGTCCACCTGTTCCACCTGTTCCAAGAGGGAGAAGTCACACACGCCTTTTCACATTGTGTCACACTGGTTGCAATTAGCTGTTATATTCAAACTGGCTTTTAACTGACAGACATGATGGTGCTGATTGCTGGTTGGTGTAATGACGGACGGTGGCGGTGAGGCGCTAATTTAACTCTGTGGAGCACCTAACACACAGACTTTGCATTTCCAACCGTGGTTAATTCCTCCATGAGCACCACAGGTAAAAGTTAAAATACGTAAAAAAACGTAATTTGTTTTTTTGGCGACAATGCGTTCGGGGGACAGTTCACATGTGCGTTTTGAATGCCTTATTCTTCTTTATTCTTTTTGGATAAAGTTTGCTAGAGAACTCCAGCATGCACGTGGAGTCTGTTTGGCCCAAAGTGAAGTATCTCACAGCTGGGGAGTTGATGTGTGTAAGTGGCCTCTGAAGACCTAGTCAGCGTTTCAGCACCAAACTGTAGGAGGTGAAAATGGGAAGTGTGAAAAGCAAAAAGTAGTCAAGATGGCATTGTGGGCCTAACAATGGGGGCCAAATGTCTCAATGAAGACCTGGAGAGTTTCGAAACAAAACGCAGTTATAAGGAAAAAGATTGTGATGTAGTGAGTTCACAGGGAGCACGCACACACACACACACACACACACACACACACACACACACACACACACACACACACACACACACACACACACACAGGGAATGAAACCAGACGTGGCACACTCAGACAATACAGGGATTCAAACTCCTTTGCTGCAGCATGAAATAAACAGCTGAAAAACAAAACAAATCTCAATGACATATTGAGAGATAAGAGCGAGACAGAGAGGAAGAAAGGGCGTTGTGTTCATAAATCAGCTGATGGCCTTTCTAGAAGTGGGAAATAATGGAATTCAACCCAGCTCCCTTACCTTATGTTGAGCATGATCCTCCAGGGCGTTAGAAAAGGGTTCCAATATTCAACACTGCTTTTTTTTCCCCCTGCGACAATGTGGGGCCGTCTGTGGACGAGTGTGTGCTTGTGTTTGTGCGTGCGTGTGTGTGTGTGTTTCAGCATCCTTCCGTCCCCATCTGTACAGAACAGATGCCGTCAGGATGCTTCTGGGGATTAAACGCCTCTCTCATACCCAATCTGCCTCCCCCACCGCCATCATCAACGTCTTCTTCACCTTTCCACCTCCTCCCACATTACTCTCACACTCTCCTTCTCTCTCTCTGTATCATCACACCATCTCTGTCATCTGTCTCTACCTAGACATATTTCAAAGTAGCAGATCCACCATTGTTCTTCAGCACCACATTTCCCTGATGTTGTAATACATGCTGCCCGCCTGCCATGTGGTTTGCTGAAGGTGTGTTCATATAGAGACCATGTCAGACCCACTGGACTCTGCAACATGGGTCACGGTGGACCGCGCGGACTCAGCTGGAGGCAATAAGAAGGCTCTTGTTAGCACTTTGATAAACCTGTTTCCAGAATAAAATCTGCATTCCAGATTTTACGAGAACAACAAAATGCAACGTGAGCAACTAAAAATTAATATTAAAATTGTGTGCATGTAATACATTGTAATACATATTTGCTGATAAGCTATAAAGCTCCTTCAAAAATTGCCAAAAAACTAAATTGTAGCTTTGAACCCAACAGAAATATAAAGCGTTACATTTTTATGGGCTTCATGTAGCCAAACTGCTCCCACTGCCTTCACCCTTTCAAATGTCCCTCGCTGTGTCCGCATCCAACCGCAGCTCCACAAATGTTTGTCATCCAAACCGCCTCACACACAAGCGATTAAATAAAACGAGAATAAACACACTTAATGTTGAAAGCTTGAGTTT